AATCTGTTGGGTTTTTTTCATGTATTGTTTAGACACAATAATTGGGAGAGTACCCGGCTTTGCTACAAGGAATACAGCCTTTCTGACAATCTGGGCAATGCAGAGGAGAGGGCTACATTGTTGGGGAGTCTTCACATTCTCCGAAACGTTCTGGGTGGGTTTGACTAGCCAGCGCTTCCTGGGAGAAGTCCCATTCGCTGTCTGGGCTGCGTGTAGATCCTTGGATGATTATGAGCCTAACCAGCCTGACAAATGAGACCCCTTGTAAAGGGCTGTAATTCAACGCCTCGTGAGCGTGTTCTAATCTGAATCTCCCGTTGAAATGGAGTTACTTGTTTCTATCACATTTATATATTTTCAGAGACGAAGCGTAAGACCAGCAATATTCCAGTATTATCACGATGGGAACACTGGTAATGGGGTTCGCACATGGTACCAATTTTGGAATCGAACCTGGGCCTTCGGTTTGACAAGCTTTAACTGGACTACCTATCAGCTCCGGAAGCCTGATGACGCCAAACATCATTAACTCTCTTGACTGAAAAGACGAACACAAATGATTCAGTTTGAATACATATTTCCTCCACTGGCGTGCATCCTATCACAAGGGCGCTTCCTCTAACAGCGTGCTTCCTCTCTCAGTGATTCAGGTTGGATACATGCTTAGGTGGCTTGAGGGGCGGTCGGGTAGCCTAGTGGTTAAATCGTTTGCTCATCACGCCGAAGAGACGGGTTCGATTCCCGACATGGGTACAATGTGTGTAGCCCATTTCCGGTGTCCCCCGCCGTGATATTGCTTGAATATTGCTAAAAGCGGCGTAAAACTATACTCACTCACTGAGGTGGCTTGATGGCGGGGGCCATAGGAAGCATTTATAATCAAGTTCTAGTTCCTGCCTGAGTTTACATCTATCTTGTGTGTTGAAATTGTCAATCTGACAGTTAATTGTATCCCGCGACAGAGGGTGTTTGTTCCAAGCCTTAGTTTAATGGGGTAGTTATTGCGACCTGGGTTTTTTGTATCTCCACAAAAAGATCTAAATTACAGCCCCGCGGCCATATTACCTCCGGTTCAATGCATAACTACAATATCTCTGTGCGCTCATCCGATGTAATCAGATCGCATGTATACACATGTAGGGCTGTCTTCATTTGCGTGCTTTCGCCTCTAGCATGTCCCACTCCAAACTGAGAAGGGGTTTCATATGAACCCATCCCCCTCCTGAACATATATATCATCCCACACTGAAGTCAACATTAACTATTTACCCTTTATTCTACCGTGATATCGAAGTATGCTTGATTCTGATTGGTTAAAATGAGGTATCACATTTGCAAACAGCAAAGGTAACTATTCTTCAAGAAGAATTCTTAAAATAGGTTAGTTATGTATAACTCAAAAACACACAATGCAGCGTGTAGTATTGGTCGACGCGTCGGAAAATCAGAGCGACAGTTGCTTTAAAAAATATGTGTCAATACATCTGACAATTGTGAGTCTTATGCAGTTCCTAATCTGAATCATTTGTAATCAACAAAATGTTCTTAAGTTCTGCCTGAGGCGCACGCACGCACACACACATATGCATGCACGTCGCAATATTAGTGCAGTAGTCATGGACGCGACGGTAAACCCCATTTCACTTCACTTCACCTCAGGATATGCAGGGTAGACTGCAGTATTTGGGTCCCCACTTCGGAAGGAAGGTTTTTACGTGTTTACGGAAGTTGTCGAATGAAAACGTTCCACGCATGCGCAGTTCGTTATTTATGGTCGAAGCGAGAGGATTTGTTGGCCGCTATTTTTCTACCGAACGCTGTCTGCAGTTCAGTATTTTCTTACACAGACAACACACGGGGGGTACAAGGGGTGTTTGTCCCCCCTTGTCGAAATATTAAAGTAAAAATGGGGGGTAAAGGGGGGTTACATCCCCCTTTTTTCAAATAAATCGCACGACGGTAAGTTCATTCTGTTACTTGGAGAATATATTTTGCTGGGCGGACAACACAGCGGGGTTCAAGGCAGGTACAACCCCACCTTTATGACATTTTTAAAGAAAAATACGTGGGGTAAAGGGGGTAAAATCCCCCTTTTTCAAATAAATCGCAATATGGTATAACTTCATTCATGAAAGCATGTGAATTTTCATAGGAAAATGATCATCGATAGATACTTTCTCATTCAAACAAATCATTTGAAACGTTGAATTCGTTTTGACTGTCATATAGATTCTAGGACCTAAGTCTGTGGATCCATCTAGACCTGGTTTAATTTCTTTCTGCTTCTTTTTCATCGTTTTCTTAAACGATCATTTTGCTTCCTAAGTTTAATAAATGTAAACACGGCCGGTGAACTTAGAAACTGATCAATTGAACAACTGAAATATTTCTTTTCTGATAATGTTTTGAACATAATAATTGTTATACATTCCCGCATTCGCCCCATACCTATGCAAAGATGTCTTCACTGTACGCCAAGTCGACTCTGTTTATTTGTACAAGCCACACTTTATGAATTTACAAGTTATGAGCGAAGTTGCTTTCGTAGTAACGAGTCCATATAAGGAAAGTCACATGATCAGACACGTGACGTCTTACGTCATTTATGTCCCGCCCACAAACAACAAGAAGTTGACAGTACAATAATTCGGCTTCACTTTCTATCGTAAAATTCCGCTCCCCACAGGGAGTTTTAGACCCCACACCAGACCTCTCACAGGGAGTTTTAGACCCCACACCAGACCTCTCACAGGGAGTTTTAGACCCCACACCAGACCTCTCACAGGGAGTTTTAGACCATACTTTTCACGTCCAGCTCATTTTGGGAGTCCTTTTTGCTAACAAATGCCTCCTAACGGATTACGGCACGCTTGCGCGTGCGCGCTTATGTATTATAAGCGAAACTGCCGAAGGCAGCGGTTGCCTTACGGAAACCCCCGAAGTGGGGACCCAAATACTGCAGTTGACGCGGATATGCATAAGTTCCATATATGTACCATAGGACATACCAGTGTCACTGGAGCTTAACCGAGTTCCACAAAATCTTCAACTAATTAATATAATATGTATAATGTATTTTCCAAATCCATTACGGGCAAAGCATCTGGTTGTACCCCAATTGTAAAACAGGTAACTACACAGTCCACGGTTTGTATACAAACCTACAGGCAGCCTACAGGTCCAACCATACACACAGCCCGTCACTTTGTGTCACTTTGTGTCTCACCATTTTCATTTCATTCACGTGTCAAGAATGTCTTTAACGATGGTAAGTCTGAAATGGGTGAATACACCATGGTACAGTTGCAATATCCGAAAAGCAATTAAAATAGGAAAAGTTGAAATAAACTTAATTTTCTTATCCATCCCACTTGATCTATAGCTCGAAGATGCATTTATCAAAATTATGTTAATTATGTTAAAAAAATGATTTGGCTCCTCCTTATAAAGAATAAAAATGTACGTTTCGAAGTTCGGACCAAAAGGTATTATGTTAAAAACAGAAAATCCCAGGCAACCACTGGTGCCTAAGTAACTTTTTTACGAAGCAGGCTAGAGGATGTAACCTTCTGCATCTCAGCTCTACTTCAGTAGACACATGGTTTCCACACCCGGAAGTTGAGTAATAAAACCGGAAGTCCATATATCCTTTTCATGAAGGTGGAAATTCTACAGTGTTATGGTTCTCTTGAGTAAGACAGGATGCCATTAAAAATGTAAGTTCTCATTAAAGTACACTGAGACATGCACTACCTCAGACCATGTGTTGATCTTCCTGATCCTGGATCATCTTGCCCTCGAGCACCACACCAGACCTCTCAGCACTGAAGGGGCGGTCGGGTAGCCTAGTGGTTAAAGCGTTAGTTTGTCACACCGAAGACACCAGTATGATTCCTGACATGGGTACAATGTGTGAAGCCCATTTCTGGTGTCCCCCGCCATGATATTGCTGGAATATTGCTAAGAGCGGCGTAAAACCATACTCACTCACTCTTAGCACTGGAAAAGGAAAGAGCATCATCCCAAGTGCCCACACTAGGTATAGGAGTCGTTCAGGATGATCCACGGTTTTACTTAGTGGAATACAGAAGTATGTCTATGTCCCAGTTGCCCACTAGCCACAAACTGGTTCTTGGCTACAAATTCTGGTGGTGGTCTGATTGTGATAGAGCTCCAATTCTCTGCATGTGTGAATCCCGAAATCTCTAAATACATGATACTCTAGCTGGAAGGAAGACTGTCTTTCTGGATATCTGAAGCAGGAATGCCCCGTCTGATGATTCATGTGGATCTTCAAGCAGACAACCGACAAAAACGCTTACAAATGCCCCTAATATCTTCCAGGAAGATGGATCTCATCCATCTGTTAGGAACACAGTGATTTCTTACTTTCAAACCATCACACTGAAGCGCAAGGCTAGGATTGAACTCTATCCCTCTGTGGCACCATGACAATAGTTATCATCCTGCCGGAGATGGAGTTAATGTAAGTGACAAAACCCTGGCCTCCACAGACACATTCCCGCCGTACGACATCCATATCCGTGGCTTGTGTGGAGTCCATACCGTAGCTATTTGACTTCCTGATAGGCTTGAATGGACAGGTCCGGGGTTTGATCCCCGGCCACGTCATACCAAAAGACGTTAAAAGATGGTACTTGTTTTTACCCTGTCTGGTGCCCGGCGTTAAGGGGATTAAATAAGGACTGGTCGGCTCGGAGTCAGTATACCTTTTCATTCACTTTAAATGGAATCTGTGATTGTCTAAAGATCACATGTTGTTTTCACTAATTCCACTTTTTGCGTGAATACAAATAATGCTTTTCTTTTCTCTTCAATGAGTTTCAATTTTGTTTTTGTAGTAGTAGTAGTAGTAGTATGCACCAGTGCACTGGAACCAAAGCTGAAACCACCAGTCTGGCTACCTCTCATCAAGGATTCTCCCTGACATTGATATAACAGACAAGCTGTGCAGACCAATAACGACAGCAACAATGTGCTGGAGGTATTATGTACATTTATTTACAATCAGTACAACACTGGTGTTAAATGTTCTGAAGCAGCAGCTCCCTCTCCTCCATCATGAAGCACAGCAAGACTTTGTTGACTGGGTCACTGACGGTCTTCACCTGTTTCTCTAGGCTGGCCCGGAAGTCCTCCTTCACGCCCTTGTTGACACCCCGGGTGACAGTCCGCTGTCTGCAACACAATCAAACAGGCTGTGATTCAGTGGAGGTCAGACCTAGCATACAGGTTATATAGTGGATGTGGGGACCTAGCATACCCTTGTAGGTTATACAGATGGGTGGGAACTAACATGCCCATGTAGTGGTCATCATTTTTCCATTGTTGAGACATTATCTATGTGAGCTTTGAAGTGACAATTACAGGGAATTGTTGTGACAAGGGCAATGACAGTGAATTGAAGTGACATGACAATGACAGGGCATTGGAGTGACAATAGCAATGACAGTGAATTAAAGTGACAATGACAATGACAGGGTACTGAAGTGACAATGACAATGACAGTGAATTGAAGGAACAATGACATTGACGGGGAATTCAAGTAACAATGACAATGACAGACCATTGAAGTGACAATGACAGGGAATTCAAGTGACAATGACAATGACAATGACAGGGAATTCAAGTGACAATGACAGGGAATTCAAGTGACAATGACAATGACAGACCATTGAAGTGACAATGACAGGGAATTCAAGTGACAATGACAATGACAGACCATTGAAGTGACAATGACAGGGAATTCAAGTAACAATGACAATGACAGACCATTGAAGTGACAATGACAGACCATTGAAGTGACAATGACAATGACAGACCATTGAAGTGACAATGACAGGGCATTGAAATAACAATGACAATGACAGGGAATTCAAGTGACAATGACAATGACAGACCACTAAAGTGACAATGACAGGGCATTGAAGTAACAATGACAATGACAGACCATTGAAGTGACAATGACAGGAAAGTCAAGTGACAATGACAGACCATTGAAGTGACAATGACAGACCATTGAAGTGACAATGACAATGACAGGGAATTCAAGTGACAATGACAGGGAATTCAAGTGACAATGACAATGACAGACCATTGAAGTGACAATGACAGGGAATTCAAGTAACAATGACAATGACAGACCATTGAAGTGACAATGACAGGGAATTCAAGTGACAATGACAGACCACTGAAGTGACAATGACAATGACAGACCATTGAAGTGACAATGACAGGGCATTGAAGTAACAATGACAATGACAGGGAATTCAAGTGACAATGACAATGACAGACCATTGAAGGGACAATGACAATGACAGGGCATTGAAGTGACAATGACAATGACAGGGCATTGAAGTGACAATGACAATGACAGGGAATTCAAGTGACAATGACAATGACAGGGAATTGAAGTGACAATGACAGGGCATTGAAGTAACAATGACAATGACAGGGCAGTGAAGTGACAATGACATGACACTGTATTGAAGCAACAATGACAATGACAGGGCAGAGAAGTGACAATGAGAATCAAAGGGTCAGCAACAACATGTGAATGTGTACTGGACTTGAGATTGTACTCACTGAGCAAGTGCACGTGTACTTGTGGGCATGATGTCCAGGCTGACTCGCCCTCCTTCTTGTGTGTCCAAGAAAGCTAATTCTTCTAGCATATCCATGTCTGGGGTTGGTTAAGGATTTCATGGCATGACATAATGGACAAAACCCATACACACATATTTGCTGACACAATTTCCAGACACAACAAGCAAGAAAGTTACAGTTCAATCACCAGTGTTGAAATTCAAATAAGAGCCTTTTACCACAACTGTGAAATTCATGAGCATAGGTCTGGTAGTGATAAGCCAATATTTCTTTTCGACCAAAGATTAGCGAATCCTGGCACTGCTATGGGAGGCAAATTTGAACACCAAATTGCAGTTCCACGGACCACAAAGCCAACCTATCCTTTGATATTGCAACTGGAACTGCATCCAACATAGGGCAAGGTAGTATGTGGTTTGACGTCGCTGTTAAAATTATTGAACTTACATACCAATGTACATGCATGTGTGTGTGTAGCTGCTTGTACTAGTCCTGACTTATGCTAGTTCTATTGTGCTAGCATATGTCGATACTATGCCACCAATCCCATTAAAACCAGACCTTAGTTCTCGCTACCGCTAAACAAAGATCTGAGGACATCCCATTACGGGTCACGTCAGACCGACCTTGCGTGAACTTTGACCGACCAATAGAATGACCAATCAGAAGGCAGCTTTCTCGTGCTTCACGGCACTAATTTGAAATTGGCGACTACGCTTCTAAACATATTTTGACAAATTCTCAATAACAAATTTGAAACCTGAACAAAAGAACATTCTGGAATGGCTAATAGATGGTCTAGATTGTATGGATACAGTCGTTAAACCCGTAACTATCATTTGGAGTTAAAGTTTTTGAGGCTGCATGATCAGAAATCACATTCCAACTGTCACTTTCATAATCTGGTAAGCGATGCTCTGATTGATCGGATGAAAGGTTGTTCTGACATGACCCGTAATGGGATGTCCTCAGATCTTTGTTTAGCGGTAGCGAGAACTGAGGTCTGATTTTAAAGAGATTGCTATGCCACAGGTTAACATGGATACCCCACTCAGAAACTACAAACTGATTCACAGCCAACCAGTCAGGGTAACAACAAGTACCATCTCTAGGCCACAGGTTAACATGGATACCCCACTCAGAAACTACAAACTGATTCAGAGCCAACCAGTCAGGGTAACAACAAGTACCATCTCTAGGCCACAGGTTAACATGGAAACCCCACTCAGAAACTACAAACTGATTCAGAGCCAAACAGTCAGGGCAACAACAAGTACCATCTCTATTAGACGTGTAACGATACATCGAACTATCGATTGATTTCGATTGCTTGTCTCAGGATAGTACACTATCGATTGCAACTTGAAACAATCGATACTATTGGCGATAGTTTGTCTAACTATCGATAGTTTCGATAGTTAATTTGTTTGGTACATTTACTTTCTTAAAAAACATAGAAACAACTCCAATGATCATCTAACCTCTGTCGTGCTTTCGTTTGGATTGCACTACTTTGTCTGCTTGATTTAGAGTTACGTCCCTTAGCTACTCGTCGCTAGGCAACATTGACAAGATGGCGGACGCCACATGTCAGTTTTTGTCAACTTTGTTTCCAAATTGATATGTTGAATCGCATTTAGTCATTCAGTGAATGCCAATGTGACAATTAAAGAGTTTGACAGTTTGTATAGTCAAATACTAGTCATTCAATCACATTCATTCACATTGGTGCTAAAACACTGCAGTAACCTAAGACTTTACCAGTTACATGAAGTGAAATTTTGTATCAAAATGTTTTTGAGAGGTCAATTTGAACTTGTTTTCTTCTCATTTCTTGTTTTCTTTACAAATAGTATCAGAAAGTTATAACTATGTTGATAGTGTCAGTCAAAATGCTGAAATATATGCTGCTAAAGCCTGCTATAATTGCAAGTGAAAACTATCACAATAGTATCGCAATAGTAGGGCCACTATCACAATACCCCACTCAGAAACTACATACTGATTCAGAGCCAACCAGTCAGAGTAACAACAAGTACCATCTCTAGGCCACAGGTTAACATTGAAACCCCACTCAGAAACTACATACTGATTCAGAGCCAACCAGTCAGAGTAACAACAAGTACCATCTCTAGGCCACAGGTTAACATTGAAACCCCACTCAGAAACTACATACTGATTCAGAGCCAACCAGTCAGAGTAACAACAAGTACCATCTCTAGGCCACAGGTTAACATTGAAACCCCACTCAGAAACTACATACTGATTCAGAGCCAACCAGTCAGAGTAACAACAAGTACCATCTCTAGGCCACAGGTTAACATTGAAACCCCACTCAGAAACTACATACTGATTCAGAGCCAACCAGTCAGAGTAACAACAAGTACCATCTCTAGGCCACAGGTTAACATTGAAACCCCACTCAGAAACTACATACTGATTCAGAGCCAACCAGTCAGGGTAACAACAAGTGCCATCTCTATGCGCACTCTATGACTACGCTACATTTACTACACCAGGGAGACAGGAGGATACTGAAGACGTAGGAGAAGAAGAGGTTGTAGGTGAAGCTGCCCTGTTTCTGGATCTTCTGTATCACGTCAAGAAATATGCTCTCATATTTTGGCCAATCATACTGCAGCAACACGATCAGGTGACCAAGGTTAAGGTCATTGTTGTGGTTGGATATCCGTTCCTAGCAATGAAAAATTCAAATGAAGTAAAGATGTATTTAAACAGGAGAAAGTAATTTCAAATCAGGAATTGTTGAGAACTGCAAACTGTGAACAGTTATCTCCCCTTAAAACAACAGGCCTGAACAAATGTTTGGTTTGGTTTGTTTGTTGTTTATGCACACTCAACAATATTCCAGCTATATGACGGCGGTCTGTAAAAAATGGAGTAAGGACCAGACAATCCAGTGGTTGATATGAGCATCGATCTACACAATTCGGATCAATAAAATGCATCAACCAAGTCAGCGAGCCTGACCATCCGATCCCGTTAGCCGCCTCTTACAACAAGCATAGTCGCCTTTTACGGTAAGTATGGGTTGCTGAAGACCGATTCTACCCCGGATCTTCACGGGTCCCTGAACAATTGACAGACTCGGCTTAAAGGCTGCTTCGAACAGTTTTCAAAATATCATATTTGACGTAATATGCACCTGGCTGCTCAGAAAACTGACAATTACGCTTATTAAAACCATGCAAGATGTAAATTTGTTCTCTGAGATCAAGCAGTTGTTGACAAACTTAGCTCAAACATTGTTGAAACTAAACCGTTTTCTATAATAGTTACCAGGACAATTATGTACCCTTCCTATGCTGCTGTAACAGAATTTGTAATAGACAAAATATGGACTGTTATACAAATTTGTGGTCTCAGTAGGAAGCGTTTGCACAATAATACCTACAGACTCATGAGATTGGTCTAGAATTTCATCAGGGGTTGTTTATTGGACATACTGGAGTAGGGCGGTTAATACGACCATCACAATACATCACAGTCAGTTTAATCTTGCAGGAAAGCTCCAAACTACAGCCTACTTTTTATGCAGCTATTTGATGTCTACATTTTGATTTCTACTATTTGATGTCTACTATTTGATTTCTACTATTTCATGTCTACTATTTGATTTCTACTATTAGATGTTTACTGTTTGATGTTTACTATTTGAAGTTCACTTTTTAAAGTTTACTAATTAATGTCTGCTCTATGATGTTTTCTATTTGATGTCTACAATTTTAAGTCTACAATTTTAAGTTTACAATTTGATACCTATGATTTAAAGTTAACAATTTGATGTGTACCATTTGAAATCTACTATTTCAAGTTTACTATTTGATGTTTACTATTCTGAAAGATGAATCCAAAATAGAATTGAGAATGAAAACATTCCACAGAATATCAATATCACCTACTGTAAACACTGTTTTACTAAACCCAAGGACTGCTGGGATGACCTTGAGTTTGGGAACAAGGGAGAGAACTGTGCAGGGAAAGTGTGTGAGGTGGGCTGCAAGTTCCTCACAGCGACAGCCTGTTTGCGGCGCTCTCTATGTTATTGCTGTAACCAGTCAAAGCTCCCTTCTGTGATAAATGGCCACAACCATGCTTGGAGTTGGACTCGCAACCGACGGACCGTTATGTTTACAAACAAGAATGACTGTCGTGATGCCAAACACACTTACCCTAACTAAATTATTTTCTTTCTTTGTCAATTTGAATTTCTATTTCATTTCAACTATCATGTAATTAGTAAGAATGTAAGGTGGAATTTGGATGATTTTCCGTTCGTCTGTAATCTCGAACCAATCTGATCAAACAAACAACAAAGTAAATTCATCTGGAAAATATGGTCAGTCGTAAACCTTTTCAAAATTCACTATGATGGCATTCCAAAAGACATAGACAAAAGTATAAACGTTACTACATTTGGGGTTTGAGGGCAATTTTCAAAATTCTTGTAATGGCCACGCCCACGCTAGTGGCAGCGATGTTACCGAGAGTGTAACAAAGGTGTCACTTGCTGGGAAGGAGCTTGGACAGTTACGAGGTGGGCTGGTAACAAGGGAGAGAATTGTGCAGGGAATAAGCTTCAGGTGGGCTGGTAACAAGGGAGAGAATTGTGCAGGGAATAAGCTTCAGGTGGGCTGGTAACAAGGGAGAGAATTGTGCAGGGAATAAGCTTCAGGTGGGCTGGTAACAAGGGAGAGAATTGTGCAGGGAATAAGCTTCAGGTGGGCTGGTAACAAGGGAGAGAATTGTGCAGGGAATAAGCTTCAGGTGGGCTGGTAACAAGGGAGAGAATTGTGCAGGGAATAAGCTTCAGGTGGGCTGGTATCAAGGGAGAGAACTGTGCAGGGAATAAGCTTCAGGTGGGCTGGTAACAAGGGAGAGAATTGTGCAGGGAATAAGCTTCAGGTGGGCTGGTAACAAGGGAGAGAATTGTGCAGGGAATAAGCTTCAGGTGGGCTGGTAACAAGGGAGAGAATTGTGCAGGGAATAAGCTTCAGGTGGGCTGGTAACAAGGGAGAGAATTGTGCAGGGAATAAGCTTCAGGTGGGCTGGTAACAAGGGAGAGAACTGTGCAGGGAATAAGCTTCAGGTTGGCAGTGAACAAGAGAAGAACTGCTAGCTTGAAGTGAGCAATCAATGCATACATTTGACAAAGCTTGTCTGTCAAGAGTGGTCTCCCCTGTGACACTGACCTTCAAGCAAGTAATCAGCAGCTGTATACAGTAAGGTATAATCTCGGACTCGGAACACTGCATGAGCATCAGATGTCGCACTGGTCCGGATGTTGTCAGTGACTTAAACCCAGGCTGACTCTCCTCGGAGGAAACGGACGGCGGGGAATGTTCCGGCAACGAGGCAACAACATCGAGCACAAGTTCACAAGCTTTCTGTAAAAGTCAAAGTATCTTGATATACAACTTCTATAACTTCTACAAAAGCCAAGCATAAAAGTACAGAAAACAGTATTTGATTTTATCATCCAAAACTGGCTCCCACAGGAGATATCACTTGGATTAGATCAAGCGATATCTACACTGAAGATATCTCTGCAATGAAATTACATCACAATGCTTTGAAGACCATTGTGACTTCACTGGTTACCATGACGTCACAATCAAATGACATCACTGAAGCTGTTAGCAGTACTTTTTACACTGAAGACACTTCTAATTACTGTCTACAAACTGAAAAGGATCAAAGAATGATTTTGGATGATAAATAAAATCTCACCCTCGTGTCTTTTGATATCAAACATTTCAACACTCATTGATATATTTGATATCAAAAGACATGAGGGTGAGATTTTATTTATCATCCAAAATCGTTCTTCGATCTTTTTCAGTTTATTTTCTGTTTCCAGACTTTCATTATAAGTGTAATGCGGTACTGAATCTAAAACATACTTTAGAAGTCAGGTGAAATGGGGTTTAACGTCAGGTTCAAGATTATTGCACTTATGTTGCTGCTTGAACTTGTCAGGACTGATGCTGGGGTTAGGCTGCTAGCTCAGAGATACCATGCCACTTCTAACATGGACACCCCACTCAGACACAGTATACTGTCCCTGAACTGAACATTTCTTGTTTCATCCCCTTAAAGTCGGGGGCCAGGCTGGGTAACAACAAGTACCATCTTTTGAACATCTTTTGGTATGACTGCTGCTTCAGAGCATGAGCGGCCACAACACTGGAATCTAAGGACGACAAGACACAGCAACTTGAATTTCTAAAAAAAACCACTTTGATTTGAGTTGTTTCAATGATTTCTCGACTAAATTTTTCCTCATGGAAAGTGAGTGAGATCATGGAGTAAGTAAGTAAGTGAGTGAGTGAGTTCGGTTGGCTTTAACGCCGCTTTTAACAGTATTCCAGTTCCATCTAGCGTGTCAGCTTAATGTGGGAGGAAAGCCCAAAGTGATGCAGGTCTCAGACGTTTACCACTTCAGTGAAACCCACGAGCACAGGTATGGTGCTGACAAACCTAGAAACATAATCAGGGCAAACCACGATTAAAACCCACAATCATAGGTTTCTGGCGTGTCCAAGGGACGCAACTCTGCACAGCGAATCGCAGCACCTCGGACAACCGGGCCCCCCCAGGCCTGCCCCCGTGAGATCAACAAGTTGTGCCCACTCTGTCACCTGCCTGGGATACTTACTGAGATGTTTCTCAGGCAGTAGAAGCTGGAGGCTAGCTGCAGTGAGAGTCTGGTCTGAAACACATGTTATAGGCTTCACTCATTACACTTGAAGGGAATATTATATTATTCAACTAAATGCAATGTTGATATAACTGTTAAATTGAAGCTTGAAAATTTTTTAAATGAAATAAATGTGTATTTCCTGTTGGCTGACAACTGGTTTGTTTGTTTGTTTGTTCGTTTGTTTGTTTAACGCCGCACGCAGCAATATTCCAGATATATGACGGCGGTCTGTAAATAATTGAGTCTGGACCAGACAATCCAGTGATTAATATCATAAGCATCAATCCACGCAATTGGGATACGATGACATGCATCAACCAAGTCAGCAAATCTGACCACCTGATCCCGTTTGTCGCCTCTTACGACAAGCATTTTCGCCTTTTACGGCAAGCATGGGTTGCTGAAAACCTATTCTAACCCGGATCTTCACGGGTTGCTGACAACTGAGAGTTAGGTTGACACCCTAGCAATGACCATGCTCAACCATCTATGAGGTGACATCTTCCCGAGGCAAGAGCGTTAATTGACTTTACAAGTCCAGTTTCCACCCTCGCCGAACTAGGCTGCAATTCCTGGGCTCGATCGTAGCGCCACCAGTGGCTATTAACTCCCTTGCCTCGGGAAGATGATGAGGTGATGGAGTGAGGCGATCCCTACCTTCATCTTGCCCTTGGCCCCCATGTAGTAGCTCTGTAGCTGGGCCACAGCCTCCTGGAACGCCCCCTGCAACAAGCAACCAGTCAGTCATAGCATCCTTGTGACCAGAGCTTTGTCTTTGGTTAAGTTATTCCAGCTATTACTGCGGAGTGTAACACAATTGCAGGGTTTTCCAAAAAAAGAGAAGAAAATTGTAGCGGGGTCTGGGGGCATGCCCCTCCAGAAATTATTTAAACATTTAATTGAATTTTGAATGCCAATGTAATAAGTCAATGTAATAAGTCAATGTAATAAGTCAGTGTAATAAGTAAATGTAATAAGTCAATGTAAAAAGTCAGTGTAATAAGTAAATGTAATAAGTCAATGTAAAAAGTCAACGTAAAAAGTCAATGTAAAAAGTCAACGTAAAAAGTCAACGTAAAAAGTCAATGTAAAAAGTCAACGTAAAAAGTCAATGTAAAAAGTCAATGTAATAAGTCAATGTAAAAAGTCAATGTAAAAAGTCAATGTAATAAGTCAATGTAAAAAGTCAATGTAATAAGTCAATGTAAAAAGTCAATGTAAAAAGTCAATGTAATAAGTCAACGTAAAAAGTCAATGTAAAAAGCCAGACTTGTTTATTTCCAGACTGCTGTCATACAGATGGAACATTGCTGAGTGGAGCATTTAACGACAAGCAAACAAAACAAACAAACAAACACACCCACCTGGTAGAGACACATGTCTGTCTGGAACACCCCCATCCAGGACCACAGCTCCATCCTCCACGTCTGACACATCACGATAAACTCTGCAACGTCACAATGGGGCAAGAAGAAATCATTAATGGTCACAGGAACATATGATTTCAAAGAATTTCATGTCATCAAACAAGATCATGACCCGGAATGATTTCAGGTTCGTCTAGTACGACACTGCTATGACACTGCTACCAACCTCGACGCAGATCTTCCGAGGAGTGGAGCAGTTCGAAACACTTCATGGCGGTGATGAAGTTCTGGATGATGACCTGGGAGTTGGAGATGCTGGTGGAGGACATGATCTGGGGCAGATGTGGGTTGTCCTGGCGGAGACGCTTTATCTTCGGCCTGGAAGGCAAATTCAGGATCCATACAGTGAGTGAGTGAGTATGGTTTTACGCCGCTTTTAGAAATATTCCAGCAATATCACGGCGGGGGACACCAGAAATGGGCTTCACACATTGTACCCATGTCGGGAATCGAACCCGGGTCTTCGGCGTGACGAGCGAACGCTTTAACCACTAGGCTACCCGACCGCCATGATCCATACAGAATTTCAGTCCCAAAAGTCAAAGCCTCCTCAAGGTCTTTTCACAGAACCAACCCAAAAAATTTAAAACCGTCAGATAATTTTCTTCTGTCTGTGTCAATTGGCTGATATTGTGTGACACTTGACTGTAAGTGCCATCCAGTCCATATGAACATGAGCTGTCAGTGGGCCCTTCCAGAGTTTTGTTTTTCCTCAAATTAAGATTAGATACATATGTTTTATTAGGTAATTTAAAGATGGGGATTGATAAGGTCACTTAAGGCACACCAGCCAGTTTCAAGGCTGTAATCTATTTTTTCTCTAATATTATGCAGTTTAAAATACCAGTCGCCGGACTGATTTTTCCAAGCAGATAAGTGGCGACTGCTAAAATAATATTGGTTGCAAAGGGGAAATTTCAATCGCCATGGTGACCAAATTAGTTACAGCATTGAGGTCTGCCCTAGAAGACTGGTGAAATTGTTTTCCTTCGTTACTTAAATTCAGAGGTATTGTAACATTTTAAGATTACATTCAATGAAAAAAACATAAAAGCGGGCACTAATACCTCTTCCTCTTAACTGATTGTGTTATGTGTGAAGTACATGTTATCTCTACAAAGCCACAAAGCAGTTATTGGTTGTATATATCAGGTCTAGATGAATCCCTGATGTGTGGGCACCTGATCCAATAAACATGCAACAGAGTGTCCTAAATAAATTAACACAAATTGCTTTCTTCAAAGTTTTGTTTTTCTTCAAATTAAGATTAGATATATATGTATCATTAGGTAATTTAAAATAAGATGGGGATTGATATGGAAACTTAAGGTACCCCAGCCAGTTTCAAGGCGTTTTCAATCAAAGGCTGTTAGCTTCTAAGACTTAAAATTTAAGTCATCAAGCCTGACAACACGATCCAATGAGTCGATAATTACAACCAGCACAGGTTACTGGGGACCTTTCTGACCCAGAAACCACATGGGTGTTAATTAACTTCTCTGTCTAGGGGGATACGGGTGGCCCAGTCGTCTAAGGCGCCGCGATTCGCTGTGCAGAGTTGTGTCCCTATGATTGTGGGTTTGAATCCTGGTTCGCCCCGATTATGTTTCTAGGTTTGTCAGCACCATACCCGTGCTCATGGGTTTCACCGAAGTGGTAAACATCTGAGACCTGCATCACTTCGGGCTTTCCTCCCACATTAAGCTGACATGCCGCGATATAAGTGGAATACTGTTAAAAGTGGCGTTAAACCCAACTCACTCACTCACTCTGTCTAGAGATATTACATCATCCAGGCCTGTGGCAATAGTGATGACTTTAGATCTAGATAAAACCCTGGAAACCCTGGAAACATCACTTCCTGCAACAAGGGGGGCGGTCGGTTAGCCTAGTGGTTAAAACGTTCGCTCGTCACATCAAAGACCTGGGTTCGATTCCCGACATGGGTACAATGTGTGAAGCCCATTTCTGGTGTCCCCTGCCCCTGATATTGCTGGAATATTGCTAAAAGCGGCGTAAAACTAACTCACTCACTCACGCACTCACTCACGCCAACCTTTAAATCTTCAGGGACAATATTTCGGTAAACCTACACTAACCCCTGCAGCCATTCCCTCGGTTCTTGCGATCGCAAATTACCCACTCTAGATTTTTATTAACATTTTACCGTCCAATCAAACATCGACACAATGGTAAGGGAAAGGGTAAGGGAGGTAACTCGTATAAATCAAAGCCAGTGCCAGTTTTAATTGACATCAAGACATCCTTTCCTTTCTTTTTTTCAATTCTAAATTATCATAATCTCGATCATAATCTCAATCGTGACTGACCAACCAAAGTTGAGGCTGTTTTGTAATTTGCATCCTGATTGGTACATTAGACCTAGTAGCGTAGCCAATGAAAATCAAGGGAGGGTAATTTGAGCGAGTGAGTGAGTATGGTTTTACGCCACTTTTAGCAATATTCCAGCAATATCACGGCGGGGGACACCAGAAATGGGCTTCACACATTGTACCTATATCAGGACTCGAACCCAGGTCTTCGGCATGATGTGTGAACGCTTTAACCACTAGGCTACCCAACCGTACCCTGAGATTGCGAGAGCCATGTGAATGGGTCAAGGGTTTGCTGTAGGCTAGCCCTGGAGATATAGATCATGGGGTTGACGGCATGACAGCATGTGCATCTACATCTACCACACATTCAGCTCATCAAAGCAAGTCCAGATGACTGAGAATGTCGTGAGATATGACTGAGGCTTGAGAGAATCCTACAGTCGTATCAACTTACTGGATCTGTGTCTCGCCGTTCTCCGAGCGGAACTTCTCCAGGATGACGACGGGGACATGTAGGGGGGATAAACTGGAACCTGCAACATCATAACAGAGGATATATTGTTTTACGCCACAGTCAGCCACAGGTCAGCTACCTTCTATCGCCGTCTATAAAGCAACCCCCTCGTAAAGGCAACCCCCTGCAAAAACCTCCCAAATCGATGCTAATTTATATACCCTCTCTATAAACCAATCATGCAGTCAGCAATATTCAAGCAATATCACGCTGGCCTGTAAATAATCAAGTCAGGACCAGACACACCAAAGGTTGATATCATGAGCACATGATGGCATACGATGACACACAATCACCCAAGTTACTATACCCAGGGATTTATTTTTATTTTTTTCTAAGGAACAATTGTTTCAAGGAGCCAATGTAAAATTCAAGAAGCCCGGTGAAAAATTAAGGTGTCAAACTTCAAGATTATAGTCAGTGATGTATAATGCTGTTAAAGCATATTTCATCTGGCTAACTGCAGCAATACCTATTCTACCTTTGGTGTAACAAGCTTTGTCGTTAATTATGTTGTTGTAAATACTTGACAAGATTATCGATTACCTTTTTGCCAAAAAAAAACCATATTCATTTTCAGATTTTTCAAAATGAAACTATAGTTCAGTCAATCAGTATTAATGTAATCTATTTCTGTCTCTAATATTATGCAGTTAGTATCACAAGTCGCCGATTTGATTTTTCCAAGACTACTAAAATGACATTGGTTGCCCAAGGGGAAATTTCATTCGCCATGGTGACCAAATTAGTTGCAGCATTTAGACCTGCCCTGGAAGACAATTTTTTTTTAAAACTGGGGGAAATTGTTTTCCTTAGTTACTTAATTTCAGAGGTATTCCATCAATCACAGTTTATTTCAGAAGAAAGGTCATTGGCCCATGTGCAATAAATTACAAAAATCAATTTTGAAACAGATGTGTGTTTTGTCTAACAAACAGGGAGTTGTATATAAACTTTGCACAAATAATCAACATCAATTGCTTATTGCATGACACTAGAGAGTACAATTTTCTTAAACATGGGTTTTGACAATAATATTTGGGGAAATATGTGTTTCTTAAATGCTTATACTATGGACATATTAACATGAAATGGAACTTATCTTCAACAGCTTGCATGTCACAATAATTACAAAGTCTTTGAGAATATTTCATACCACAGCGTCTACCAACATTTTTCATCAAGGGTAGCTCACCAGATCGTAACAGAAAAATAATATGTCTATAACGTTGGTATTGTAACATTGTAAGATTACATTCAATGAAAAAACATAAAAGCGGGCAATAATACCTCTTCCTGTTTATTGATTGTGTTATGAGTGAAATACATTTGATCTCTACAAAGCCCCCAAAGCAGTTATTGGTCGTATATATCAGGTCTAGGTAAATCCCTGATGTGTGGCCACCTGATCCAATCAACAAGCAACAGCGTGCCGGGGACCTAGACCAACCCCATCTTCCCAAAGCAAGAACCCGTAATGGGATGTCCTCAGATCTTTGTTTAGGGATAGCGAGAACTAAGATCTGATTTTAATGAGATTGTTTGTTGCACACATGACCTGACACGATATATAACCTTACCAGTTTGGTGTCACACCACAACAGACAAAATGGCACCAAGTGCTGGAGTTATATGTGACCAGGCATCGTATAAAACAACACACACACAATTTTATTGCATATGTAGGGATTGTGTTTGTGCTGGTGATGTGCTTCATTCTGGGTTGCTTTATAGATGGGGTATATGAATTTATTGGCATCAATTTTTAAGGGGGGGCGTTTTATAGACGGCAATATACAGAAGTGACACACAAATCTGGAAACGCAAACAATAATAACGATCGCTAACATACAGAATGTGTTGCCGTGGTTACTTACTGGAGAGGTTTTCTGTGTCCACATGACTGACGTACATGTAGAGACACTGCAGGAAGAGCACGGTGGCCACGTACAGTATGTGTTGTCATGGTTACTTACTGGAGAGGTTTTCTGTGTCCACATGACTGACGTACATGTAGAGACACTGCAGGAAGAGCACTGTGGCCACGTACAGGATGTGTTGTCATGGTAACTTACCGGAGAGGTTTTCTGTGTCAACATGACTGACATACATGTAGAGACACTGCAGGAAGAGCACGGTGGCCACGTACAGGATGTGTTGCCGTGGTAACTTACCGGAGAGGTTTTCTGTGTCCACATGACTGAAGTACATGTAGAGACACTGCAGGAAGAGCATGGTGGCCACGTACAGGATGTGTTGCCGTGGTTACTTACCGGAGAGGTTTTCTGTGTCCACATGACTGACGTACATGTAGAGACACAGCAGGAAAAGCACTGTGGCCACGTACAGGATGTGTTGCCGTGGTTACTTACTGGAGAGGTTTTCTGTGTCCACATGACTGACGTACATGTAGAGACACTGCAGGAAGAGCACTGTGGCCACGTACAGGATGTGTTGTCATGGTAACTTACCGGAGAGGTTTTCTGTGTCAACATGACTGACATACATGTAGAGACACTGCAGGAAGAGCATGGTGGCCACGTACAGGATGTGTTGCCGTGGTAACTTACCGGAGAGGTTTTCTGTGTCCACATGACTGACGTACATGTAGAGACACTGCAGGAAGAGCATGGTGGCCACGTACAGGATGTGTTGCCGTGGTTACTTACCGGAGAGGTTTTCTGTGTCCACATGACTGACGTACATGTAGAGACACAGCAGGAAAAGCACTGTGGCCACGTACAGGATGTGTTGCCGTGGTTACTTACCGGAGAGGTTTTCTGTGTCCACATGACTGACGTACATGTAGAGACACTGCAGGAAGGGCACAGTGGCCACGTACAGGATGTGTTGTCATGGTTACTTACCGGAGAGGTTTTCTGTGTCAACATGACTGACATACATGTAGAGACACTGCAGGAAGAGCACGGTGGCCACGTACAGGATGTGTTGTCATGGTTACTTACCGGAGAGGTTTTCTGTGTCCACATGACTGACGTACATGTAGAGACACTGCAGGAAGAGCACGGTGGCCACGTACAGGATGTGCTTCTGTCCCCGCTCCGACGGCTTCTGCTTGATGCTGTTGTAGACACCTAACAAATACTGCCACTGGTAATCTCTGAAACAGGAAACAAAACAACCTGAGTTACAGAGGTGAGGTGAGGTGAGGTGAGGTGAGGTGAGGTGAGGTGAGGTGAGGTGAGGTGAGGTGAGGTGAGGTGAGGTGAGGTGAGGTGAGGTGAGGTTTAACATCTCAGTCAAGATTACTGCACTTGTAAAGTAGTGTCTGTCTCTGCCTGCCTGCTTGCCTGCTTGCCTGCCTGCCCGCCCGCCCATCCGTCCATCCATCCATCTGTCTGTCTGTCTACACTAATGCCAACCAAGATACCATGCCACATTTTAACATGGATAACCCACTCAGACACATAATTCTGATTCCAAGCCAACAGTCCTTGTTAGATCCCCTTAATGCCAAGCATCAGGCAGGGAAACAACAAGTACCATCTTTTAACATCTTTTGGTACGACACGGCCAGGGAATCAAATCACCAACCTTCCGCTCTCGAGGCAGATGTCTTTCCCACTAGACCATAGAGGAGTTCTCCAGGCAGACACTCTACTCATTAGACCATGGTTTGTATTGGTTTGTTTGTTGTTTAACACCGCACTCAGCAATATTCCAGCTATATGATGGCAGTCAGTAAATAATCGAGTCTGGACCAGACAATCCAGTGATTGATATCACGAGCATCGATCCACGCAATTGGGATATGACCAGCCGATCCCTTTCGTCATCTTTAGGGGCAAGCATGGGTTGCTGAAGACCTATTCTACACCGGATCTTCACGGGTCCACAAGATTATGGAGGCGGTCTCTAGGTAGATTCTCTATCCACTATCCATGGAGGTGGCCTCCAGGCAGATGCTCTATCCACCATCCATGGAGGCGGCCTCCAGGAAGACACACTACCCACTATCCAAGGAGGCAGCCTCCAGGCAGACGCTCTATCCACTATCCATGGAGGCAGCCTCCAGGAAGACGCTCTACCCACTATCCATGGAGGCGGCCTCCAGGAATACGCTCTATCCACTATCCATGGAGGCGGCCTCCAGGCAGAAGCTCTATCCACTATCCAAGGAGGCGGCCTCCAGGCAGAAGCTCTATCCACTATCCAAGGAGGCGGGCTCCAGGCAGACGCGCTTTCCACTATCCATGGAGGCAGCCTCCAGGCAGACGCGCTATCCACTATCCATGGAGGCGGCCTCCAGGAAGACGCTCTATCCACTATCCATGGAGGCGGCGTCCAGGCAGACGCTCTACCCACTATCCATGGAGGCAGCCTCCAGGCAGACGCTCTACCCACTATCCATGGAGGCGGCCTCCAGGCAGACGCTCTATCCACTATCCATGGAGGCGTTCTCCAGGCAAACATTATATCTACTACTCCACAAAGGTGGTCTTCCGTCTTACCGGGATTTATTGAAAATGTCTGCTTCCATCTCCCATCCAAGATGGCCGCCAAACAACTGCAGCAGCTTGAAGAGGCTGCCCCAGGGGTCGGTGACCTGACTCTCTCTGTCCAGAAGCCCTGGGATCATGGGGAACTTCTTAGCTGACGTCTTTGTGGGGGACAATAAATCTGAAACACATTCACTCTTCACAAGGGACCGATCATTTATGAGGCTGGCTGGGGGTAAGGGTGGCAAGAATTACTTTCAATATTTTTTTAGTGTTGTCACTTTAGTATTTTAGTATTTTTTTTCAAGTGTTGTAGAACTTGAAAGATCACCAGAGGTGGGAGTGGTCAAATTACAACAAAACCTTAAAAAATTGCTGTAAATACTCAGCAGCTTAAAAAGTGATCAGCTAGGTAACCCACGACAACCATCTTTGACCTCCTAATGCCTCCGTCACATTTGGGGGCACGGGTGGCCCAGTCATCTAGGGCGCCGCAATTCACTGTGCAGAGTTGCGTCCCTTGGGCACGCCAGAAACCTATGATTGTGGGTTTGAATCCCGGTTCGTCCTGTGTGACAGGCTGTGACATACCTGTAGACTGTGACACGTCCTGTGTGATGGGCTGTGACATACCTGTAGACTGTGACACGTCCTGTGTGACGGGCTGTGACATACCTGTAGACTGTGACGCGTCCTGTGTGAGTGAGTGAGTGAGTTGGGTTTAGCGCCGCTTTTAACAGTATTCCAGTTTTATCACGGCGTGTCAGCTTTATGTGGGAGGAAAGCCCGAAGTGATGCAGGTCTCAGACGTTTACCAATTGGTGAAACCGACGAGCACGGGTATGGTGCTGACAAACCTAGAAACATAATTGGGGTGAACCGGGATTCGAACCCACAATCATAGGTTTCTGGCGTGCCCAAGGGACGCAACTCTGCACAGCGAATCGCGGCGCCTTAGACGACTGGGCCACCCGTGCCCCCCACGTCCTGTGTGACTTGCTGTGACATACCTGGAGACTGTGACACGTCCTGTGTGACGGCTGTGACATACCTGTAGACTGTGACACGTCCTGTGTGACCGGCTGTGACATACCTGGAGACTGTGACACATCCTGTGTGACCGGCTGTGACATACCTGGAGACTGTGACACGTCCTGTGTGACGGGCTGTGACATACCTGGAGACTGTGACAAGTCCTGTGTGACGGGCTGTGACATACCTGGAGACTGTGACACGTCCTGTGTGACGGGCTGTGACATACCTGGAGACTGTGACACGTCCTGTGTGACGGGTTGGGTGGTATAGCTAATGTAGAACTCCACAGATCTCTGCAGCCAGGTGTACAGCTCAACGTCAGAGATGGAGAGGTGGCCGATCTTGTGCAGAACCAGAGGCAGCGTGTCACACACTAGAACAGAACAACACACATCATATCACACACTGAAACAGAACACACATCATAACCACACACTGAACGAGAACAACAGACATCATATCACACACAGAAACAGAACAACACACATCATATCTCACACAGAAAATGAACAACACACATCATATCACACACAGAAACAGAACAACACACATCATATCACACACAGAAACAGAACAACACACATCAAATCACACACAGAAACAGAACAACACACATCATATCACACACAGAAACAGAACAACACAAATCATTTCACACACAGAAACAGAACAACACATCATATCACACACAGAAACAGAACAACACACATCAAATCACACACTGAAACAGAACAACACACATCATATCACACACAGAAACAGAACAACACACATCATATCACACACTTAAACAGAACAACACACATCATATCACACACAGAAACAGAACAACACACATCATATCACACACTGGAACAGAACAACACACATCATATCACACACTAGAACAGAACAACACACATCATATCACACACAGAAACAGAACAACACACATCATATCACACACAGAAACAGAACAACACACATCATATCACACACTGGAACAGAACAACACACATCATATCACACACTAAAACAGAACAACACACATCATATCACACACAGAAACAGAACAACACACATCATATCACACACTAGAACAGAACAACACACATCATATCACACACTGAAACAGAACAACACATCATATCACACACAGAAACAGAACAACACATCATATCACACACAGAAACAGAACAACACACATCATATCACACACTGGAACAGAACAACACACATCATATCACACACTAAAACAGAACAACACACATCATATCACACACAGAAACAGAACAACACACATGATATCACACACTGGAACAGATCACACATCATATCACACGCTGAAAGAGAACAACACACATCAAATCACACACTGGAACAGAACAACACACATCATATCACACACTGCAACAGAACAACACATCATATCACACACAGAAACAGAACAACACACATCATATCACACACTGGAACAGAACAACACACATCATATCACACACTAAAACAGAACAACACACATCATATCACACACAGAAACAGAACAACACACATCATATCACACACTGGAACAGATCACACATCATATCACACGCTGAAAGAGAACAACACACATCAAATCACACACTGGAACAGAACAACACACATCATATCACACACTGAAACAGAACAACACATCATATCACACACTAGAACAGAACAACACACATCAAATCACACACTGAAACAGAACAACACATCAAATCACACACTGAAAGAGAACAACACACATCATATCACACACTGAAAGAGAACAACACACATCATATCACACACTGAAACAGATCACACATCATATCACACGCTGAAAGAGAACAACACACATCAAATCACACACTGAAAGAGAACAACAAACATTAATCACACACTGAAACAGAACAACACACATCATATCACACACTGAAACAGAACAACACACATCATATCACACACTGAAACAAAACAACACACATCATATCACACACAGAAACAGAACAACACACATCATATCACACACTGAAACAGAACAACACACATCATATCACACACTGAAACAGAACAACACACATATCACACACTGGAACAGAACAACACACATCATATCACACACTGAAACAGAACAACACACATATCACACACTGGAACAGAACAACACACATCATATCACACACTGAAACAGAACAACACACATATCACACACTGAAACAGAACAACACACATATCACACACTGAAACAGAACAACACACATCATATCACACACTGAAACAGAACAACACACATCATATCACACACTGAAAGAGAACAACACACATCATATCACACACTGGAACAGAACAACACACATCATATCACACACTGAAACAGAACACACATCATATCACACACTGAAACAGAACAACACACATCAAATCACACACTGAAACAGAACAACACACATCATATCACACACTGAAACAGAACAACACACATCATATCACACACTGAAACAGAACAACACACATATCACACACTGGAACAGAACAACACACATCAAATCACACACTGAAACAGAACAACACACATCATATCACACACTGAAACAGAACAACACACATCAAATCACACACTGAAACAGAACAACACACATCATATCACACACAGAAACAAAACAACAAACATCATATCACACATTGAAACAGAACAACACACATCATAACCACACACTGAAACAGAACAACACACATCATATCACACACAGAAACAGAACAACACACATCAAATCACACACTGAAACAGAACAACACACATATCACACACTGGAACAGAACAACACACATCAAATCACACACTGAAACAGAACAACACACATCATATCACACACAGAAACAAAACAACAAACATCAAATCACACACTGAAACAGAACAACACACATCATATCACACACAGAAACAGAACAACACACATCAAATCACACACTGAAACAGAACAACACACATCATATCACACACTGAAACAGAACAACACACATCAAATCACAAACTGAAACAGAACAACACACATCATATCACACACAGAAACAAAACAACAAACATCATATCACACATTGAAACAGAACAACACACATCATAACCACACACTGAAACAGAACAACACACATCATATCACACACTGAAACAGAACAACACATCATATCACACACTGGAACAGAACAACACACATCATATCACACACTGAAACAGAACACACATCATATCACACACTGGAACAGAACAACACACATCATATCACACACTGAAAGAGAACAACACACATCAAATCACACACTGGAACAGAACAACACACATCAAATCACACACTGAAACAGAACAACACACATCATAACCACACACTGGAACAGAACAACACACATCAAATCACACACTGAAACAGAACAACACACATCATATCACACACTGGAACAGAACAACACACATCATATCACACACAGAAACAGACAACACACATCATATCACACACTGAAACAGAACAACACACATCATATCACACACTGGAACAGAACAACACACATCATATCACACACTGAAAGAGAACAACACACATCATATCACACACTGAAAGAGAACAACACACATCATATCACACACTGGAAGACAACAACACACATCAAATCACACACTGAAAGAGAACAACACACATCATATCACACACTGAAACAGAACAACACACATATCACACACTGAAAGAGAACAACACACATCATATCACACACTGAAACAGAACAACACACATCATATCACACACAGAAAGAGAACAACACACATCAAATCACACACTGAAAGAGAACAACACACATATCACACACTGAAAGAGAACAACACACATCATATCACACACAGAAACAGAACAACACACATTATATCACACACTAGAACAGAACAACACATCATATCACACACTGGAACAGAACAACACACATCTCACACACTGAAAGAGAACAACACACATCAAATCACACACTAAAAAAGAAAACAACACACATCATATCACACAATCTCACAGAACACGCATCATATCACATAATGGAACAAAACAGACATCATATAACAAACTCACTTAACAATTGACATGGGTCGCAGCTCAATAGATCAACTCACCTAACAGTTTCCAGTAACAGTTGACGGGAGACACAGCTCAATAGATCAACTCACCTAACAGTTTCCAGTAACAGTTGACGGGAGACACAGCTCAATAGATCGACTCACCTAACAGTTTCCGGTAACAGTTGACGGGAGACACAGCTCAATAGATCGACTCACCTAACAGTTTCCGGTAACAGTTGACGGGAGACACAGCTCAATAGATCAACTCACCTAACAGTTTCCGGTAACAGTTGACGGGAGACACAGCTCAATAGATCGACTCACCTAACAGTTTCCGGTAACAGTTGACGGGAGACACAGCTCAATAGATCGACTCACCTAACAGTTTCCTGTAACAGTTGACGGGAGACACAGCTCAATAGATCGACTCACCTAACAGTTTCCGGTAACAGTTGACGGGAGACACCGGTAACAGTTGACGGGAGACACGGCTCAATAGATCAACTCACCTAACAGTTTCCGGTAACAGTTGACGGGAGACACGGCTCAATAGATCAACTCACCTAACAGTTTCCAGTAACAGTTGACGGGAGACACGGCTCAATAGATCAACTCACCTAACAGTTTCCGGTAACAGTTGATGGGAGACACGGCTCAATAGATCAACTCACCTAACAGTTTCCAGTAACAGTTGACGGGAGACACGGCTCAATAGATCAACTCACCTAACAGTTTCCGGTAACAGTTGATGGGAGACACAGCTCAATAGATCAACTCACCTAACAGTTTCCTGTAACAGTTGACGGGAGACACAGCTCAATAGATCGACTCACCTAACAGTTTCCGGTAACAGTTGACGGGAGACACCGGTAACAGTTGACGGGAGACACGTCTCAATAGATCAACTCACCTAACAGTTTCCGGTAACAGTTGACGGGAGACACGGCTCAATAGATCAACTCACCTAACAGTTTCCAGTAACAGTTGACGGGAGACACGGCTCAATAGATCAACTCACCTAACAGTTTCCGGTAACAGTTGATGGGAGACACGGCTCAATAGATCAACTCACCTAACAGTTTCCAGTAACAGTTGACGGGAGACACGGCTCAATAGATCAACTCACCTAACAGTTTCCGGTAACAGTTGATGGGAGACACAGCTCAATAGATCAACTCACCTAACAGTTTCCTGTAACAGTTGACGGGAGACACAGCTCAATAGATCGAATCACCTAACAGTTTCCGGTAACAATTGACGGGAGACACCGGTAACAGTTGACGGGAGACACGGCTCAATAGATCAACTCACCTAACAGTTTCCTGTAACAGTTGACGGGAGACACAGCTCAATAGATCGACTCACCTAACAGTTTCCGGTAACAGTTGACGGGAGACACGGCTCAATAGATCAACTCACCTAACAGTTTCCGGTAACAGTTGACGGGAGACACGGCTCAATAGATCAACTCACCTAACAGTTTCCGGTAACAGTTGACGGGAGACACCGGTAACAGTTGACGGGAGACACAGCTCAATAGATCGACTCACCTAACAGTTTCCGGTAACAGTTGACGGGAGACACCGGTAACAGTTGACGGGAGACACGGCTCAATAGATCAACTCACCTAACAGTTTCCAGTAACAGTTGACGGGAGACACGGCTCAATAGATCAACTCACCTAACAGTTTCCGGTAACAGTTGATGGGAGACACGGCTCAATAGATCAACTCACCTAACAGTTTCCAGTAACAGTTGACGGGAGACACGGCTCAATAGATCAACTCACCTAACAGTTTCCGGTAACAGTTGATGGGAGACACAGCTCAATAGATCAACTCACCTAACAGTTTCCTGTAACAGTTGACGGGAGACACAGCTCAATAGATCAACTCACCTAACAGTTTCCTGTAACAGTTGACGGGAGACACAGCCCAATAGATCGACTCACCTAACAGTTTCCGGTAACAGTTGACGGGAGACACCGGTAACAGTTGACGGGAGACACGGCTCAATAGATCAACTCACCTAACAGTTTCCGGTAACAGTTGACGGGAGACACGGCTCAATAGATCAACTCACCTAACAGTTTCCGGTAACAGTTGATGGGAGACACGGCTCAATAGATCAACTCACCTAACAGTTTCCAGTAACAGTTGACGGGAGACACGGCTCAATAGATCAACTCACCTAACAGTTTCCGGTAACAGTTGACGGGAGACACAGCTCAATAGATCGACTCACCTAACAGTTTCCGGTAACAGTTGACGGGAGACACGGCTCAATAGATCAACTCACCTAACAGTTTCCTGTAACAGTTGACGGGAGACACGGCTCAATAGATCAACTCACCTAACAGTTTCCAGTAACAGTTGACGGGAGACACGGCTCAATAGATCAACTCACCTAACAGTTTCCTGTAACAGTTGACGGGAGACACAGCTCAATAGATCAACTCACCTAACAGTTTCCTGTAACAGTTGACGGGAGACACAGCTCAATAGATCAACTCACCTAACAGTTTCCTGTAACAGTTGACGGGAGACACAGCTCAATAGATCAACTCACCTAACAGTTTCCAGTAACAGTTGACGGGAGACACAGCTCAATAGATCGACTCACCTAACAGTTTCCGGTAACAGTTGACAGGAGACACCGGTAACAGTTGACGGGAGACACGGCTCAATAGATCAACTCAGCTAACAGTTTCCGGTAACAGTTGACGGGAGACACAGCTCAATAGATCAACTCACCTAACAGTTTCCTGTAACAGTTGACGGGAGACACAGCTCAATAGATCAACTCACCTAACAGTTTCCTGTAACAGTTGACGGGAGACACAGCTCAATAGATCAACTCACCTAACAGTTTCCAGTAACAGTTGACGGGAGACACAGCTCAATAGATCGACTCACCTAACAGTTTCCGGTAACAGTTGACGGGAGACACAGCTCAATAGATCAACTCACCTAACAGTTTCCAGTAACAGTTGACGGGAGACACAGCTCAATAGATCAACTCACCTAACAGTTTCCAGTAACAGTTGACGGGAGACACGGCTCAATAGATCAACTCACCTAACAGTTTCCTGTAACAGTTGACGGGAGACACAGCTCAATAGATCGACTCGTCTAACAGTTTCCAGTAACAGTTGACGGGAGACACAGCTCAATAGATCGACTCACCTAACAGTTTCCGGTAACAGTTGACAGGAGACACCGGTAACAGTTGACGGGAGACACGGCTCAATAGATCAACTCAGCTAACAGTTTCCGGTAACAGTTGACGGGAGACACAGCTCAATAGATCAACTCACCTAACAGTTTCCGGTAACAGTTGATGGGAGACACGGCTCAATAGATCAACTCACCTAACAGTTTCCAGTAACAGTTGACGGGAGACACGGCTCAATAGATCAACTCACCTAACAGTTTCCGGTAACAGTTGACGGGAGACACGGCTCAATAGATCAACTCACCTAACAGTTTCCAGTAACAGTTGATGGGAGACACGGCTCAATAGGTCAATTCACCTAACAGTTTCCGGTAACAATTGACAGGGGTCGCAGCTCAATAGATCAACTCACCTAACAGTTTCCGGTAACAGTTGACGGGAGACACGGCTCAATAGATCAACTCACCTAACAGTTTCCGGTAACAGTTTACGGGAGACACGGCTCAATAGATCAACTCACCTAACAGTTTCTGGTAACAGTTGATGGGAGACACGGCTCAATAGATCGACTCACCTAACAGTTTCCAGTAACAGTTGACGGGAGACACGGCTCAATAGATCAACTCACCTAACAGTTTCTGGTAACAGTTGATGGGAGACACGGCTCAATAGATCGACTCACCTAACAGTTTCCAGTAACAGTTGACGGGAGACACGGCTCAATAGATCAACTCACCTAACAGTTTCCAGTAACAGTTGACGGGAGACACGGCTCAATAGATCGACTCACCTAACAGTTTCCGGTAACAGTTGACGGGAGACACGGCTCCACTCTGCCTCTCCTCCACCATCAGCAACTCCACCAGCTTGAGCTGAAACACACACCAGGCACACTGACCACCACAGTAACAAGAGTAACACCAGCCTGTGACACACACCAGGCACACTGACCACCACAGTAACAAGAGTAACACCAGCCTGTGACACACACCAGGCACACTGACCACCACAGTAACAAGAGTAACACCAGCCTGTAACACACACCAGACACACTGACCACCACAGTAACAAGAGTAACACCAGCCTGTAACACACACCAGGCACACTGACCACCACAGTAACAAGAGTAACACCAGCCTGTAACACACACCAGGCACACTGACCACCACAGTAACACCAGCCTGTAACACACACCAGACACACGGACCACCACAGTAACAAGAGCAACACCAGCCTGTAACACACACCAGGCACACTGACCACCACAGTAACAAGAGTAACACCAGCCTGTAACACACACCAGACACACTGACCACCACAGTAACAAGAGTAACACCAGCCTGTAACACACACCAGGCACACTGACCACCACAGTAACAAGAGTAACACCAGCCTGTAACACACACCAGACACACTGACCGCCACAGTAACAAGAGTAACACCAGCCTGTAACACACACCAGGCACACTGACCACCACAATAACAAGAGTAACACCAGCGTCTAACACACACCAGGCACACTGACCACCACAGTAACAAGAGTAACACCAGCCTGTGACACACACCAGGCACACTGACCACCACAGTAACAAGAGTAACACCAGCCTGAAACACACACCAGGCACACTGACCACCACAGTAACAAGAGTAACACCAGCCTGAAACACACACCAGGCACACTGACCACCACAGTAACAAGAGTAACACCAGCCTGTAACACACACCAGGCACACTGACCACCACAGTAACAAGAGTAACACCAGCCTGAAACACACACCAGGCACACTGACCACCACAGTAACAAGAGTAACACCAGCCTGTAACACACACCAGGCACACTGACCACCACAGTAACAAGAGTAACACCAGCCTGTAACACACACCAGGCACACTGACCACCACAGTAACAAGAGTAACACCAGCCTGTAACACACACCAGGCACACTGACCACCACAGTAACAAGAGTAACACCAGCCTGAAACACACACCAGACACACTGACCACCACAGTAACAAGAGTAACACCTGCCTGTAACACACACCAGGCACACTGACCACCACAGTAACAAGAGTAACACCAGCCTGTAACACACACCAGGCACACTGACCACCACAGTAACAAGAGTAACACCAGCGTCTAACACACACCAGGCACACTGACCACCACAGTAACAAGAGTAACACCAGCCTGTAACACACACCAGACACACTGACCGCCACAGTAACAAGAGTAACACCAGCCTGTAACACACACCAGGCACACTGACCGCCACAGTAACAAGAGTAACACCAGCCTGTAACAAACACCAGGCACACTGACTACCACAGTAACAAGAGTAACACCAGCCTGTAACACACACCAGGCACACTGACCACCACAGTAACACCAGCCTGTGACACACACCAGACACACTGACCGCCACAGTAACAAGAGTAACACCAGCCTGTAACACACACCAGGCACACTGACCACCACAGTAACAAGAGTAACACCAGCGTCTAACACACACCAGGCACACTGACCACCACAGTAACAAGAGTAACACCAGCCTGTAACACACACCAGGCACACTGACCACCACAGTAACAAGAGTAACACCAGCCTGTAACACACACCAGGCACACTGACCGCCACAGTAACAAGAGTAACACCAGCCTGTAACACACACCAGGCACACTGACCACCACAGTAACAAGAGTAACACCAGCCTGTACCACACACCAGGCACACTGACCACCACAGTAACAAGAGTAACACCAGCCTGTAACACACACCAGGCACACTGACCACCACAGTAACAAGAGTAACACCAGCCTGTAACACACACCAGGCACACTGACCACCACAGTAACAAGAGTAACACCAGCCTGTAACACACACCAGGCACACTGACCACCACAGTAACAAGAGTAACACCAGCCTGTAACACACACCAGGCACACTGACCACCACAGTAACAAGAGTAACACCAGCCTGTAACACACACCAGGCACACTGACCACCACAGTAACAAGAGTAACACCAGCCTGTAACAAACACCAGGCACACTGACCGCCACAGTAACACCAGCCTGTGACACACACCAGACACACTGACCGCCACAGTAACAAGAGTAACACCAGCCTGTAACACACACCAGGCACACTGACCACCACAGTAACAAGAGCAACACCAGCCTGTAACACACACCAGGCACACTGACCACCACAGTAACAAGAGCAACACCAGCCTGTAACACACACCAGGCACACTGACCACCACAGTAACAAGAGTAACACCAGCCTGTAACACACACCAGGCACACTGACCACCACAGTAACAAGAGTAACACCAGCCTGTGACACACACCAGGCACACTGACCACCACAGTAACAGTAACCCCATGTCTGCTGGTACATACCCCATGCTCTACCACCAAGTTCATGGTAGATGTCTACTGGTACATACACCATGCTCTACAACCAAGTTCATGGTAGATGTCTACTGGTACATACCCCATGCTCTATCACCAGGTTCATGGTAGATGTCTACTGGTACATACCCCATGCTCTATCACCAAGTTCATGTAGATGTCTACTGGTACATACCCCATGCTCTACCACCAAGTTCATGTAGATGTCTACTGGTACATACCCCATGCTCTACCACCAAGTTCATGGTAGATGTCTACTGGTACATACCCCATGCTCTACCACCAAGTTCATGTAGATGTCTACTGGTACATACCCCATGCTCTACCACCAAGTTCATGGTAGATGTCTGCTGGTACATACCCCATGCTCTATCACCAAGTTCATGGTAGATGTCTGCTGGTACATACACCATGCTCTACCACCAAGTTCATGGTAGATGTCTGCTGGTACATACACCATGCTCTACCACCAAGTTCATGGTAGATGTCTACTGGTACATACACCATGCTCTACCACCAAGTTCATGGTAGATGTCTACTGGTACATACCCCATGCTCTACCACCAAGTTCATGGTAGATGTCTACTGGTACTTACCCCATGCTCTACCACCAAGTTCATAGTAGATGTCTACTGGTACATACCCCATGTCTACTGGTAAATACCCCATGCTCTTCCAACCAGTTCATGGTAGATGTCTACTGGTACATACCCCATGCTCTACAACCAAGTTCATGGTAGATGTCTACTGGTACATACACCATGCTCTACAACCATGTTCATGGTAGATGTCTACTGGTACATACCCCATGCTCTACCACCAAGTTCATGGTAGATGTCTACTGGTACATACCCCATGCTCTACCACCAAGTTCATGGTAGATGTCTACTGGTACATACCCCATGCTCTACCACCAAGTTCATAGTAGATGTCTACTGGTAAATACCCCATGCTCTACCACCAAGTTCATGGTAGATGTCTACTGGTACATACCCCATGCTCTACCACCAAGTTCATGGTAGATGTCTACTGGTACATACCCCATGCTCTACCACCAAGTTCATGGTAGATGTCTACTGGTACATACCCCATGCTCTACTGGTACATACCCCATGCTCTACCACCAAGTTGGGGAATTTCCTCATGGCAAGCAACAGCAACCGACATCGCTCCAGGACATTGGAGATCTTCTCAGCAACATTCAGCAACATCTGACACTGGATGTGGGTCGGGAACGCAGCAAATATCTCTGTGAAGACATGCAAAGTGAGGTGAGGTGAGGTGAGGTGAGGTGAGGTGAGGTGAGGTGAGGCAAGGTGAGGTGAGGTGAGGCAAGGTGAGGTGAGGTGAGGCAAGGTGAGGTTAGGTGAGGTGAGGCAAGGTGAGGTGAGGTGAAATGGGGTTTAACGTTGCATCCAAGATTATTGCACTTATATAGCGACGTGCATGCACGTGTGTGTGTGGCTGCTTGTACTAGTCAACTGATGCTGATTTTTAGTGCTAGCAACTGAGATACCATGCCGCAGTTTAACATGAATACCCCATTCAGAAACAGTATACTGACTCCGAGCTGACCAGTCCTTGTTTTGGCCCTTTAATGCCGAGTGCCAGACAGGGTAACAACAAGTACCATCTTTTAACATCTTTTGGTATGACGCGGCCGGGGATCGAACCCTGGACCTTCCGCTCTACCACTAGACCACGGAGGCAGTCAATAGTGCAAGAGTATATCACATGTATATAATTATATACAGGGCTAGAATACCAGATACCTTCTGTCATATTGGCAAGGAATATGCATGAGCTTCTAGTGAAAAAATATCTAAGTTTTTCAGCCTCAATTTTTAGCCACATCGCTTACTTTGTGATTCATCGCCCGATTCTTAAAATAGTCACTGTGTCACTTGCTGCTATGCTAGGAGCCTCAAACAGACAAGCTGGACAGGAATCCGATATTCTGTAAGTGTACCATATACAGAAGTGGTGTGTCTGTTTAAGCAATTAACGACAAGTGTGAGTTGTTCATCATAAAATACATCACTGTAGGGAGAGTAAACCACAAGATCCACACACCCTATTTCTTACATATACATGTGTTCTGAAGCGTCCGGGAACAATTGTCCGCGAACAATTGTCCGCGAACAAGTGTCCGGGAACAAGTCTCATGTTCCTGGACACAGTGGTTGACTCATGGGTACACAACAGCTTCGCGGAAAGCGTTAAAGTTGGCATGCAGCACGTGCTTCTTGCTGGATGAGTGCAAAATGCACATGCTCTAGACACAGTTTATTTCAGTTGGCTTTTGGCATTCATATGGGCAAGGAGTAAATGGATATCTCTCTCTAAGTTACCAAATAGTGAATTAGAATAGTACAGAAATAGAATAGAATAGAAATAGTTGAGAGAGTTACCCATTTACATTGTTACCATACGGCAACTTCACTTTAAGTTTCAAATCCATTTCATTTGATCTTATCACATTTTCATTGTTCACTACATTACAAGGGGATTTCACGTTTAGTTGATTACAAGGGGATTTCACGTTTAGTTGATTACAAGGGGATTTCACGTTTAGTTGATTGCAAGGTAAGTTCATGTTTAGTTTAGTTTAGTTTAGTTTAGTTTAGTTTAGTTTAGTCTTCCACTGCGAACCAACATGAGACATCAATATTATGTGCAGCCTCTTTAAGGATGTTAATAAAATCTACAAGCTTTAAATATGTTTACCCGTATTTAAAATAATGATGACGACCAGAATAGAATCAGACCTCGTCAATGTCGTAATTTGGTATTTCTAGCATATTCTCACAATTTGCACATCACTTATATTATCTATACCTTTTCTTCCACTACCAATTGTCATATCTCTCCCACTCTTGGATGCGATCGTTTGGAAATTGCGTTTAACTACATTACCCCACTACATCTACAGGGAACAACTTACTGGACACTTCCCTCTAAAAATAACGTCATTCAATTTACAATGTCATAAAGTTGCGAGCGCTTATTTGAATCTCCAGAAATGAAGTCATGATAGAACAATGTTGTAACCACGCTTAGCTATTCATCGTTCTTTTTCATTTATCGCATAGCCAGCGTTCCAACTGGCTTTTGGAACTGCTAGTCCTTGTGGACTGGCAACTCTAAAATTATTACCAGTCTCCCCTAATTTTGGCCAGTCCCAACTTTCAAGAAATAAAAAAACGCATGAAAATTATTTCGTTTTAATTCCTTCAACATCATGTTCAGTGCAAAGATGTCATCTCTGAAGTAACTTAGTTAGATCTACACGTCATTCACACAAACTTCAGTCGCAATTTTCTCCCTTTTTTTAACATTTTGAGACGAAGTCGCTACAAATGGAGGTAACAGACAAGCTGACTTTGTTCGAAAAATGCACATATATATGAATCTTATATCATATATTAATCATTAATCATAATCTTAATCAGATATGAAAGATTTATAAGGTATCTTATTTGCTGATCCAAAGAGCCTAGCAGTCACATTAGGTCCAAGCCTAATTTTACTGGTAAAAAACTGGCAATGACCGGTATATGAGAACGCTGATAGCTATGTAATATTTTCTCATCTTCTGGCAAAGTTCTGACATTAGGGACCCTTGGAAACGGCATGAATATTGTGAAAGTAAGTGTGGTTACAAATAACTCTGCTGAGATTAAAGAAAGGAGTCATTTAGATGGAGTGAGTGAGTGAGTGAGTATGGTTTTACGCCGCTTTTAGCAATATTCCAGCAATATCACGGCAGGGGACACCAGAAATGGGCTTCACACATTGTACCCATGTCGGGAATCGAACCCGGGTCTTCGGCGTGACGAGCGAACGCTTTAACCACTAGGCTACCCGACTACCCCTCATTTAGATGGAACGGTGCTTGCTCAGGAACTTGCCACGTGCACACGGATTGAGTAGAGTATGATCTTCATGCTGAAAGTTCATCATGTATGCAATGTTAATGATACAAAGGTTTCTGAACAAAATGCACTTCACTGCTGGTGTTATTTCTTATGTTATAATTGAAACTGATGCACAGTTAAAGGAGGTGTCATTAAAATGGGATGGTGCTTATTGAGCAAAACGCCACCCACATACACAAATCAAATGGAGCATGTTGATGGAGAAAAAGGGAAAAAACGGAGAAACTAATGCTGTGGCTGAGGGTTACCACCTCTTACTGTCAACACTGTATTGTGAGTGAGTGAGTAAGTTGGGTTTAACGCCCTTTTAACAGTATTCCAGTTACATCACGGCGTGTCAGCTTAATGTGGGAGGAAAGCCCGAAGTGATGCAGGTCTCAGACGTTTACCACTTCGGTGAAACCCACGAGCACGGGTATGGTGCTGACAAACCTAGAAACATAATCGGGGCGAACCGGGATTCGAACCCACAATCATAGGTTTCTGGCGTGCCCAAGGGACGCAACTCTGCACAAGGAATCGCGGCGCCTTAGACGACTGGGCCACCCATACCCCCCACTGTATTGTCATAAAAAAAATTTGCCAGTTTTGTAAGCAAAGTTTCTTGTTACTGTAATTACTCTAATACAAAAATTTAAAACATGATAATTTTTATTTGATATTTTCCCCCAGTATTTTGTGTCTGGGAATATGTAACACATGCAACCACACATCCGTCAAATAATGAGACAAAGTTATATCCGGACAAAATGCGCACTACTGCTGCCCATAGGTGATATTTCTTGTGTCAAAACTGAAACAGATGTAGCGATGCCTCCACTATAAACACTGCACCTGTGTGGAAACTGCTCTTCTGATCTGTGGCCTCTGTTTGTAAAGCCTCGAGGATGGTGTGCACCTCTATCCACAGACGCTGCTCGTTGGGGAAGTTCTTCAGCCTCAAACACCAGACAGGTAAATTAATATTAGGTTACAATTGAAGCAATTGAAAAACATTGTTTTTATTGTTTTCAACTCTATACATGCTAAAGAGACCGTAAATGCGATTATTTTGGACATTTTTGTGATGAATACTGTTACACTAAAAGACACAATCCCTCAATGATTGCATGAGAACCCTAATGACCTATATGATAAACAATATTTGAAACTGAATAACTTGTACAACATATCAGTGAGATGCCCCAAAACCACACTGGCCATTGTTTATGTCAACATGACCGACCAATGGGTTTCCCTGAGACCGAAAAGGAGTGTTGGATGGTAAAGAAGTGTAAGTTTCCCTGAGACCGAAAAGGGGTGTTGGATCGTAAAGACGTGTAAGTTTCCCTAAGACCGAAAACGGATGGATCATGAAGCGAGAGTCACTGGAGCGTGAGCAACGGTAACGGACTAGCGTGACAGCGGTCGAGCTAAAGTGCGGTAATTGACCTGATAGTAGCGCTCGGGCTGCGCCCGGTAAACTGCATTGTTGCCTGGGAGTAGTGCACTTAACCGGGCGCACGTTCTCATATCCAATTAGTGCTTTGGGGGCCGAGCACGCTTTGCCGTCTCACTAATTAATGCGTTAATTAGCTGACGCTCTACCACTGGATCACTCACATCTCTTCAAGGTGTTTAGCAGCATCCTTCACATTCTTGGATGATTTTTCAAGCTGGTACGACTCAAACTGAAACAGAGTAACAGACACATAAGTCAAGAGCATCGTCATTCATTTGCTTTTGTTTTTTGTTTGAGGTCACACTCAGCTATGTATAATGACAGACCAGTAGGTGAGGTGAAATGGGGTTTAACGTCGCGTCCAAGATTATTGCACTTATATAGCGACGTGCATGCACATGTGTGTGTGGCTGCTTGTACTAGTCAACTGATGCCGATTTATAGTGCTAACACACTGAGATACCATGCCGCAGTTTAACATGAATACCCCACTCAGACACAGTATACTGACTCCGAGCCGACCAGTCCTTGTTTTAGCCCCTTAATGCCGAGCGCCAGACAGGGTAACAACAAGTACCATCTTTTAACGTCTCTAGGTATGACACGGCTGGGGATGAACCCCGGACCTTCCGCTCTCCGGGCGAGGCTCTATCACTAGACCACGGAGGCAGCCACCGATAATCCAGTAAGTGAATGTGATTTGTCGCGTCATAACGCGTGGTGTGACGTCATCAAAACTGCTGATTTGAGAGGGAAGACATCCAGTCTGTCTCAACATTGGGTTCATGTGAAGTACTGTACAACTTTCAGAACAGTCTGTCCTCATACATAATTTTGGTGTCGTAATGATGAGTACGAGAAAAAGTGTGTATACACTACAATTTGCTAAAAATTCATATTTTGTGAATAGGTTTCAAACTTTTACTTTTTGAGTTCAAATGCCAACCTGCAAGAACTCTGTTAGAACTGTGCACCAAAACACGTCTGATCATTCATGCAAACTCTGCAAAAGTACCAAACCAATCAGGTATTTGTCAGGTACTATGTGCAGCAGAAGTTCACAAGATGAGGCAATGGCAATCATGCCTTTTATCAATGATTTTATTCTTATATTTCCTTATTGGAATGTAACTGAATTTGATTGTTGAAGTATTGTTCCAGTATGAGCACAAATTTAAGTTTTGATTCGTTCATCACTCAAAATATCAGCATCGTCGTCTTAACCTGTTCGAAAATAGGTTATGAGAGGATACACCTAGTGTCTTTATCCATTTCAAGAACACAAACTTTTGCCTGTCACTGCTTCAATTGATAACAGTTTTTTTAGAATCTCTTCTCCACATGGACAGAGTTGGTTAGGCTACCCCAACTCTACCTTGGGGAGTTTTGTTTGTTTGTTTGTTTGTTGTTTAACGCCGCACTCAGCAATATTCCAGCTATATGACGGCGGTCTGTTAAGTAATCGAGTCTGGACCAGAGAATCCAGTGATTGACATCATGAGCATCGATCCACGCAATTTGGATCGATGACATGTATCAACCAAGTCAGCGAGTCTGACCACCCGATCCTGTTAGTCGCCTTTCACGACAAGCATAGTCGCCTTTTACGGCAAGCATGGGTCGCTGAAGACCTATTCTACCCCGGGATCTTCACGGGTCTCCTTGGGGAGTAGTGCACTTTACTGGCCGCACTTTTTCAGATCAAATAAGCGCAATGGGGGCTCGAACGCGCTTTGCCGGCTCACCGGCTTGGCTTATTTTCGACGCTCTACCACTGGACATCGAGCACTATCACATGTAATCAGTGCTCGTTTAACGGGTCATTAGCACTCATTAACATGCATGCGTAATTCAGTAAACAATGAATTGCGCATGAGTGTGACGTCCGCTCTCCCATTCATCTTTCCTTGAAACCACGGCCCCGAAACCACACCCTCCATTGTTTATGTAAACATGACCGACCAATCAGTTGCCCTGAGACCGAAAAGGGGTGTTGGATCGTAAAGACATGTAAGTTTCCCTAAGACCAAAAAGGAGTGTTGGATCGTAAAGACGTGTAAGTTTCCCTAAGACCGAAAAGGGGTGTTGGATCGTAGAGACGTGTAAGTTTCCCTAAGACCGATAAGGGATTGATCGTGAAGCGAGAGTCACTGGAGCGTGAGCAACAGTAACGGAATAGCGTGACAGCGGTTGAGCTAAATCACGGTAATTGACCTGATGGTAGCGCTCGGGCTGCGCCCGGTAAACTGCATTGTTGCCTGGGAGTAGTGCACTTTACCGGGCACACATTCTCATATCCAATAAGTGCTTTGGGGGCTCAAGCGCGCTTCAGTGGCTCACTAATTAATGCGTTAATTAGCTGACGCTCTATCACATGTAATCAGTGCTCATTATGTTAACATAAACACTCAAACCTCGTGTATCGATGTAACACTGTGATGCCTGATTGCGATATCAGAGCTCCAGATAAGCTTTTGGTGTTGTGGGTATTTTACCCATGCATTTTAAAATCATTGGGTATCAGTAATTCTATCTGCGTATTCAAATTTCTGTTACCCACTAGTTTTTACACATGTGGGTATTTAAGTTAAATATTTTAAAACACTATTCATCTAGTCCCTGCAAACTGGTGTCGTGTGGGTTTGAGAGCTTTATAGGACTCAAAAATACCACGATACTTCCACACGAAAGTGTGATGGCAAATGATCATGATGTGACTGTCATCGTGGAGTTTGGCAAGGTTGACGGAATGCCCGTTTATAATTTCAAAATAAGTTGCTGATTTGCTAATCGAATACGCAGGGTTACTTCACAATATTTTGATGATACGCACAAATTTTATTTTTGTAGCGTATCTGTAATGTTCGTTCCGTATTTGATACGCTTGGATTATATTTTACTGCATATTTCTGCATTTCTGATGCGTATTTCACGCAGATACGCAGCTTATCTGGAGCTCTGGGTATACTTATCTCCTGTATCGATACATTGTTCTCAATCACCTCTAACACGGAAATCCCTCTGTGTGTCTGTGGCTGCTTGTGCTAGTCCGGACTGATGCCGCGATTTATAGTGCTAGCTCACTGAGATACCATGCCGCAGTTTAACATGAATACCCCACTCAGACACAGTATACTGACTCCGAGCCGACCAGTCCTTGTTTTAGCCCCTTAATGTCGAGCGCCAGACAGGGTAACAACAAGTATACTCGGACCCCTGGTACCGCGGCATTCATCATATCACGGCATTTGTGATTTCCGGTAGTTCACGCGGGACACGTCTCTTAGCAGCTGTCTATTAATGCTAATCAGTAACCAGGAAGTGCTCACTTCGAAAACAATTTCAATTTCCTCGGAATGTTCCGTCTGCTGTAAGTAAGGAGTTATTAACGCGATGATACTTACTTCTGGCATCTGTTGTAATATTGCCTTACCCCCATCTATCAACGGCCAACGATATAATCCGCAGTTCCCCAAGTAAACTTTCTCTATCGACCTGAACTAGATCATCTGCATATTCATGGCGACTAATAAGGTAACGGAAATTATGTAGTCTGCACATTTTTTCCCGCTCTGTGCCCAGAATCTATTTGGAGATCACAAGGGTCATAATGCCAAACTTTGAAATATGTTCTTCACTAGTAGCCAAAAGATAAATACATACTTTGGGGATACTGGGAGTGTTTTTTATATATTCATTATTGACTTTTAACATTTTTCCATTTTGTGACAAATTATTGGCATCCAATCATTTTTAAACAAATCTTAGAATATCATTTCTGATATTTTGTTGTTGATTTTTAAAATATTTTCCTCTTACTTTTCGGTAAATTATGCATCGAATACCAATTACTGATAACACATTTAGAATTTTACTTGTTTGGTCTTTGCACTTGTCTGGACAAATCACTGATGTCTGGCATGTTCATACTAAGTGGTTGGTAGAATTATCTCCTCTTTTTGTCCAATTCGGACCTCCAAACACAACTTTTCTCTGTACCGCGATATGATGGAGTTCTCTCCCTTGTCAAACAGAGCGCGAGGCCCGTCTTTTACTCGGAGCTACTAATGTAAATAATGAACTTGTATCAGTAAAATATGCATTGTTTGATGAAATAAAGTACACCTGATATAGAGAACATGAATAATCATAAAGGTTAGTAAGTGCATTTTGTTCCGTTTAGCGTACATGACAAGTACCGCGATACCCCGAGGTTTGCAGGCTACCCCCAAGATGACTGACTGTGGACCACGGGTGCTTGTACCGATGTATGGTAATGTCAGCGCTTCCTATAGCCTGTGTAGGCTTCGTGCTGTCACCAACCGGTCCTTACCATAGACAAACGATACCTGCAGTCGGTAACTGAACCAGTGAATTCATCGTGTTATCAAACAGATTTTGTTTACACACCTGTATAAGAAAACACCGTGGAAACAGAGATCTTGCAGTTATCAACCATGCCTTTGCAGCAAAAATGTCAGTTTTTGAAAACCCACGAGCTCGCATAACAAGCCATTCAACATCGCTCAACTGCACGTTTTCAACTACGGTAGCCATTTTGAAATTACTAAAATCCGGACGATTCGAAGTTGACCCCGCCAGAGCGGCCTCGTTTATATCCGGGCGACTTCAAATAAATTGCAATGCTTATTTATTGCGCTCAGTCGTTCGTTTGATCTACCCTATTGGTTAACTTCAGTGGAAATGGACAAAGATTAGTTGTGATAAATACAAAAGTAAGATTTAGAGCTCGACATAAATTGCCCTGAAAAAGAAAGTGTCTGATGGAATTCTATACCCTGGTCTAACGGGGTTTTTTTTCTCTTTTTTTCTCTTTCTTAGATCAGACAACATAGGCAGGAAGCCCAGAGCTTATTAATGAAGCTTCCTAGATCTAGTGCACAAAACCACAACGCAGGTTGTAATTCAGAGACGATTTAATATGGGTCGGATGGTGAGACTCTACCACGCCTACCTTCTTACCTCGGACGGGGCGGTGGGGTAGCCTAGTGGTTAAAGCTTTCACGCCGAAGACCCGGGTTCGATGGGTACATGGGTACAATGTGTGAAGCCCATTTCTGGTGTCCCCCGCCGTGATATTGCTGGGATATTGCTAAAAGCGGCGTAAAACCATACTCACTCACTCACTTACCTCGACGGCTTGGGGCGTTGTTCATAAAATTAATCACTGGACTGTCAGTTTCGCCAGCATATAGCGGTGTTAGCAGAAAAGTCTCTCTTAAATAACATAACCCCGTTCACATGTACCTCTATACATACATATACGTGTGTAAATATACACACATGTATACGTGAGTATATTTACACCAGGAGCAATTTTGCAGATTATGTCTGGAGCTGGTGCAGTGTTTATATATGTTGTTATGTGAACGTTTATGCCAACCCCAGAGGATAATCTAATTAATATATCTGTTGATTTGCCAACACCATATAAATTGTCAACAGTTCTGTATTCTGAGGCTATTCCTTATACAGTAATACCAACGTTAATATGGACATCCATAGCTGGGCGGACGGTGTTTTCTTTCGGTTTCAAGGGGTCCAAATTTTGTGTACAGATTAAATCAAACATGTGTTGCTTCATGCGAGGATTTCTGTAAGGTAACCTCTTCTCATTCAGCAAAAGGGGGCACGGGTGGCCCAGTCGTCTAAGGCGCTGTGATTCGCTGTGCAGAGTTGCGTCCCTTGGGCACGCCAGAAACCTATGATTGTGAGGTTCGAATCCCGGTTCGCCCCGATTATGTTTCTAGTTTTGTCAGCACCATTCCCGTGGGTTTCACCGAAGTGGTAAACGTCTGAGACCTGCATTACTTCGGGCTTTCCTCCCACATTGAACTGACACGCCGTGATATAACTGCAATACTGTTAAACGCGGCATTTAACACAACTCACTCACTCACTCATTCGGCTTTGATCAATCTCATTAAAATCAGATCTAAGTTCTCGCTGCCGCTAAACAAAGCGACAGCGAGGACTAAGATCTAATTTTAATGAGATTGGGCTTTGATTGGAAACAACCGTTTCATGTTGAGTGAGTGAGTGAGTATGGTTTTACGCCACTTTTAGCAATATTCCAGCAATAGCACGTCGGGGGACACCAGACATGGCTTCACACATTGTACCCATGTCGGGAATCGAACCCGGGTCTTCGGCCTGACGCTTTTCATGTTGAAAGTCGTGAACGGACTGAAGAATATGTGTGCCTTACAGCTTTTACATACCTTATTTACACACCTTATAGCTGACCCGTGAAGATCCGGGGTAGAATAGATCTTCAGCAACCCATGCTTGCCGTAAATGGCGACTATGCTTGTCGTAAGAGGCGACTAAAGGGATCGGGTGGTCAGGCACGCTGACTTGGTTGATGCATGTCATCGATCCAAATTGCGTGGATCGATGCTCATGAGTTCAATCACTGGATTGTCTGGTCCAGACTCGATTATTTACAGACCGCCGTCATATAGCTGGAATATAGCTGAGTGCGGCGTTAAACAACAAACAAACAAACAAACAAAACCATTTTCATGTGTACGCAAAGTAAATTTACATATATTCACTTATGTACAGTTACACATGTGCCAAATTACTTACGTGAGTAAATGTTGTGCATGTGAACGGGGTATTAGACGCCCGGGCGACTATCAATTTCAACAAAACGTTAACCCGGTGTTTATTGGAGCCCGCCGTTTATCAATCAGTCGGATTGTAACCACCTGATCAAAACTCCTTGATGGTGTTTATCGCTAAGAAAATAGACATTTCTTGAAATGCGCACTTTGCAATTTTTGTCATTACTGTAAGCGATATTCCCTATCGACGGAATGGCTTATTTTCACTTTGCGAGTACTAGCCCACGTGTAGCTAGCTTCGTTAATTAATCATCGCGATATTTCGTGATTCTATTTCAAGAGACGAGGACAAGAGATACACAGTGTCTAATAGAGGGAATACGGTATGTTGCACTTTGGAACCTGACTTTGATGTTCCGTAATACAAACACAGGGAACTGTTCCGCCTGTCGCCTGGTTGTATCACGTGACCACCGGAACACAGTGTCGGGGTTTATATGTAGCATGAGCCATTGAAATCAGCCTCGGTGAAATTCGTGAGCAGAATCTGTACACACTAATGTTGCCGCTGATCTAGGAGTAGTGTGTGTGTCTGTGTGTCTGTGTTAGCGTGTGTGTTTGTGTGCGTGTTTAGGTGTGTGTTCGCTGTTTGCGTGTGTGTTTGTGTGTATGGGTTTGTGTCGCTGTTTGTGTGTCTGTGTTTGCGTGTGTGTATGAGTGTGTGCGTGAGTGTGTAAATGTGTGTGAGTGTGTGCGTGAGTGAGAGTGAATTTGAGTGTGTGTGTTTGTGTGTTCGTCTGTCTTTGAAAATGTGCATGCGTATGTGTGGCTGTGTATGTGTGAGTGTGTGTGTGAGTGTAGACGTGTGGGTGTATGTATGTGTGTGTTTGTGTTTTATAAGTGTGTTTGTGTATTCGTGTGTCTCTGTAAATATGCATGTATCTGTGGGTGTGCCCTTATAAAGCATACAAAGTGAGTGAGTGAGTATGGTTTTACGCCGCTTTTAGCAATATTCCAGCAATATCACGGCGGAGACACCCATGTACCCATGTACACCAGGCCACCCGACCGCCCGAAAATAAATGTACAAAAGACACACAACTAAATAATAAAATCAAGGTTTCCTGTATATTTGCGTGTCATCGTGCTACGTGGTTGTCGCTTTCAATCACTGGTTTTACCTGTTCCAGAGACGTGCCGCTGTCATATCGGCGGAACGTTGTTGACTGCGGCGTTAAACAACATTCACTCACTCATTTCATGTCGCCATGGTACAGGCGGAACGTTGTTGACTGCGGCCTTAAACAACATTCACTCACTCATTGCATGTCGCCATGGTACAGGTGTAACGTTGTTGACTGCGGCGTTAAACAACATTCACTCACTCATTACATGTCGCCATGGTACAGGCGGAACGTTGTTGACTGCGGCCTTAAACAACATTCACTCACTGATTACATGTCGCCATGGTACAGGCGGAACGTTGTTGACTGCGGAGTTAAACAACATTCACTCACTCATTGCATTTTGCCATGGAATGTTGGTGACTGGAGCGTTAAAAGTGGCGTCCCATGAGGTAGTTTTGGTTGCATACTCCTTAGGGAGCTTAGAATGAAATCTTGGTGCACAGTGATCCATTGACTAGGATGATCATAATTTTACGCCATCAGCGAATGGTGACTGGAATCTGACACATGATTAATGAACTTATAAAAAAAAAAAACGCCAGACTGTCCAAACCACTCCAGCCTGAACTAGACTATTCCACAAACCGTAATACTCGTTGAAAGTACCATTACTCCGACACGATATTTCGCTTCACGCAGAGAGGTTGTGTATGGGAGTAAAAGGTCTTCACACACAGAGATTTGGCGTCGAAGTAAAAGATCTTCACACACACAGAGATTTGGCATCGAAGTTAAAGATCTTCACACACAGAGATATGGCGTCGAAGTAAAAGATCTTCACACACACAGATATGGCGTCGAAGTAAAAGATCTTCACACACAGCGATATGGCGTTGAAGTAAAAGATCTTCACACACACAGATATGGTGTCGAAGTTAAAGATCTTCACACACACATATGGCGTCGAAGTAAAAGATCTTCACACACAGAGATATTGCGTCGAAGTAAAAGGTCTTCACACACACAGATATTGCGTCGAAGTAAAAGATCTTCACACACACAGATATGGCGTCGAAGTAAAAGATCTTCACACACACAGATATGGCGTCGAAGTAAAAGATCTTCACACACAGCGATATGGCGTTGAAGTAAAAGATCTTCACACACACACAGATATGGCGTCGAAGTAAAAGATCTTCACACACACAGATATGGCGTCAAAGTAAAAGATCTTCACACACACAGATACGGCGTCGAAGTAAAAGATCTTCACACACAGATATGGCGTCGAAGTAAAAGATCTTCACAAGCAGCGATATGGCGTTGAAGTAAAAGATCTTCACACACAGCGATATGGCGTTGAAGTAAAAGATCTTCACACACACAGATATGGCGTCGAAGTATAGATCTTCACACACACACAGATATGGCATCGAAGTAAAAGATCTTCACATACAGCGATATGGCGTTGAAGTAAAAGATCTTCACACACGCACAGATATGGCGTCGAAGTAAAAGATCTTCACACACAGAGATATGGCGTCGAAGTAAAAGATCTTGATGCAGAGACGTACAGTACAGGTGTAAAGATTTCAACACTGAGAGGAACTGTATCGAAGTTTGTTTGTTTGTTTGTTGTTTGTTTGTTTGTTTAACGCTGCACTCAGAAAAATTTCAGCTGCATGACGGCGGTCTATAAATAATCGAGTCCGGACCAGACAATCCAGTGATTGACAGCATGCGCGTCAATCCACTTGACTGGGTTACGATGACATGCATCAACAAAGTCAGCGAGCCTGACCACCCGATCCCGGTAGCTAGCTCTTACAAGCATAGTCGCCTTTTACGGCAAGCATGGGTTGCTGAAGACGTATTCTAACCCGGATCTTCACGGGTCTTTGTATCGAAGTAAAAGATCTTCAAACACAGAGAGGTATGTAGTCTTGCACCATGACCGTGGAATATATATTTTATGAAAAAAAATAATCTTGAAATGCATACAACAGCAAGTCTAGCCAGCTCAGGCTAGCTCTATTCCACATCAGCATAGGGACTTTTTTTAAATATTTTTAGAGTCAAGAAGGATATTGTGTAATATAAGATTTCAGAGACTAAATGTTAGTCTGGGGGGTATGGTATCGGAGTGAACGATACGGTTCAAATGAGACGGACTCGTTCTTGACGCGTTCTGATGACAACAGACGAGGACCGCCCCACGACGACCGACGTGTTTATTCTAAATTCTTCAACCGTGAAACATAACGTGTTTGAAATTGTAGTAAAATTCACATCCATCATGCCCTGATAGTTTTATTATAACGCGACACATAAAATCTATGTCTAGTACTTCGTGAAGGAAAAGAAATACTGAGGTTTTGAAGGTACGCATTCCTGTAGCTCCAGACTGTCTTAAGATTGTGGGGGCGGTGGGGTAGCCTAGTGGTTAAAGCGTTCGCTCGTCAGCCCGCAGACCCATGTTCGATTCCCCACATGGGTACAATGTGTAAAGCAAATTTCTGGTGTTCCCCGCCTCGATATTGCTGGAATATTGCTAAAAGCGGCGTAAAACCTCACTCACTCACCCACCAACCCATCCACTCACTCACTCACGTTTAACGTGTTTAAAGTGTAAATATGGTATACTGTAAGAAAATATATTTGTTTGTCCTTTAACGCCACACTCAGGAAAGTCTCCGAGCATTTACCTGTCAGTGAGCCTGACCACCTGATCTATCAAGTCGCCTCTTACAACCAACACAGGTCGATGGAGACCTGGACCCACATGCACAAAGCGATCTTAGCGCTAAGATGATCTTAACCCCCATACTTTAACATAGGCTTACGATAGTCTTAGCGCTAAGATCGCTTTGTGCAAGTGGGCCATGGGGCGGTGGGGTAGCCTAGTGGATAGAGCGTTAAAGCGTTCGCCAGTCACACCGAAGACCCGGGTTCGATTCCCGACATGGGTACAATGTGTGAAGCCCATGTCTTGTGTCCCCCGCCGTGATATTGCTGGAATATTGCTAAAAACGGCGTAAAACCATACTCACTCACTGATGGAGACCTATTCTTACCCGGACTCTTCACGAGGAACGAAACAATGAATTAACATTTTGACACCAAAGGAGATGCATGTAAACTTCACATAGTTTTAGTTCGCTGTTTTGCTATATTGGACACCTAGGTATGTCCCGGAAACCAAAAACGTTGACATCCGATTTGATCAGAGGTGAAATAATTGAAATTATTTAAAGAATCCCCGGGACCTGACATAACTGTGTTCAAGTGTATAATTATGGCATCACGCAAGTACAATGTGGAAGGCGGTAGCTAAAACACTTGCAACTGTACTACCTTGCTGAAATACCCGTGCACATCCGGGGTAGAATAGGTCTTCAGCAACCCTTGCTTGCCATGAAAGGCGACTATGCTTGTCGTAAGAGGCGACTAACGGGATCGGGTGGTCAGGCTCGCTGAAGTGGTTGATGCATGTCATCGTGTCCCAATAGCGTTATTCTAAATTCTTCAACCGTGAAACATAACGTGCTTGAAATTGTAATAAAATTCATATCAATCATGCCCTGATAACTTTATTATAACGTGACCCATAATCTATGTTTAGTACTTCGTGAAGGAAAAGAAATACTGAGGTTTTGGAGGTACACAACATGAAGTCAAACATTGTGAACGTAGTTCGATACTCGTTCTAGAATGCGTTTTTGTAGGTTCGGATCGTCTTAAGATTGGGGGGGGGGGGGGGGGGGGGGGGGGGGGACATAAGGGTACGCTCAGAAATGGGGAAGTGTGTAACAGAATATGCCACCTGGTGGTGTCAGAGCTCTTGTGGGCCTGAACACTGCAGTGAGTGAGTGAGTTTTACGCCGCTTGTAGCAATTTTCCAGCAATATCACGGCGAGGGACACCAGAAATGGGCTTCACACATTGTACCCATGTCGGGAATCGAACCCGGGTCTTCGGCGTGACGAGCGAACGCTTTAACCACTAGGCTACCCGACCGCCCCGTGAACACTGCAGTGAATACAGCGGCGTGTAAACTAGGACTTGGACGGGTAACTCGGGTACTCGGGTCGGGTGGGTCGTGAGTAGGACCCGGGTACCCACAGGACTACCCGGACCCGTGGTTAGTGGCACGCCAGAAACCTATGATTGTGGGTTCGAATCCCGGTTCGCCCCAATTATGTTTCTAGTTGGGCTGTGACGGGTAACTCGGGTACCCGGGTCGGTTGGGTGCTGAGTAGGACCCGGGTACCCACAGGACTACCCAGACCCGTGGTTAGTCACGTGATATACTGTTTAATGACCAAAATGATCTAGAACTCTATGGTTACACTACAAGTCACTAATGTTCGCATTTCTTTCTGACTATGCACACATTCCTTCTGATTTTTCATATGGTTGAATAAAGATATAACTTAATTCAGCCTCCGTGTATGAATCACCAGATTGTTTATTACGTGTATCTAAATACGTTTTGCCAGGGCTATGCTATCTCTTGAGACCTACAGTGGGTACCCGGGTAGGGTCGGGTAATAGGGTAGTGGGTACCCGGGTAGTAAATTTGGACTCGTCCCAGCCCTAGCGTAAACTTATGTGCAGTAGCATATAGCACGGTTGGGGTAAATTCCATGGCGTTATGGTACACCATTGCTTTAAAGAAGCATGGACGATTTCCCTCGCTTACATTGCTCAGGCATCCTTGACAATACAACACATTTGTTTACCAGAAGGGCTGAACAGCGTCACGCTTACTGCGTTAAACGTGCATGGTTCAGTTCTTTATACCAGACATCGGCCGTAAAACCCAGCATTTGTCCGCGAACCGCGGGAGTGTCGAACATGCCATTGACTCTATACGCGACTGGAGCTCTCATTGAATAATTTATGCTGTAAACAGAGATGAATGAATGGCGATCGCCCACTGGTTGCTGGTGGGGGTTGTAATATATTTGTACCTGATAGAGGATGTAAGATACGTCATTGATGTTAAAAGCGAAAGAAAAGTTTGCTTTTTGAATAGATTTAATACTTGGTCCCGCCCATAGTCTTTCATGCTGAGGGAGGAATATATATACCCGACAGTGGGTGTGTTGTTGCCGTCTTGAGTCAAAGTAAGTCAGTGTTAGTTACAAGAGGATGGATTTCCACAACGTTCCCGCGTGTTGCTTATCAATGTCTGTGTACTTTCTGTGGATTTCTATCAGTAAAGGTAAGTTATCAATGTCATTTATCTATGACTGAGAATAATTTATGACTAATTCGTACACTTACCAATTTAACACTTTCTTAATCCGAAAAAGACATTTTTGTTTTTTGTTGAATAATCAAATCATTGCTTCCCCTGAAACAAACACAATGGTCGGTTTCATTAAACTAGAAAAAAGGTCTACCTCTTCACTTCAAAACAGTGTATAAATTCACGGGCTTCGTTTTGTAACAATGGCGGACTCCCGATAATCAATAAACCAATACGCTGCGGGAAAACAGACTCACCCCTAACTTAACTACCACAAATGAAATATATTTTCAAAATGTCACGGTAGGTAGCCTAATGGGTATATCGTTCGTCCGCCACGCCGTTGATCCGGGTTCGAATCTCCCTTGGCTACACTCTGTGAAGCCCGTTTCTGTTTTCAGAAAACACTCACTAAGTTCTAGCATTGAATCGTCGTGTTCACACAAAGTAGGAAACTAACCTGATTTTATCAATTTGTGAGTGAGTGAGAGAGTTTAACGTGGCTTGGTTCGCTAATGACCGCCTCCGTGGTCTAGTGGTAGAGCGTCCACCCGGAGAGCGAAAGGTTTCGGGGTTCGATCCCAGGGTATGTGTGTGTGTGTGTGTGTGTGTGTGTGTGTGTGTGTGTGTGTGTGTGTGTGTGTGTGTGTGTGTGTGTGTGTGTGTGTGTGTGTGTGTGTGTGTGTGTGTGTCTGTGTGTATGTGACTGTCCGTGTGTTTGTGTGTGTTTACATGTGTGTGTGTCTGTGTGTGTGTCTGTGTGTCTGTGTGCATGTGACTGTCCGTCTGTTTGTGTGTGTGTGTCTGCATGTGTGTGTGTCTGGGTGTATGTGTATGGGTGTTTGTGTGTGTCTCTGGGTGTGTTTGTGTGTGTGTCTGGGTGTTTTGTGTGTGTGTGTTTGTCTTTTTGTGTTATGTGGGTGTTTGTGTTTGTATTTGTGCTTGTGCTTGTGCGTGTGCGTGTGTGTTTGTGTGTGTTTGTGTGTGTGGATGTGTTTGTGTTCCTTCTAGATGACAGTACCTCCAAACAAACAAAATACCTACTTGTCACTGAAGTTTTTTCTATTTTATAGTGAATATTGCCAAGTGCCCACATCCATTACCAATCCTCTAATGAAGTTTAAAATAGGTAAAGTCCCCCTCACACACAAACACACACACACACACACACAAACACACACACACACACACACACACACACACACACACACACACACACACACACACACACACACACACACACACACACACACACACACACACACACACGTCTGAAATGTGCCCTCCTCCCTTTACAAATCCTTGATCACCCTCTGACAATGCACGAGGCTAAATGATATCCCCCGTCATGATATCCCTGGGATGTTGATAAAGGGTGAGTAAGACATTAACCACGATATATATCAAGGTGCAAAGACGAAGACACTTTCTAAAGTATAAATGCTTTCGTATCCGATACCTATTCGCTCCCTATCACGTCTCCCCTGTATGGGACCAGGGCGTGTATGTTCGGCTTCATTTGAGTCACATTGGACTTCTCAATGGCGAGAACATAACTGCCCAGCGATGAATAAAACCATTGTCCACTGTAGGAGTGGGAGCTGTGGTTGTGACATGATTCTGGGCAATTTCCATGGAGTCGTTTTTTTGTTCAGTGCTCGTGACACGATTGCATCGCCTAGTTATAAATACACGATTCGCATAAAGAAGTGCACCTCGTAACATAGACGTCATTATTTCATAATCATTGCAGCAATTTTCAGATTACATGATGATTATTGATTGTTTTAAGCCTAAGTCTGTCACATTCAAGCTATACTACGTCGGTCTGACAATCACAGGGTCTTGACCAAACGAACCAGGGAATTACAACATGAGCATCGAGGCACACCGTTTGAGTACTACGATTTCTCATGAGCACCATCTCTTGGGTACTGGGGACCGCGATGTCCTCGGTGGCAGACTATATGGATACCGCGATGTTCTAGACTAAATTGGTACTGGGGAACGCGATGTTCTAGACTTTATGGGTATGTGGGACGGTTATGGCTTCGGTGGTAGTCTATATGGATACTGGGGACCGCTATGTCCTCGGGGACGGGGAGGTCCTCGATGGTAAACTATACGGGTACTGGGGATCGCCATGTCCTCAAGGACGGGGAGGTCCTCGGTGGTAGACTATATGGGTACTGGGGATCGCGATGTTCTAGTCTATATGGGTACTGGGGATCGCGATGTTCTAGACTATATGGGTACTTGGGACCACGATGTTCTAGACCATATGGGTTCTTGGAATCGCGATGTTCTAGACTATATTGGTACTGGGGACTGCTCTGTCCTCGAGGACGGGGAGGTCCTCGGTGGTAGACTATATGGGTATTTGGGACCGCCATGTCCTCGAGGACGGGGAGGTCCTCGGTGGTAGACTATATTGGTAGAGGGGATCGCTATGTCCTCGGTGACGGGGAGGTGCTCGGTGGTAAACTATACGGGTACTGGGGATCGCCATGTCCTCAAGGACGGGGAGGTCCTCTGTGGTAGACTATATGGGTACTGGGGATCGCGATGTTCTAGACTATATGGGAACTGGGGACCGCTATGTCCTCGGGGATGGGGAGGTCCTCGGTGGTAGACTAAATGGGTATTTGGGACCGCTATGTCATCGGGGACGGGGAGGTCGAGGGTAGTAGGCAATATAGGTACTAGGGGGCGCTATGTCCTCGGGGACGGGGAGGTCGAGGGTAGTAGGCAATATGGGTACTAGGGGCCGCTATGTCCTCGGGGACGGGGAGGTCCTCGGTGGTAGACTATATGGGTACTGGGGATCGCGATGTTCTAGACTATATGGGTACTGGGGACCGCGATGTTCTAGATTATATGGGTACTGGGGATCGCGATGTTCTAGACTATATGGGTATTTGGGACCGCTGTGTCATCGGGGACGGGGAGGTCGAGGGTAGTAGGCAATATGGGTACTAGGGGCCGCAATGTCCTCGGGAACGGGGAGGTCCTCGGTGGTAGACTATATGGGTACTGGGGACCGCTATGTCCCCGGGGACGGGGAGGTCCAAGGTGGTAGGCTATATTGGTACTGGGGACCGCTATGTCCTCGGGGACGGGGAGGTCCAAGGTGGTAGACTATATGGGTACTGGAAACCGCTATGTCCTCGGGGACGGGGAGGTCCAAGGTGGTAGACTATATGGGTACTGGGGACCGCTATGTCCTCGGGGACGGGGAGGTCCAAGGGTGTAGACTGTATGGGTACTGGGGACCGCTATGTCCTCGGGGGCGGGGAGGTCCAAGGTGGTAGACTATATGGGTACTGGGAACCGCTATGTCCTCGGGTACAGGGAGGTCCAAGGTGATAAGCTATATGGGTACTGGGGATCGCTATGTCCTCGGGGACGGGGAGGTCCAAGGGGGTAGACTATATGGGTACTGGGGACTGCTATGTCCTCGGGGACGGGTTGGTCCAAGGTGGTTGACTATATGGGTATTGGGGACCGCTATGTCCTCGGGTATGGGGAGGTCCAAGGTAGTAGACTATATGGGTACTGGGGACCGCTATGTCCTCGGGGACGGGGAGGTCCTCGCATGTAGACTATATGGGTACTGGGGACCGCTATGTTCTAGACTATATGGGTTCCGGGGACCGCTATGTCCTCGGGTACAGGGAGGTCCAAGGTGGTAGACAATATGGGTACTGGGGACCGCTATGTCCTCGGGGACGGGGAGGTCCAAGGGGGTAGACTATATGGGTACTGGGAACCGCTATGTCCTCGGGGACGGGGAGGTCCAAGGTGGTAGACAATATGGGTACTGGGAACCGCTATGTCCTCGGGGACGGGGAGGTCCAAGGTGGTAGGCTATATGGGTATTGGGAACCGCTATGTCCTCGGGTACGGGGAGGTCCAAGGTAGTAAGCTATATGGGTACTGGGGACCGCTATGTCCTCGGGGACGGGTTGGTCCAAGGTGGTTGACTATATGGGTATTGGGGACCGCTATGTCCTCGGGTATGGGGAGGTCCAAGGTAGTAGACTATATGGGTACTGGGGACCGCTATGTCCTCGGGGACGGGGAGGTCCTCGCAGGTAGACTATATGGGTACTGGGGACCGCTATGTTCTAGACTATATGGGTTCCGGGGACCGCTATGTCCTCGGTTACGGGGAGGTCCCAGGTGGTAGACAATATGGGTTCTGGGGACCGCTATGTCCTCGGGTACGGGGAGGTCCCAGATGGTAGACAATATGGGTACTGGGGACTGCTTTGTCCTCGGGTACGGGGAGTTCCCAGGTGGTAGACTATATGGGTACTGGGGACTGCTATGTCCTCGGGGACGGGGAGGTCCTCGGTGGTAGACTATGTGGGTGTTGGGCACTGGGATTCTCTCGGACGAAGATTATATTGGAACTGGTCACTTCTTTCGGCCCGGGATGTCATCGGAGGTAGATTATATGTCTGGGTCTCTAAAAAAAAAAATTCAGCCTAATTAAACTGACGATCCTAAGAAAAGATACCGATCAGTTTTTTTCAAAATTTAAAAAAACATAAACCACATGTTGATGCAAATATTAAGTATTTGAGAATTGACTTCCACTTTGTGTTTTCATAGGAGTATGAACCTTCATAGAGTGAGGGCCAAACTGTATGAACGTCGGAGCTTGCCCTGGAGTATTAACAATAATATTAACATCTTCCCGAGGCAATGGGTTAATTAACTGACTGTAAACGTCCAGTTTCTACCCCTTGCCGTACTAGGCTGACATTTCTGGGTTCGGTCGTAGCGCCACCACTGGCAATGACGAGTTTTGTCCTTTCTATGTCCCCCCTATTGACCAATCAGATTCCACCTCTGATATAACTTGCATTTGCTACAAACAAAATGGCGGCGCCCATTGAAGTCGATCTGATAGATAATCTACATTGTAATAAAATGGGTCTTACTTCGCGAAGTGCATCAAATCACGTGAGCATCTTTATCAATAACATGAAAAGATTTGGAAAATATCAAGTGACGCAAAGTTGGCGGTACACGTGCTTTGCAAATCCTGCAATCGACCGAAGTCTGAACGCCTGTTTACGAACCGGATGTTGATTTCGTTACGCGACTTGATTGGACGGTAACCTCCCAAAACCCCTACATCCCATTTCCCCTACAGCTTAAGACAACAAAGTTCACGGTCCATGGCACTGCTAATCCCTAGTCTGTTACCTATTTCATACAATGGAACAACCCAAGAAACACGAATAGATTGAGAGGTAACCTCCCAAAACCCCTACATCCCATTTCCCCTACAGCTTTAGAAAACAAAGTTCACGGTCCATGGCACTGCTAATCCCTAGTCTGTTACCTATTTCATACAATGGAACAACCCAAGAAACACGAATAGATTGAGAGGTAACCTCCCAAAACCCCTACATCCCATTTCCCCGGTGTACGATAAAAAGCGAAGAAATTTACTGTTTTTCAACGCAGAATAAATTCTCGGGCAACACTGAGGAGTGTCTTTTTTAAAAACCGGTTTAATATTTGCAGTTAACTTTACACCATCAAATAGGAAATTTAATATTCTCCACCTCTGCGTAATTTTCTAGCCAGAGGTAGATCCAGTGCCGCGTGAGCGCAATTCTGGCACAACCTTCACTTTTCCGATCTTTGGAAAATGTGCGTCAGAAAAAAAACTCGGCATCCAGAGGGTAAGACACCAAAGTTCACGGTCCATGGCACTGCTAATCCCTATATATATATACAAAAATGAGGTAAATGTTCACTCGGTGTACATGTAATATATAATAAAATAATAAAGTCCACGTGAGTCCATCATCCTCTTTATATCAGTTTCAGACATAGTACTTTCGCTGTCTCATAATATAATGGCGTATAATATGACGTCATACTTATGATGACGTCATAAATTACAACTGTGACGTCATAATGTACGTACACAGTCCAGCGACGACACCAATATATATATGCAGCCAGGATACAGGAATAAAACACGTCAATTTCAAAAACTAAATAGAATAAAGGCTCACTGACATCTCTACAGGGGCTCCAGTCCTGACAAGTCTTCCTGACCCCCCGACAGACGGGGCGCTTATAACCCTCACCTGCACAGAGGATGGAGGGCTGGATCCGGACCAGGTAGTTTGGTACAGAAATGATACAGATAAGAAAGTTCGCCCAACGTCAAAGAACATCATCTTCAACGGCATCGTTAAAGACCTCAACATCAGCGTCAACAGCCAACAATTCAGCCTTTCGTTTTTGTTCCGGAATAGTCAGGAGAAGGATGTTCCCTGGCGATGTGTGCATCAAGGTGTATCAAGTAACACCATCACCGTGAAGACGGCTGTTGCTACAGAGAATTGTGAGTATACCCGAGTACATCCGAGTATATCCGAGTATACCCGAGTATACCTGAGTATACCCGAGTAGACTCATCCATTTTTCAGCATGGTTGGTTGGTTGGTTGGTTGGTTGTTGTTTAACACCGCACTCAGCAATTTTCCTGCTATATGACGGCGGTCTGTAAATAATCGAGTCTGGACCAGACAATCAGTCCGGGTAAGAATAGGTCTCCATCACTAAGTGAGTATGGTTTTACACCGCTTTTCCCAATGTCGGGAATCGAACCCGGGTCTTCGGTGTGACTTGCGAACGCTTTAAAGCTCTAACCACTAGGCCACCCCACCGCCCCAGGTCTCCCTTAACGATTGTGACGTTAAAGAACAAACATATTTTTCTTACATAATACCATATTTACACTTTATTGCTTGAGTGAGTGAGTGAGTGAGTGAGTGAATGACTGAGTGACTGAGTGAGTGAATGAGTGAATGAGTGACTGAGTGACTGAGTGAGTGAGTGAGTGAGTGAGTGAGTGAGTGAGTGAGTATTCCAGTTATATCACGGCGTGTCTGTTTGGTGTGGGAGGAAAGACCCAAGTGATGCAGGTCTCAGACGTCTACCACTTTAGTGATACCCACGAGCACGGGTATCGTGCTGACAAACCACCTTTATACCCGTAAATCTACAGTAATTGACGTCTGATTTGACCCCTTTGGTGTTGTGAATAACACTGGTTTCAGATTTCAGTACAATGAGAAGTAAAAAAGAAAATTATTTACACGCCCTGTTGTGAGTAATATTGTTTTACGCCGCTTTTAGCGATATTCCAGGAAACATCACGGTGGATGCCCAAATGTTGTAAATTTGCAAAGGTGCTGATCATGACTTTGTTTTGAAGCTGCAACGGCAACCCCTTCCGACACAACTGACCTGTCCAACATCTACACAATATCGATCACTAGATTGGGGGACACGTTGTGCCCAAATGTTTTTTGATGTAATGTTGATTTTGTTTTGAAGCTGCAACGGCAACCCCTCCCGACACGACTGACCTGTCCAACATCTACACAATATCGATCACTAGATTGGGGGACACGTTGTGCCCAAATGTTTTTTGATGTAATGTTGATTTTGTTTTGAAGCTGCAACGGCAACCCCTCCCGACACAACTGACCTGTCCAACATCTACACCCTGGCGGGCGTCGGAGCAGCTGTCATCGTCGTCACCATCATCATCGTCATCATCGCCGCCACCAGGGGCAGCAGAAGGGGTAATGCCACGTGACAATACAGAAACTATAGTCCTCCCCACTTGAAACAGAATCAAGAAATATCGCGATTATTTATTAACGAGTGAGTGAGTGAGTTGGGTTTAACGCCGCTTTTAAAAGTATTCCAGTTATTCCACGGCGTGTCAGCTTAATGTGATGCAGGTCTCAGACGTTTACAACTTCGATGAAACCAACGAGCACGGGTATGGTGCTGACAAACCTAGAAACATAATTGGGGCGAACCGGGATTCGAACCCACTATGATAGGTTTCTGGCGTGCCCAAGGGACGCAACTCTGCACAGCGAATTGCGGCGCCTTAGACGACTGGGCCACCCGTGCCCCCCTATTTATTAACGAAGACAGCTGCATGTTTGCTTACACATATAATGTGAAAATGAAACATTCCGTCGATCTTACTGATAGTGATGACATTGCAAAGTGCGCTTTTAAAAAATATCCATTTTGCTAGCGCTAAACAACATCATGGAGTATTGAACCAGGGTAAGGATCGTAAGTCGTTTGACTGCGCATCTCGAACAAAGTCAATACCGCTTAATATACCATACGCACTTATTGTCTTTCCGTTCGTGCCGGTAATGTACGTCCAAGGCTATTGGTCCAGCTCGCCATTTGTAATTCTTAGTGAAGTGGAAGTACAATTATTTTATTATCACTCACTGTCACGATGCATTCGTGTATTTGAAGACCAATATGTGTGAAATTAGAAAAGATGTGTTTACAGAAATGACCACTAAAAGAAATCTAATGGGTAAAGAAGTGACACGATGCTTGAAGCTTTCTATTTAGAAACAGATATAAAGTTCCACCCTCCCAATTAATTCTCCACACGTATCAATTATGAAGGGTTGGCGATTTACGGAATTGGCTAATACAATTTACGGGGAGAAAAGAAAGAGGTTTCATGACTTTATCTGACAGTTGTAAATTTAGTGGATCTGTAAATAAGTAGAAGTGGGCGTTTCTCTCGTAATTAATATCCCCGTCCCTGTCTCACAAATGTGGACTAAATTAGAACCATCGTCAGATCATATTGACACGTTTGAATGTTTCAGGTCCAGGAGAGAAGCGGAGAAGAAGAAGGGGATCAAGGTGACATTACTTCCACTATAAATATCTTGATGAAGTTATTGCACGTTCTCAAAGTAGGAGCAAAATGTTCTCACAGTCGGGCGTAAACACTACCCGACCCCTCCTACACTACCTACACCTCCAACTCTACCCCGTCCCCTCCAACACTACCCGACCCCTCCTACACTACCTACACCTCCAACACTACCCCGTCCCCTCCAACACGACCTCGACCGCTACTATACCACCCCACCCCTCCTACACTACCCCACCCCTCCTACACTACCCCACCCCTCCTACACTACCCCCACCCTTCCTACACTACCCCACCCCACCTACACTACCCCACCCCTCCTACACTACCCCACCCCTCCTACACTACCCCCACCCCTCCTACACTACCCCCATCACTCCTACAATACCGCCATCACTCCTACACTACCCCACCCTTTCTTAACTACACCCACCCCTCCAACAGTACCCCACTCTCCTACATTCCTCCCACCCTCTAACACTACCCCACCTCTCATGTGTGTCGTACTCGCTGACTGATGCCGACTTGAACGTGTGACATTATCGTCGTCGTGACGGAGCCTTGTGCACAATATCGATCACTAGATTGTCTGGTCCAGACTCAATTATTTATAGGTCGCCTAACCTACTCAGACACATTATACTGACTCCGAGCCGACCAGTCCTTGTTCAATCAATCTTTATTCATGGTACTTATGAGGCCAAAGGCCTATAGTACAATGTGTGGGGCGTGTTACAAATTCATACATTTTCTATAGTTTCTGTACAATCACAAGTCATTAATTTACAAAATTTGTTACCGTTTGGGTTGCGGTAGAAATAGTTATTTAGATATTTTGCTCTTAAATCTTCATACACTGGACATACACACAAAAAAAGTGATATTCGTCTTCAGTACAATCAGTTTTACAAATCCTACAAAGTCTGTGTTCTCTTGCAATACCTTCATATCTGCCTGTTTCAATAAATAGATCATGTGAGCCACAACGGAATCGAGAAAGAGCTGTTCTAAACTTATGTAAATTTTCTAGAACTAGACAAAGAACAATGCCATTTTTTAATATACATATCTTCTAAAGTCTGTGTCAAACGGGAGAAGAAATGTGTGGCATATCTGCATGTTGCTGTAACCAAATATAACCATATCCACATTCGTATAACATGTTTTTAACTTTTGATGCCCAATTTTGTTTCCCATGGCTGTCGTAGAGAAGCATCATATTATAACATTTTTGGGGGTATCTTGAAGATGGCATATTTAATAGCTTGACCTAGTATTTAATAACCTTTAAATAACTATTGATATACATGGGAAACCGTCCGCATTCACCATATACCCTTGCGTTTTCTGTGCTAGATTTTACCTCCAAGAACCGTTTACATGCATATAAATGTATTTTCTCAATAACATCCAAATGTTCTAGGCCCCAAATTTCGGATCCATACAATAGCATCGGGCTTATTTTTGTATCAAATATTTTAAAATAAACATCATATGTAACATTGTCCAGAACTCTAAGACTTTTTAATATGCCTACAAAATTTTTCTTGGCTTACAATGAAATGTTATGTGCATTCCTTGACCAAGTTAATCTACTTGTAAAACACAAGCCTAAGTATTTATAAGTCCTTGTTTCAGCTCCGTAAAGAGTTAGTGAGTGAGTGAGTATGGTTTTACGCCTCTTTGAGCAATATTCCAGCAATATCACGGCGGGGAACACCGGAAATGGGCTTCACACATTATACCCATTTCGGGAATCGAACCCAGGTATTCGGCGTGACGAGCGAATGCTTTAACCACTAGGCTACCCAACCGCCCCTCATAAAGATAGACTTTTGCTGAGTGCGGCGTTAAACAGACCAACAAACTTTCGAACTCCATGATATGTATTTCATGTAATCAGATGTCAGGTGTCATATACCATTACTGAATATCAATATTCTCCATATCATGAATAAAACAATGTTACATTCTGCTATTTTATTTTTCAGCTTGGTCACCGCTTTCAGCGACAGACGAACTATAGGTAACTAGTGATTGAGTGAGTGAGTATGGTTTTACGCCGCTTTTAGCAATATTTCAGCAATATCACGGCGGGGACACCAGAAATTGGCTTCACACATTGTACCCATGTCGGGAATCGAACCCGGGTCTTCGGCGTGACGAGCTAACGCTTTAACCACTAGGCTTCCCGACCGCCCCTATAGTTAACTAACTTCTGCAATCAAGCTTAATGTAATCGTTACATAACGAGTTCTCAGTTTGAATTTTACTTATTTATGAATCTGAAAGTTTCTCGATTAATGGAAACACTGTCCATCTTTGTATTACTTGCCACATGTGCCTTGTGCTGGCATTTGAAAGGACAGCAGCCAAGCCGCTGGACTTGAAATATCCCATCTGGAGGCAAAGTGACGGGCTTTGGGCAAACAATACGAAAAATTACCTCATTGAGGATGAAATAAGACCACTTCATCAATGTGAGGTGAGGTGAAATGGGGTTTAACGTCGCGTCCAAGATTATTGCACTTATATAGCGACGTGCATGTACGTGTGTGTGTTTGTGTGGCTGCTTGTACGAGTCCGGATTGATGCCGATTTATAGTGCTAGCACACCGAGATACCATGCCGCAGTTTAACATGAATACCCTACTCAGACACAGTAGACTCCGAGCCCCTTAATACCCAGGGTAACAACAAGTACCATCTTTTAACGTCTTTTGGTACGACGCGACCAGGGATCGAACCCCGGACCTTCCGCTCTCCGGGCGAACGCTATATCACTAGACCACGGAGGTGGTCTCATCAATGTGACAAAGTTGGGTCGTTTAACGTGGCGTTCAAGATCATTGCGCTTACATTTTGACGATGCATGAACGTGTGTGTGGCTACAAGTCCGGAGTAATGGGGAGTTTTATTCTGCTACCCTAGGTACCGTGCCGCAGTTTAACCTGCCCTCCTCATACACAATATACTGACTCAAAATTAAATGTCCAGTTCCCATCCTTGCCGAACTAGGCTGGAATTACTGGGCTCTATCTTAGCGCCACCAGTGGCTATTACGAGTTATGTCCCTTCTAAGCCTCTCCTATGGACCAATCAGATTTCACCTCTCGTACCACTTGCCTTTGCTTCAAAGAGAATGGCGGCGCCCACTCAAGATGATCTGATCAAAATCAAGATCTATATTGTGATAAAACGGGTCTTACATCGCGAACTGCAGCAAATCACGTGAACACCTTGATTAAAAACATGAAAAGATTTGTAAAATATTTGTTGACAACGGGTTGGCGGTACATATGCTTTGCAAATCCTGCTATCGACCGAAATCTGCACGGCAGTTTACGAACCGGATATCGAATTCGTTGCGCGATTTTGATTGGACTATGCATAGACTCGTTAGTCCAGTCAAAATGTAACTCCATAATACCAGCCTAGTTCGTCAAGGGTGGAAACTGGACTTTGACAGTCAGTTTAGTAAGACGCCACCAGGAATCGAACCCCCGACGTCCCACTCTCCGGGCGGACGCTCCATCTACTTGGCCACGAACGCAGTCCCTTATATAATACATAAGAGTATTAAATACATTTTGTAGATTAATTTGCCATACAGGTAAAGATCATTTTACACCAATTACAAAAATATTATCGGGGAGGCTGGGGGTGGAGATTTTGGTTTGACATAAGCCTGTGTTATAATGACGAGGACTGTATTCTTGATTGCAAGAAGAGATGCGAGGCATGTTTAATATGTTAGTATGTTATTGTTATATTTTACCGCAGACATGGTCAACAACGACATGTACAGGACTTACCTAGGCCACAGTCAAATACCAAAGCCACGGGTATGGCAAGATAATTTTACAGGTTAGTATTCGTCCATATTTCAAAGATTCCATGTGTTGAAAAGGGACAAACAATGATATCTTTGATTTCTCCGAACGAACGAGTGAGTGAGTGAGTATGGTTTTACGCCGCTTTTAGCAATATTCCAGCAATATCACGGCGGGGGACACCAGAAATGGGCTTCACACATTGTACCCATGTCGGGAATCGAACCCGGGTCTTCGGCGTGACGAGCGAACGCTTTAACCACTAGGCTACCCCCCTTTCTGCAAATCATTTGACAGAGAAGATGTGACAATACCGAAACATCTTCGGCCTCTATTTCAATTACATGTCTAACACAGGCAGGTATATTTATATCCCACGATAAATACTTTTGCTAGTGCAATAGTTTTCGAATACAATGTTAATTAAAACATGGAGATTTTTTTAGCATTTCATAACCGCACTGGAATTCTTGTTTTCCACCTGTTTTCTGTTGTGATATATCATCAGTATGAGGGTTGTTTAATTATTTGGTTACGGAACGACCCAAATGTCATGATGTAGCAGAAGATTAAAATTTAAATTAATGTTTCACTTAATTCCAAGTTTGCAAAATGATTGCAGCAATGAAACAAACTTCTAGTAGGCCGATAGCGTAAGGATTGTAACCATTTGACCCTGGTACCCCCGAAACAATTAATAATTTCATTTTACAACCCTGGCATTTAACATGTCGACGTGTTTGTTTTTACATTTTTGTTTTTGGTTTAGTTTTTGGAGTGACCCTGCTATTTCACACACAGCATCGGCAAACATGTACATGTACTTACCATGACAGAATTATAAGATCCACACTAAGTCTTGCCTGTGTGATTGTGTTGCAGAAGTGTACAGCCAGGTGATCAAACCGAGGTACAACGACTACCAGTACAGCCTGGGAAGAATGGGGCACTCACGGTTTTAAAAAAGATGACTTTGCGCCCAGGGTGTTAAAAAATAGATGAGACCCGTGAAGATCCGGGGATAAATAGGTTTTCAGCAACCCATGCTTGCCGTTAAAGGTGACTATTCTTGTCGTAAAAGGCGACTAATGGGATCGGGTGGTCAGGCTCGCTGACTTGGTTGATGCATGTCATCGATCCAAATTGCGTGGATTGATGCTCATGATATCAATCACTGGTCCAGACTCGATTATTTACAGACCGCCGTCATATAGCTGGAATATTGCTGAGTGCGGCGTTAAACAACAAACCAACCAACTAAAGAACAGAAGAAGAATGTCTGGAGCTCTATCGTGAAGGCATACGATCTGATTTTCTTTTCCTCTAAAACAGGGGCGGTCGGGTAGCCTAGTGGTTAAAGCGTTCGCTCGTCACGCCGAAGACCCGGGTTCGATTCTCGACATGGGTACAATGTGTGAAGCCCATTTCTGGTGTCCCCCGCCGTGATATTGCTGGAATATTGCTAAAAGCGGCGTAAAACCAAACTCACTCACTCCTCTAAAACATGTTTTGTGTGATATATTGTAGAGGAATATTTCGTTTACACACCCATTTGTGAAATAATACGACGGCAAAGAACGCGCCTCAGTGACCCCGACGTCATATTTGGATATCCTGATCTCCACACAGCGGTATCACGGTCTTCGCCGCAAGAGGAAACGACTGTGTTGCTGTATTACATTACCGTTAGTTGTGTTTGAGCAGCGTTATGTCTGACACTTGTTTGCGATATATTGTGGTGAAGTTATTCTATTCGGTTTTGGACCGCCTCCGTGGTCTAGTGGTAGAGCGCCCGCCCGGAGAGCGGAAGGTCCGGGGTTCGATCCCCTGCCGCGTCATACCAAAAGACGTTAAAAGATAGTACTTGTTGTTACCCTGTCTGGCGCTCGGCATTAAGGGGCTAAAACAAGGACTGGTCGGCTCGGAGTCAGTATACTGTGTCTGAGTAGGGTATTCATGTTAAACTGCCGCATGGTATCTCGGTGTGCTAGCACTATAAATCGGCATCAGTCCGAACTAGTACAAGCAGCCACACAAACACCCACACACGTGCATGCACGTCGCTATATAAGTGCAATAATCTTGGACGCGACTTTAAACCCAATTTCACCTCACCTCACCTATTCGGTTTTGATTTTCAATTTGCCAGAGTGTGATGAAGTGAGATGAGGTGAGGTGAGGTGAGGTGAGGTTGGGTTTAACATCGTGTTCAAGGTGATTGCATTGACATAGCGACTCGCATGAACGTGTTTGCTTGTTGTTTAACGCCGCAAAAAAAAAAAAATCGACATGTACATAACCTGGACCAGTCTCGCCCAGACCCTCCTATGATTAACATCACGAGCATCAACCAGGACCACCCGATCCCGTTAGTCGCCTCTTACGGCAAGCATGGTGTGTGTGTCTGTGTGCGTGTGCGTGCGTGTGTGTGCGTGTGCGCGTGTGTGTTTGTAGTAGTCGGACTCTTATGTCGGTTATTTCGTGCTAGCCCCCCTGAGATGCCATGCCGCCATTTCACTCAGACACAGTATACTGTCTCCGCGCCGAGCAGTGCAGCTTTAATCCCCGAGTGCAGAACTCCAGGCAGGGCAACAACATGCACCATCTTTTTATCTCTGTGTTAATGTATGTATTTTTTTTTGGTTTTCACGCATATATATTAATCCGGGAACAAACAAGTCATATTTTTAGTTTTGTAAATTCATATTACTCACAAAGATTTCTTGCTTTCAACGACAATATCTGGATACGCCATTATGGTAAAATCAAGACCCCCCCCCCCCACACACACACACTTTAGTACGCACAGAATTTTAAAAAATGTTTATGAAGAATAGGGCGGAAGTTATTATTATTATTATTATTATTATTATTATCATTATATGTGTACAAGCAGCGACCTGATATCTTTCTCTTCCAGTTCACCAATTCATAGAGGTAAAAAAAATGTATAAACAAAACGGTTTTCAATGAATAAACTGAATTATATGAAGTTAATTGTTATTGTGTATCTTTATTGATCATATGTTGGTTGGTTGGTTGGTTGGTTTGTTGTTTAACGCCGCACTCAGCAATATTCCAGCTATATGACCGCGGTCTGTAAATAATCGAGTCTGGACCAGACAATCCAGTGATTGACATCACGAGCATCGATCCACGTGAAATATCACGTTTGTCTCATCGAGGGACGGGGGAACGGAGACATTTGTTGTATACTTTTGTGTATAATTGTCTACCGGAAAAATCAAATTACTGCTTCACAAATGTAACACCTTGAAATATAAATTCTCCCTACCTTGCACGCAGGGACGATTCACCACCTCTTATAATTGCGACTTAAAAGTAGTTCCGTGTTCGAAAATGTTTTTTAATAATAAACCAAAGTAACAAGTTTGAGGTCAGTGATTTTTTTAGCATACATTTGGAGATGATTATATACAAAATCACTTTCAACAAAAGATATTCTTGAAATCTATAAGACCGTTGCTGTAAGCGAAATAATACAGGCTGGTCAAGTAACAAAAAATGGCACTTTCCGATTGACCAGTTAAATGAGAAATTTAAAGTTTTCACGAAACAGTTTCAAGAAAATAACAAACGGCAGTAAGCTATTTTAATTCCATCTGTCATTAAAATAACGTAACAGGGTCAACAGTTTCTGTACGGGCTAGACATTTACGATAAAGGGGAGATAATTTGTGAGGAGGAAACTATTGTAAGAAAATAGTTCGGTAAAGTATTACCTTCACTGCAGTGAAATATCAGGTGTTGTGTTCATTGCGGACCGCGTCCGTGGTCTAGTGGTAGAGCGCCCGCCCGGAGAGCGGAAGGTCCGGGGTTCGATCCCCAGCCGCTTCATACCAAAAGACGTTAAAAGATGGTACTTGTTGTTACCCTGTCTGGCGCTCGGCATTAAGGGGCTAAAACAAGGACTGGTCGGCTCGGGGTCTGTATACTGTGTCTGAGTGGGGTATTCATGTTAAACTGCGGCATGGTATCTCAGTGAGCTAACACTATAAATCGGCATCAGTCCGGACTAGTACAAGCAGCCACACACACACACACGTGCATACACGTCGCTATATAAGTGCAATGATCTTGGACGCGACGTTAAACCCCATTTCACTGAACCTCACCTTATGTTCATTGCAGTGAAAATATCACTTTTCCCAACTCCAGAAAACTCTTTCACACTGCAGTATATAATAAGATGCCAGGTAAAATAAGTGTAATTAAGATTTAGTTACAGTAAAGTATAAAGGGTAAATTACTGTTAATCCTGTCTCAGCACCAAACCGTGATCGTAGGTTTTACTCAAGTGACAGACCCGTGAAGACCCGGGTAGAATAGGTCTTCAGCAACCCATGCTTGCCGTGAAAGGCGACTATGCTTGTCGTAAGAGCGACTAACGGGATCGGGTGGTCAGGCTCGCTGACTTGGTTGATGCATGTCACCGTATCCCGATTGCGTGGATCGATGCTTATGATGTTAATCACTGCATTGTTTGGTCCAGACTCGATTATTCACAGACCGCCGCCATATAGCTGGAACAGTGCAGCGTTAGACAAACAAACAAACAAACAAACAAGTGATAAACACCTGAAACCGGCATAACTTTAGGTTTTGCTCTCACATTAAGCTGACAGGCTTTGATGTACCTGAAAATAATGGTCAAAGCGACATTTGTTATCGAACCAAAAAGCATATTAAAAAAGAAACGGAATTCGAACACGATTACAGTTTTCTGATACGCCTAAGGGAGGCAACTCTTTAGATCCTTTAGAAGACTGGCCCTCCCGTGCCCCCTGCTAACACCCTAACACCGCTCATCTGGAATCACAAGGGACACAACTCTGAGAAGACTGGCCCTCCCGTGCCCCCTGCTAACAACCTAACACCGCCAACCCAGAATCACAAGGGACACAACTCTGAGAAGACTGGCCCTCCCGTGCCCCCTGCTAACAACCTAACACCGCCAACCCAGAATCACAAGGGACACACCTCTGAGAAGACTGGCCCTCCCGTGCCCCCTGCTAACAACCTAACACCGCCAACCCAGAATCACAAGGGACACAACTCTGAGAAGACTGGCACTCCCGTGCCCCCTGCTAACAACCTAACACCGCCAACCCAGAATCACTAGGGACACAACTCAGAGAAGACTGGCCCTCCCTTTGCCCCTGCTAACAACCTAACACCGCCAACCCAGAATCACAAGGGACACAACTCTGAGAAGACTGACCCTCCCGTGCCCCCTGCTAACAACCTAACACCGCCAACCCAGAATCACTAGGGACACAACTCTGAGAAGACTGGCCCTCTCTTTGCCCCTGCTAACAACCTAACACCGCCAACCCAGAATCACAAGGGACACAACTCTGAGAAGACTGGCACTCCCGTGCCCCCTGCTAACATCCTAACACCGCCAACCCAGAATCACAAGGGACACAACTCTGAGAAGACTGGCCCTCCTGTGCCCCCTGCTAACAACCTAACACCGCCAACCCATAACCACAAGGGACACAACTCTGAGAAGACTGGACATCGGTGGTCCCTGGTAGCAATATAATCAATCCCCTTGAAGATCCGTGTTAGAATTCATCTTCAGCAACCCGGCCTTGGTTGATGCATGTCATCGTATCCAACCCGGCCTTGGTTGATGCATGTCATCGTATCCAAATTAAGCTGATTAATGCTCATGATGTCAATCACTGGATTGTCTGGCGCAGATTATTTTCAGACGGCCATTATATAGCTGAAATATTGCTAAGTACGCCGTTAAACAAAACACAATATTAACCACCCACGGATGATATTTGGCGAAGTGATTAACAATAGTTGTGTCCACACACATGACCTCACTGACGATAGTGATACACTTCCTGGTTGATGTGTGGGCGACACAGCCTTTCCGCCCTGCTAAACAAGGACGCGAAACATCCCACTGGTTCTCATAGCAGTTCCTTATAAAGGCTATTCAGTTGTGGGATATGACAGCATCAGGTGTATTGTTATTTCCGAGGTAGGTGCATTTGATTTCCGACATTTTTCAATGTTAAATATCTGCGGTGAGGTGAAATGCGGTTCAACTTGGGATTCAAGATTACATACATATTGTGTGGTGTTTGGTGTATGGATGGGAATGTGTTGCGTGTGTGTTTGTGTTTGGTGTGTGCGTGTGTAAGTGAAAGAGTGCGTGTGTGTGGTGTTTGTGCTTCTGTGGTGTGTGTGCGTGTGTGTGTGTGTGTGTGCTGATCCGAACGATTGCCGGTTCAATAGTGCCAGCCCATTGAGATACCATGTCGCATTTCTACAACAAAATACTCTTTTAACGTACTTGGTATCAACTTGTATCAATATGATATAGTTTTTATTAATGGGATATAGATTGTATTAATATGGTATAGATTGTATTAATTGGATATATATTGTATTAATATAATATAGATTGTATTAATGGGATATAGATTGTATTAGTATGATAAAGATTGTATTAATGGGATATAGATTGCATCAATATGATATACATTGCATCAATCTGATCAGATTGCATCTATGTGATATAAATTGTATTAATATGATATAGATTGTATTAATGGGAAATAGATTCTTTTCATAGGATATAGATTGCATCAATGTTATATAGATTGTATTAATGTGATATATATTGTATTAATGTGATATAGATTGTATTAATAGGATACAGATAGCATGAATGTGATATAGATTGTATTAATGTGACATAGATTGTATTAATTTCATATAGATTGTATTTATGTGATATAGATTGTATTAATGGGATATAGATTGTATTAATGTGACAGATTGTATTAATGTTATATAGATTGTATTAATGGGATATATATTGCATCAATGTGATATAGATTGTATTAATGTTATATAGATTGTATTCGTGGGATATAGATTGCATCAATGTGATATAGATTGTATTAATGTGACATAGATTGTATTCATTTCATATAGATTGTATTAATGGGATATAGATAGCATGAATGTGATGTAGATTGTATTAATGTGACAGATTGTATGAATGTGATATAAATTGTACTTATGTTATATCGATTTTATTAATGGGATATAGATTGTATTCATGTTATATAGATACTATTAATGGGATATATATTGCATCAATGTGATATAGATTGTATTAATGTTATATAGATTGTATTCGTGGGATATAGATTGCATCAATGTGATACAGATTCGTATTCATGGGATATAGATTGCATCAATGTGATATAGACTGTATTAATAGGATATAGATTGCATATATGTGATATAGATTGTATTAATGGGGTTGGGATTTTATTAATGGGATAAAGATTGCATCAATGGGATATTGATTGTATTAATGGGATATAGATTGTAATAATAGGATATACATATCATCAATGTGATATAGATTGTTTTAATGTGATATAGATTGTATCAATGGGATATAGATTATATTAATGTGATATAGATTGTATTAATGTGACATAGACTGTATTAATGTGATATATATTGTATTAATGTGATATATATTGTATTAATGTGACATAGTTTGTATTAATGTGATATAGATTGTATTTATGTGAAATAGATTGTATTAATGTGATATAGATTGTATTAATGGGATATATATTGCATCAATGTGATATAGATTGTATTAATAGGATATATAGCATGAATGTGATATAGATTGTATTAATGTGACATAGATTGTATTAATTTCATATAGATTGTATTTATGTGATAGAGATTGTATTAATGGGATATAGATTGTATTAATGTTATATAGATTGTATTAATGGGATATAGATAGCATGAATGTGATATAGATTGTATTAATGTGACAGATTGTATTAATGTGATATAGATTGTACTTATGTGATATCGATTTTATTAATGGGATATAGATTGTATTAATGTGACATAGATTGTATTGATGGGATATAGATAGCATGGATGTGATATAGATTGTATTAATGTAACAGATTGTATTAATGTGATATAGATTGTACTTATGTGATATCGATTTTATTAATGGGATATAGATTGTATTAATGTTATATAGATTCTATTAATGGGATATATATTGCATCAATGTGATATAGATTGTATTAATGTTATATAGATTGTATCCGTGGGATATAGATTGCATCAATGTGATATAGATTGTATTCATTGGGTATAGATTGCATCAATGTGATATAGACTGTATTAATAGGATATAGATTGCATATATGTGAAAAAATGTTATTAATGGGGTTAGGATTTTATTAATGTGATATAGATTGCATCAATGGGATATTGATTGTATTAATGGGATATAGATTGTAATAATAGGATATACATATCATCAATGTGATATAGATTGTTTTAATGTGATATAGATTGTATCAATGGGATATAGATTATATTAATGTGATATAGATTTTATTAATGTGATATAGACTGTATTAATGTGATATATATTGTATGAATGTGACATAGATTGTATTAATGTGATATAGATTGTATTTATGTGATATAGATTGTATTAATGTGATATAGATTGTATTAATGGGATATATATTGCATCAATGTGATATAGATTGTATTAATGGGATATAGATAGCATGAATGTGATATAGATTGTATTAATGTAACAGATTGTATTAATGTGATATAGATTGTACTTATGTGATATCGATTTTATTAATGGGATATAGATTGTATTAATGTTATATAGATTCTATTAATGGGATATATATTGCATCAATGTGATATAGATTGTATTAATGTTATATAGATTGTATCCGTGGGATATAGATTGCATCAATGTGATATAGATTGTATTCATTGGGTATAGATTGCATCAATGTGATATAGACTGTATTAATAGGATATAGATTGCATATATGTGATATAGATTGTATTAATGGGGTTAGGATTTTATTAATGTGATATAGATTGCATCAATGGGATATTGATTGTATTAATGGGATATAGATTGTAATAATAGGATATACATATCATCAATGTGATATAGATTGTTTTAATGTGATATAGATTGTATCAATGGGATATAGATTATATTAATGTGATATAGATTTTATTAATGTGATAGAGACTGTATTAATGTGATATATATTGTATGAATGTGACATAGATTGTATTAATGTGATATAGATTGTATTTATGTGATATAGATTGTATTAATGTGATATAGATTGTATTAATGGGATATATATTGCATCAATGTGATATAGATTGTATTCATGGGATATGGACTCCATCAATGTGATATAGATTGTGCTAATAGGGTATAGATTGCATATATGTGATATAGATTGTACTGATGGGATATAGATTGTATTATTTGGATATAGATTCCATCAATGTGACTTAGATTGTATTAATGGGATATAGACTCCATCAATGTGACATAGAGTGTATTAATCGGATATAGATTGCATTAATGGGATATAGATTGCATCAATGTGATATTGACTGTATTAATAGGATATATATTGTATAAATGTGATATAGATTCTAATAATAGGATATAGATATAATCAATGGGATATAGATTGCATCAATGTGATATAGATTGTATTAATGTGATATAGATTGTATTAATTTGATATAGATTGTACTTATGTGATATCGATTTTATTAATTGAATACAGATTGTATTAATGTTATATAGATTGTATTAATGGGTATATATTGCATCAATGTGATATAGATTGTATTCATGGGATATAGATTGCATCAATGTGATATAGATTGTTTTAATGTGATATAGATTGTATTAATGGGATATAGATTACATTAATGGGATATAGATTGTATTAATGTGACATAGATTATATTAATTGGATACAGATTGTATTAATGTTATATAGATTGTATTAATGGGTATATATTGCATCAATGTGATATTGATTGTATTAATGTGATATAGATTGTATTCATGGTATATAAATTGCATCAATGTGATATAGATTGTATTAATGGGATATAGATTGTATTAATGTGATATAGATTGTAATAATAGGATATATATGTATATCATCAATGTGATATAGATTGTTTTAATGTGATATAGATTGTATTAATATGATATATATTGTATTAATGGGATATATATTGCATTAATGGGATATAGATTGTATTCATGGGATATAGATTGCATTTAATGTGATATAGTTTGTATTAATAGGATATAGATTGCATTTAAATGATATAGGTTGTATTAATGGGGTTTGGATTTTATTAATGGGATATATATTGCATCAATGGGATATTGATTGTATTAATGGGATATAGATTGTATTAATTGGATATTGATTCCATCAATGTGACATAGATTGTATTAATGGGATATAGATTGCATTAATGGGATATTGATTGTATTAATGGGATATAGATTGTATTAATGTGATATAGATTGTAATAATAGGACATAGATATGATCAATGTGATATAGATTGTTTTAATGTGATATAGATTGTATCAATGGGATATAGATTATATTAATGTGATATAGATTGTATTAATGTGATATAGATTGTATTAATGTGATATAGATTGTATTAATATGACATAGATTTTATTAATGTGATATAGATTGTATTTATGTGATATAGATTGTATTAATGGGATATAGATTGTATTAATGGGATATAGATTGTATTAATGTGATATAGATTGTATTAATAGGATATAGATAGCATGAATTTGATATAGATTGTATTAATGTGACATAGATTGTATTAATATGATATAGATTGTATTAATGTGATATAGATTGTATTAATTTCATATAGATTGTATTTATGTGATATAGATTGTATTAATGGGATATAGATTATATTAATGTGATATAGATTGTATTAATGTGATATAGATTGTATTAATGTGATATGGACTGTATTAATGTTATATAGATTGTATTAATGGGATATAGATAGCATGAATGTGATATAGATTGTATTAATGTGACAGATTGTATTAATGCGATATAGATTGTATTAATAGGATATAGATTGCATATATGTGATATGGATTGTATTAATGGGGTTTGGATTTTATTAATGGGATATAGATTGCATCAATGGGATATTGATTGTATTAATGGGATATAGATTGTATTAATGGGATAAATATTTCATCAATGTGACATAGATGGTATTAATGGGAGATAGATTGCATTAATGGGATATTGATTGTATTAATGGGATATAGATTGTATTAATGGGATATAGATTGTATTAATGGGATATAGATTCCATCAATGTGACATAGATTGTATTAATGTGATATAGATTGCATCAATGGGATATTGATTGTATTAATGGAATATAGATTGTATTAATGGGATATAGATTCCATCAATGTGACATAGATTGTATTAATAGGATATAGATTGCATCAATGTGATATTGATTGTATAAATGGGATATAGATTGTATTAATGGGATATAGATTGTAAAAATAGGATATAGATATGATCAATGTGATATAGATTGTTTTAATGTGATATAGATTGTATTAATGGGATATAGATAACATTGATGGGATATAGATTGTTTTAGTGTGATATAGATTGTATTAATGGGGTTAGGATTTTATTAATGTGATATAGATTGCATCAAGGGGATATTGATTGTATGAATGGGATATATATTGTAATAATAGGATATACATATCATCAATGTTGTAGATTGTTTTAATGTGATATAGATTGTATCAATGGGATATAGATTATATTAATGTGATATAGATTGTATTAATGTGATATAGACTGTATTCATGTAATATATATTGTATTAATGTGACATAGATTGTATTAATGTGATATAGATTGTAATTATGTGATATAGATTGTATTAATGTGATATAGATTGTATTTATGGGATATATATTGCATCAATGTGATATAGATTGTACTAAAAGGATATAGATTGCATCAATGTGATATAGATTGTATTAATGGGATATGGATTTTATTAATGGAATATAGATTGCATTAATCGGATATAGATTGCATCAATGTGATATTGATTCTATTAATGGGATATAGATTTTATTAATGTGATATAGATTGTAATTATGGGATATAGATATAGTCTATGTGATATAGATTGTTTTAATGTGATATAGACTGTATTAATGGGATATAGATTGCATCAATGTGATATTGACTGTATTAATGTGATATAGATTGTATTAATGTGATATAGATTGTATTAAAGTGATATAGATTCTTTTAATGTGATATAGATTGGATCAATGGGATATGGATTATATTAATATGATATAGATTGTATCAATGTGATATAGGTTGTATTATGTGATAAAGATTGTATTAATGGGATATATATTTAATCAATGTGATATAGATTGTATTAATGTGATATAGATTGTAATAATGGGATAAAGATAACATCAATGTGATATAGATTGTTTTAATGTCATATAGATTGTATCAATGGGATATATATTTCATCAGTGTGATGTAGATTTATTATTGTGATATAGATTGTACTCATGGGATATAGATTTTATTAATATGGTATAGATTCTATAAATGGGATATAAATTGCATCAATGTGATATAGATTGTATTAAAAGGATATAGATTGCATCAATGTGATATAGATTGTATTAATGGGATATGGATTTTATTAATGGAATATAGATTGCATCAATGGCATACAGATTGCATCAATAGGGTATAGATTGCATCAATGGCATATAGATTGCATCAGTGGGATATAGATTGGATCAATGGGATATAGATTGCATCAATGGGATATAGATTGCATCAATGGGATATAGATTTCATCAATGGCATATAGATTGCATCAATGGGATATAGATTGCATCAATGGGATATAGATTGCATCAATGGGATATAGATTGCATCAATGGCATATAGATTGGATCAATGGGATATAGATTGCATCAATGGGATATAGATTGGATCAATGGGATATAGATTGCATCAATGGGATATAGATTGCATCAATGGGTTATAGATTGCATCAATGGGATATAGACTGCATCAATGGGATATACATTGCATAAATGGGATATAGATTGCATCAATGGGATATACATTGCATCAATGGGATATAGATTGCATCAATGTGATATTAATTGCATCGATGTCATATGAACTGTATCAGTGTCAGCATTGTTTTATACATGTCATCGTCCCCAATTGTAGAGATCGATGCTCATGATATCAATCACTGGCCTGCCTGACTCGATTATTTACAGATCTGCGTCATATAACTGGAATATTGCTGAGAACGGCAAGGATAGGCAAGGATCTAAGGATCGCCGCAATCGCAGAATAGAGTTGCGCCCCTTGCTCATTCCAGGATCAGCTGTTTGTGGACCCCAGTATTATAGGATGTTAAATAGCATAACTTATTTGTTTGGTTAGATATAGAATATCTATGTATTGATGTTTTAAGCTTATTACGTAGGTAGAAGCACACATTACACTTTGAACCATACTACACGTACCTTTGTCACCCCTGACACTTTAATATATTGCAGTGTGCGCCTCGATGATGTGGGCTGCAAATCTTGCAGTAATCTGTCTTGTTCTTGTCCGTCAGTCATACAGTAAGTATGTGTGCTTCAGCTCTTAATAATACCTGGGTGATAGGGAAGCCGAAGACCCGGGTTCGATTCCCGACATGGGCACAATGTGTGAAGCCCATTTCTGGTGTCCCCGCCGTGATATTGTTGAAATATTTTTTGTTTGATAGGCATTACTTAGAAGTTGACGGATGACAACGTAGACAAAGTTTTTGGATAACAACTTCTTTAATACTGTCAAAAGCGACGTTTCGGTATAGATCCTTATACTTGCTTGACAACGGTATAAGGATCTATACCGAAACGTCGCTTTTTACAGTATTAAAGAAGTTGTTATCCATAAAATTGTGTGAACGTTGTGCTGGAATATTGCTAAAGGCGGCGGTTGGAGGCTTTGGAGATGGAAAGGTGCATTATTAAAATCATACAGGAACAATAATGAAGAGATAAAGATTTTGAGACACATATTTTTCAGAACATCAAGCATGCGTCGTGAAACGACTTGTTTAGAATATTGTCTTTTTTCTCAAGCATATACCGGCTATGAGATTCACTAAAACTGCATTGTTGTCCCTTTTCAAAAACATCATTTGTTTATGAATGCTTCACGTAACGTATTAACAAAATAAACTACTACTGTAATAGGAACGAGTAGGAATGTGTACATTGAAAGATAAATCCATAAGAATTGTCCTTTTGCAGCATAATTGTTCATTTGTAATTTTAATTACGGGATGTTTTTCGTCAGGTAAGCTTCTTTTGGAAGGCTTCAAGTCTGAAGATGCCAGTCCTGCTTGGATCTATTTGCATTGTTCAAAAGACGGATGGACACCTCAGATTTCGTTCTACTGGAAACTTAACAACACGATAGTATTTAGGACAAACTGGTTTCACGCATACATTAGCGATAGTTCGTTCATGGGTAAGGTACGTATGTACACTGGCTGGCGCGACCATTATGTAAACATCTCTGAACCAGCGGACACAGCTATCAGCTCCAAGTGGAGATGCGGGGATAATGATGATGATGAGGAGGAGGAGGAGGATTGGAGCAACGAAGTGTGTCTGTCGGGTACGTAACATGGAAAACGCCACTCAATACAAGATGCTTCTCCTTACTTCTTTTATTGACGGGATTGAACGAAGTGAATGTTGTTTAACGTCGTCAGGGACACTTGGCGTCATGCTGGTACGATATCATTGAGGGATGTTTCCTACTGTTTCGGGAAGGTTGGGTAGCCTAGTGGTTAAAGCGTTCGCTCGTCACGCCGAAGACCCGGGTTCGATTCCTGACATGGGTACATTGTGTGAAGCCCATTTCTGGTGTCCCCCGCCGTGATATTGTTGGAATATTGCTAAAAGCGGCGTAAAACCATACTCACTCACTCCTACTGTTTCAGTCTTGTTGCCATTTCTTTTCAATCTTATCTCTCGGATAACTTTCACAACAAGGGTTTTACAGGATCAAAGGTTGATGCCAGATGTTATATTTTCATTTCGCTTGCTGACAACCACAGTATATGCAATGCGTAGGATGTGGTGTACATATGATTCTAGAATAGTTTGGAAAAAAGATTTATCATCCAAAACTGGCTCCCACAGGAGATATCGCTTGTGAAATTACATCACAATGCTTTGCAGACCATTGTGACGTCACTGGTTACCATGACGTCACAATCAAATGACATCACTAATGGCTCTGCTACTGAAGCTGTTAGCAGTACTTTTTTCACCGAAGACAGTGCTAATTACTGTCTACAAATTGAAAAAGTTGGAAGACTGATGTTGGATGATCAATAAAATCTTACACCGAACGGCGAAATATATCAACACTCATTGATAAAAGTGTCAAAAATCCTCGGCAAGCCTCGGAATTTTTCCACTTTTATCAGCTCGTGTTGAAATATTTGGTATCAAAAGACACTCGGGTGAGATTCTCTATATATTGGAATCTGCAACGACTGATACCATGGATGTGAGCTGATTGTTAGAACGTTATTGCATCACAGAGATACACAATAAGCCCGTTGTTCTCCACTTCCAGATGGTGGGACAATGACGAAGACCGTTATGCCAGTTAAAGGTACAGTACCCTCACCTTTCTCAGATTGGGTATACTAACCACGAGCGCACCATATACATGACAATATATCTTCATTTTTATAGTTGTATTGCTAAAAGTTTAAAGATACCGACTATACTTTATCCTGCGATAAACTACACAATTTGAGTTACGTCATAATGGGCTGACGTCATGGCGCTGTTCAAATACACCCCCCCCCCCCCCCCCCCCCCCCCCAAATTAATATGAAAAACCTCAAAATTAAATCTTAGGTATTTCTGCATGGGGTTATGGATAATTACACACTTAACTGATAATAATATGGTACATATCAAACCGCAAACTACCCGTTTAAGTGGTGTCTTAGTATGTTCTAAACGTTCTTCGTCTCTTAACGTAAATATGCAGGCAGTAAGTTGAAACATCCCGTCAATCAGCCCTGTTTACAAAGTTATTGTATGTTGATCATACATTTTCACGAAACAGAACACCTGTAAAAAGGCAGCTGAGCGAACTTTAACGAGCATTTCCGATTGTAATATAAGGGCGATAACTCTGGAAGTGTTTACGTCGTCGGCTAGGTGTCACGGTGTCCCTGAAGATAACTCTTTTGTTAATCGGTCACTCGGGGTACATACGCGCGCAAACAGCGTACATAACAAAACGTATACCCATCGGGAGCTTCAACAACTAAATCACTGTATCACTAAACTGGTATACCTGAATTGATGTTCAAAGCAGCGTGCCAATGGGGACCGCCTCCGTGGTCTAGTGGTAGAACGTCCGCCGGGAAAGCGGAAGGTTCTGGGTTCGATCCCCTGCCGCGTCATACAAAAATACGTTAAATGATGGTACTTGTTGTTACCCTGTCTGGCGTTCGTCATTACGGAGCTAAAACAAGGACTGATCGGCTCGGAGTCAATATACTGTGTCTGAATGGGGTATTCATGTAAAACTGCGGCATGGTAGTTCAGTGGGCAACTACAGATCGGCATAAGTCCGGACTAGTACAATCAGACACACATACACACGTGCATGCAGACACACTGTGCACACGCACGTCGCTATATAAGTGCAATAATCTTGGACGCGACTTTAAACCCCATTTCACCTCACCTCACCTGTGCCAATTAATTCGGGGCGTCGTAATTCGCTGTGCAGATTTTCCTGCCTGGAGACACAACGAGCCATTGGTCTTGGGTTTGAATCCCGATATACGTCTAAGATCTGCATGACTTTCTCAAAAATATCTGACGCGCTGTGATGTAAGTTAAATAATGTTCAAAGTGTTGTTGAGCCCAACCTGCTTACTCGTCAAACTGAGACAGTGATTATTGTGTCACGCCGTTCGTCAAATGTGACCTAATACGTCATATTAGACCCGTCAAAACAATCTAAAATATGTACTAATAGTTCCTATATATTGGGTTAGAATTAGTCCCGGGTACCCATGACGTTAGAGAGAGAGAGACGTTGTTGTTAGTAATATTCCAACGTTGTCACGGCTTGTAATATCAGAAGGAGATTCACATTTTGTACCCATGAGCCCCATATCTGATGTTCCCCGCGGTGATATTGCTAGAATATTGCTAAACGCGGCCTGAAACCTGACTGACTGACTGATTCACAGACTGACTGACTGACTGACTGACTGACTGACTCACAGACTGACTGACTGACTGACTCACAGACTGACTGACTCACTGACTGACTGACTCACTGATTGAATGACTGACTGACTGACTGACTGACTCACTGACTCACAGACTGACTGACTGACTCACTCACTCACTGATTGACTGACTGACTCACAGACTGACTGACTGACTGACTCACAGACTGACTGACTCACTGACTGACTGACTCACTGATTGAATGAATGACTGACTGACTGACTGACTCACTGACTCACAGACTGACTGACTGACTCACTCACTCACTGATTGACTGACTGACTCACTGACTCACTGACTCACAGACTGACTCACTGACTGACTGACTGACTCACAGACTGACTGACTCACAGACTGCCTGACTGACTGAGTGACCGACTGATTGACTCACAGACTGACTCACTGATTGACTGACTGCCATCCTGACTGACTGACTGACTGACTGACTCACAGACTGACTGACTCACAGACTGACTGACTGACTGACTCACAGACCGACTCACTCACTCACTCACTCATCAACTCACTCACTCACTCACGTTTTACAAGCAATAAAGTGTAAATATGGTATAAAGTAAGAACAAAATGCTGGTTGTTTAACGCAACTCAGTGTATCACTGTCTGTGTGGTCAGAACGTATGTGTAGCAATTTAAATAAACGAAACTGCGGCGCAGAAAAAGGATACGCCCATGTTAGATGGTGGATACGCCCATGTTAGATGGTGGATACGCCCATGTTAGATGGTGGATACGCCCATGTCAGATAGTGGATACGCCCATGTTAGATGGTGGATACGCCCATGTTAGATGGTGGATACGCCCATGTTAGATGGTGGATACGCCCATGTTAGATGGTGGATACGCCCATGTTAGATGGTTGATACGCCCATGTTAGATAGTGGATACGCCCATGTTAGATGGTGGATACGCCCATGTCAGATAGTGGATACGCCCATGTTAGATGGTGGATACGCCCATGTTAGATGGTGGATACGCCCATGTTAGATGGTGGATACGCCCATGTTAGATGGTGGATACGCCCATGTTAGATGGTGGATAGGCCCATGTTAGATGGTGGATACGCCCATGTCAGATGGAGGATACGCCCATGTCAGATGGTGGATACGCCCATGTCAGATGGAGGATACGCCCATGTCAGATGGTGGATACGCCCATGTTAGATGGTGGATACGCCCATGTCAGATGGTGGATACGCCCATGTTAGATGGTGAATACGCCCATGTTAGATGGTGGATACGCCCATGTTAGATGGTGGATACGCCCACGTCAGATGGTGGCTATTTCTTTTCATTTTTCAACTCTTGTTTTATAAGAAGGGATATTTCATTGACTGTAGTTTTGGAAAACCAAGTCTACTTATAGCTCAAATGAATGGATGCCACAGTCAAACGAGCCGTTTCCTGAATGTAACCAACATCCAACATCCTGCATGGGCCTACAAGGAACACCAATTTGTATAACACACTCCGTACACACTGTAGTATTGACAACCGACATTTTCCCGCAAACAACATATAATGCCCAAATACATTTGAATAGACGGGATTATATTGACCGAAGTACCCATATCCTGACGCGCATTCTGATTGGCTTCCGCCTTTTCGACGCATGTCGGCTTCGGGAGCGGGACGAACCTTCTTGTAGGGTACGGAAAAATACGAGTGGTGACGAATAGATTTATCACTGAGCCTTTATTTGTGTCAAATGTTTGACAATTGATTATTTACGAAGGAAAACAAAGCGACAAAATCCTTTCTATATCCAACAGAAATCTCTGCATAAAGCAGAGTCGATTGTACAACTCCGACTATATCATGAGCCTGTGTTTGAACCCTTCTTTTAAAAACTACTGCAATTAACCCCCTTAATCTGGACACGGTTACTGTTCTGATTAACGGAGTTTCACAGTGTCAGATAATATCTTCCTTACTGGCGAGACGTGCGTGAGCAATTCCTCGTTAGTTGCGTGTTTCACCATTGAATTTTGCTTACACGATAGTTCATCCTCCTTACCCCCGATCCCGTGAACATCCGGGTTACAGTCGGTCTTCAGCAACCCAGGCGACAAACGGGATAGAGATGTGACCCTGTGATGTGTATTACTTGAGGAAAATCTGCAATGTTTTGGTACAGCTTGTGAGAGATGAGAATACCTTGTTAGCATACAGAATGTAGCACTGTCGCAGCTTGTCATAAAAGAAGTATTCACGCCTGTGTGTTTTGGATGGTAAATATCCTGTATTGGGAATACACTCAATGTATATATCTCGGCAAGGCTCAAATGTGCCCTTGTATAAGAGAAACTATTGATTCTTTAGTTCCCGCCCTTTACTTAAATTCAAAATGTTTCTCATTGTATTTACAACTTTCGTATTATAAACTTCAACTAGAGGACCCTTGTATAAGAATAATTATTATTGTAAAACAATAACATTCCATGTAATTATCGCAGTTTGGTAATATTCTATATGTCCCACCCTTTACTTAAATTTAAAATGTCTAGCATTTTATTAACTGCAGTTGTATTATTAATTATCTGTAACAAATGTACCCTTGCATAAGTATAAATGTATGTTTCTCATGTATATGTGTATATGCGTTTATCATATACTGGGTAGGTTTCTCGGCAGGATCGGATAAAAACGATATCCGTTGGGGTCATATGCGGATAGAGATGCAAATATCAAAGGTCAAGTAGGGACTACATTCACTGTTTATAAACAAACATGGCGTCGCCCTCGTCATTCGGCGATCGAGTCAGAATTAACCATCGAGAATCTGGATAAACTACAGGGATAATTGCTATCATTATATAAAGAACAGTCTAATATACTTAAAATCAGTGTCTGACTGTGACGAAGCTAAGGCATTTTATAAGTTTGGGCAACTTTGGACATATAAATTTCGAAACAATTTTGCGAGGGCACAAGGCCTAGCCAAGCGGGATCAGTAGCCATATGTGTGCTTGTAGACCTCTGCGGCTTGAAACCTTCTCCACAAATTAAAATAGTTGGATTTGGCCGAAATATCTTTGAATTGTTACCCTGTTTCGTTTTGTCGCTGTGTGTACATCTGACTACACTTCTTAACGTTATGACAGGACAGACCGACTGTCAACAACGTCTGACTGTGGCCGGGACGTCTCATAGACTAGGGTTAGAGTAGCTTCCCTTTGACAAAGGGCAGTTACTCTAGCGGACAGAACGATGGATTGCCGCGAAAGGCAATTAAAAAACAAGTGTGGTTTTGCGTATATGTTGCTTCACCACTGTATAAGAAACAGATTTCAGTTGGAACTATAATTGCTACTGTCACTGTCCGACTGACTCATCACTTACCCTGTGACGTAATAAATATTAATGCACGCATTCCAGCAATGTTTCGGTAATGTTTGTGACAGAGGGAAAGCGATTTTGAAGCATAGAATTAAAGAATGACATTATATGATAAAGAGGTTATTAGGAATAAACACTATGTATGTAGCTCGCCAAGGCTCGCTAAATACAATGTTTATTCCTAAAGCAGGATATTTGCCATCCCCAAACACACTCGCGTGATAACCTTTATATATGTGTGTGTGTATGTGTGCATGTATTTGTCTGTATGTGCATGTGTGTGTATGTGTGTGTATATGCATGTGTGTATGTGTGTATGTATGTGTGTGTACGCATGTGCATATGTGTATACATGTACATGTCTGTATATGTGTGTGTATGTATGTGTGTATGTGTGTGCGCATGTATGTGTGTACGTGTATGTGTGTGCATGTGCATGTCTGTGTGTGTATGTGTGTGCATGTATGTGTGTGTGTGCATGTACTTGTCTGTATATGTGTGTGTATATGTGCATGTGTGTGTGCATGTCTATGTGTGTATGTGTGTGTGCATGTATGTGTGTACGTGTATGTGTGTATGTGTGCATCTGTGTGTATGTGCATGTCCGTGTGTGTACGTGTGTGCGTGTATGTATGTGTATATGTGCATGTGTGTGTATGTGCATGTCTGTGTATGTGTGTGTATGTGCATGTCTGTGTGTGTATGTGTGTGCGTGTATGTGTGTGTGTATGTGCATGTATGTGTGTATGTGTATGTGTGTGTGTATGTGCATGTCTGTGTACGTGTATGTGTGTGTACGTGCATGTCTGTGTATGTGTGTGTATGTGCATGTCTGTGTGTGTGTTTGTGTGTGCGTGTATGTGTATGTGCATGTGCATGTATGTGTATGTGCATGTCTGAGTGTACGTGTATGTGTGCGTGTGTGTATGTGTACGTGTGTATGTGTCTGTATGTTCATGTTTGTGTATGTGTGTGTATGTGCATGTCTGTGTGTGTATGTGTGTGCATGTATGTGTGTGTGTGCATGTACTTGTCTGTATATGTGTGTGTATATGTGCATGTGTGTGTGCATGTCTGTGTGTGTATGTGTGTGTGCATGTATGTGTGTACGTGTATGTGTGTATGTGTGCATCTGTGTGTATGTGCATGTCCGTGTGTGTACGTGTGTGCGTGTATGTATGTGTATATGTGCATGTGTGTGTATGTGCATGTCTGTGTATGTGTGTGTATGTGCATGTCTGTGTGTGTATGTGTGTGCGTGTATGTGTGTGTGTATGTGCATGTATGTGTGTATGTGTATGTGTGTGTGTATGTGCATGTCTGTGTACGTGTATGTGTGTGTACGTGCATGTCTGTGTATGTGTGTGTATGTGCATGTCTGTGTGTGTGTTTGTGTGTGCGTGTATGTGTATGTGCATGTGCATGTATGTGTATGTGCATGTCTGAGTGTACGTGTATGTGTGCGTGTGTGTATGTGTACGTGTGTATGTGTCTGTATGTTCATGTTTGTGTATGTGTGTGTATGTGCATGTCTGTGTGTGTATGTGTGTGCGTGTATGTGTGTACGTGTATATGCTTGCGTGCATGTGTGTGTGTACGTGTATGTCTATGCGTGTGTGTAGCTATTCGCATTACTTGTGTATAATTTCTCTGCACTGTACATATATTCACATATAACAAAATAATGAAATACATGTAGAAGAAGGCCTCATAAGAGTGTCACTTGTGCCTAATCTATTTGATTTTTCGAAATGACATATGTTTAAATCATAAAACTAACTTTTTATTGCTAACACATATATTTCCCTTCCAAAACACACAAACCTAGTAACCTCTAGTTATTTTTGTGTGTCCTAATCACACATAATCATTGATAAATATTTGTTCGTTGAAATGGGTTTTCAAAGTACATTAACACATCATTCTTTTCACCTGATAGGAAATATAACATTTGAAGTCAAGCCGGAAGAAATTTTCGAGGGTAGGAACTTAACAATGAGCTGCATTTTGGATGCTGAGAATGCTACTCGCCTGTCACAGACGGAGGATTTCGAAGTGATTTGGATTCGAAATGACACCATGTTTGCCGTGACCTTTCACAATGGAACACTTCTGCTAGTGAATCCTTACGACAACAACAGAACAACGATTCTTCATCACCACGTCAGCGTCAACAGCAGTGAACACAGCATCACCATGGTGGCGCGCCCACACCTGCAGTCCACGTGGTACTGTGGCAATCATCTGGTAGAGCAGCCAAGTAACACTGTCTCCATCATCGTTAGAGCAGCTGGTAAGTCAGTGGATATGAAGAACATAATCATAAAGGAATACTCGCTTATATGACCTGAGTAGATATATTTTAATAACTAGAGCACCACCAAGGTGGTGCTCTGACGTCATCAAGGTCATAAAGGAATACTCGCTTAAATGGTTGGGATTGAACTACTGGCAGAAGTTCCTGCCACTAGAGACGGAGAAGGTCCGAGCACATATTCCCTGGCGTTACGTGGTCGAATGGAGCTCGAGACTTTTACATCCATGTTACTCACGAGTCCCGATTGACTGATGCGTTAAATATAAACATTGTCAGAACATCTTTGTCCCTTTTAACTAGGGGAAACCTTATTTAGCAGATGGTATAACAACTCTAATAAAATATTCAAGTTTGGCAATATTGGTTCCACATACGAAACAACCTAAGTGTAATTTGTTTAGAAGGGAAAGTCAATCGAGTCTAACAATGCCATTTAAAAGAAACGTGTATTTTATTTCGATCATAAATCCTAATCCATAATCTAAGTACCATAACAATAACATAAACTAGTGTCCAAAAGAAATGATACCAACTTATTTTCAAAATTGTTTTTTACTAAGTGAATTGTCAAGTATGAAAACATGCCAATTCGTATTGCACATCCCAAACACAGCATAGTCGATAAAAAATACCTGGAACACGTGATCACTTCCGGGAAAAAACGTAAATTTCGTGAAAGTGACATTTCCCTCTCTAGCATGTTCTGCACGTGCAGAAAAACTGTATAAAACGGCTGATCAGACACGTTGATATCACAGCAACAAAAAGAACACAAGATATGCCACGTTTGACAGCCATCGAGAGAGAGAGAGCCGTTGGAATGGTCCAACAAGGAGCGTCACACGTCGACGTCGCCAGAAGGTTGGGCTGCGCACGCATCACTATCACCAGGTTGATGCAGCGGTTACGTCAGACAGGCCCAGGAGTTGAAGACCACGAGTAACCACGCCCCGTGAAGATCGTTACATCCGGGTATTACACCTGAGGAACCGCACCGTAACAGCGACGTCCACAGCGGCTACAGCACTGGGGCACAGGATCAGTCGACAGACCGTCTACAGGAGACTACGGCAGTATGGTATCCGTCCACGTCATCCCTACCGCGGACCGCTCCTGACGCCTCGACACCGGAACAACAGACTGATCTGGGCCAGGCGAGTTCGACGTTGGCAACGGCGAGACTGGGCACGTGTTATGTTCTCTGATGAGAGCAGATTCCTCATCTTCAGAAACGATGGACGGCAGCTTGTATACCGACGATTTGGTGAACGTTTGGCGCCTAACTGTATCCAACAGGTCCGGCCGTTTGGAGGTGGAGGGTTAATGGTTTGGAGTGGCAAATATGGTGACGTCAAAACGATGCTTGTCGTAATTCGTGGAAACCTGAATGCACAGCGTTATCTTGATGACATCCTACGGCCTGTTGTGGTGCCCTTTATTCAGCAACATCCTCGTGGACTCCTTTTCCAACATGACAATGCAAGGCCACACACAGCAAGATTGACACAGAACTTCCTTGCCAACGCCAACGTACAGGTTTTGCCATGGCCCGCATGTTCACCGGACATGAATCCCATCGAGCACTTATGGGATCACCTCGATCGGCAAATCCGACGTCGCCGTGTGCCTCCAGTCAACGTCCAGGACTTGGAACGATGTCTCCTCGAGGAATGGCAACGCATCACTCCCAACGTCATCAGACGTTTGACGTCATCAGTCCGTAGGCGTGTTCTGGCATGTATTGATGCTCACGGTGGACATACCCGCTACTGACTTGACTTTGAGACGTGTGCTGTGACATTTCCCGTTGTTTCTGTGATCAGTGCTCTAACGAAATGTTCATTTTTCGACCCCACCCATCTTTAAAGGCTTGTCATATTGGTTGTACAGATTTTATTGAAATGAAATTTTTGTACAGATGTTGTGAAAGGATTTCTCAAAAGCATAACACCAATCCTAAACTTCTGCATTGTTTAGTTTTTCTTTTATGTCGTTGCAAACAGGTGGTATCGTTTCTTTTGGACACTAGTTTATTTTCAACAAAAGTTACATTCTTTCCTTATAATTCATAAAAATAATTTTGAGACATGTTCATGCTAATATTTAAATCACACCACTTTTTCTTTGGTTGATCCAGGTGACAGTACCACGACGTCTCCTCTTCCAGGTAAGTGTGTGTAGTTAGGTGTAATGAAGGAGTAAATGGTGTACAGTTTGATGCCACTTCCAGTAATTCACAGCATCCTCGCTCCATGTTGGAGAAAAGCCCAATTTGATACAGGTTCTGGACATTTAACCCATGTTGTGCTAGCCCGGGCTGTTGCCCTTGTTAGCCCATAGAGATACCAGGCCGCTGATATAATGTAAAGGAAACAGCAAGGTTGTGTGGTCATCTTAGTGTTCTTCAAACATTGACAACATGTAATTTTAAAGTGAACTACCGTATTCGACGTAATAAGCGCTCCGCTCTAATAATACGCACTCCTGTGTTATATGCACCCTTTATTATGGACAATTAAATTCTTGAAAATATATCTGTCGTATATAAACAGTTCAGGCTGTCAGCATAATCCACGAAATTTATCTTTCAACTCTGTTTTTTTCCACCAAAATAATATTCTAATAAGAGACCCCTATTTCTAATTTTGAGAGCGCCCTCGGCGCTTATGACGTCGAATACGGTAATCAATAATCTCAGTAGCACAAACACTTGTGAAGAACAACTTTACTCTGGAATTGAGAAATGTCACTGAATGATGGTGTCTGTTCCATAGAACTTAATAGCCTTGACTGATTTTGAAAGCGTGGAGACATGATGAGCAAATCTCTGATCTCAGCAATATTCCAGCTATATGACGGCGGTCTGTAAATATTCAGTGATTGACATCATGAGCATCAATCTAAGCAACTGGCATTAAATGACATGCATCAACCAAGTCAGAGCGCCTGCCCACCAGATGTCGTTAGCCGCCTTACGACAAGACGGGATGCTGAAGAACAATTCTAACCCGTATCTTTACGAGGATCGATTGTATTACATCCAGTGTCCACCGGTGTGCTAGTCGTCTCAGAGTTGGTCCCGTTGGCGTTTCAGACATCATGATCGATCTACGCATACGATGACATGACCGCCTCCGTGGTCTAATGGTAGAGCGTCCGTCCAGAGAGCGGAAGGTCCGGGGTTCGATCCCCAGCCGCGTCATACCAAAAGACGTTAAAAGATGGTACTCGTTGTTATCCTGCCTGGCGCTCGGCATTAAGGGGCTAAAACAAGAACTGGTCGGCTCGGAGTCAGTATACTGTGTCTGAGTGGGGTATTCATGTTAAACTGGGGCATGGTATCCCAGTGAGCTGCACTATAAATCGGCATCAGTTGACTAGTACAAGCAGCCCCCCCACACACATACATGTGCATGCACGTCGCTATATAAGTGCAATAATCTTGGACGCGACGTTAAGCCCCATTTCACCCATACGATGACATGAAACAACCAAGTCGGAGAGCCTGCCCACTCGACAAGTATGGGTTGCTGAAGAACAATTCTAACCCGGATCCTGACGCGGATGGATTATATTACTACCCGGGGCCACCGGTGTCCCTTAGGTGTACCAACACCACGCGCCAGTTGATTCCTGGTTTGCGGTGATATTTCCCAGTTTGTCAGCACCATACCCATGCTCATGGGTTTCACGAAAGTGGAAGACGCCCAAACTCTGCGTCATATCTGGCTTTGCTCCCACGTCAAGCCGACACATACTTCTATATCACATATGACATGGGGCACTGGAGGGCCAGCCTTTTAAAGCGTCTAAAGAGTTGCCTCGCTTAGCTGTTTCAGAAATCTATAATCGTGGGTTCGAACCCCGGGTCATCCTGATGATGTTTCTTGGTATGTCAGTACAAATCGCTTTGAACAATTTTTTAGTTACATCACATGTGCAAAACCGAAAGTGATGCCTGGTTTCTTTTACCATGAGTGAGTGAGTATGATTTTACACCGCTTTTAGCACTATTCCAGCAATATCAACGCGGGGGGACACCAGAAATGGGCTTCACATATTGTAACCATGTCGGGAATCGAACCCGGGTTTTCGGCGTGACGAGCGAACGTTTTAACCGCTAGGCTTCCCGACCGCTCCTTCATTTACCATGAACCCTACAAGCATGGTTCTAACATAGAAACAACAGAAAGGTAACTCTTTTACTTCATTACAACTAAATATTAATTACATTTATTATACCTAGCATCTTATTATATACTTCAGTGTTATATTACCCGGAATATAGTGTTATATTACCAAAAAGTTATTATTTTTATAAATCAGACAAACCGACAATATTCTGGCACACAAAACAAACGTAAAAGAGTTACATGAAATTACTCCTAAATACAAGAACACTATGCTATAGGGGCCAACCAATCTATACCAGGGCGGTGAATACCTTCAAAATGCACTTTTAAAAAGATCCCCTTCCAACTAAGCTATCAGTGTCAAATATTGCATTACATATTCAAGAAAGATAAACAGTGACAACGACTTTCATTAATTTTTGGGGCAGTCGGGAAGCTCGTCACGCAGACGACCTGGGTTCGATTCCTGACATGGGTACAATGTGTGAAACCTATTTCTGGTGTCCCCAGCCGTGATATTACCGAAATATAGCTAAATGCGGCGTAAAACCAAACTCACTCACTCATTCAATTAATTAAGTTAAGTATTCATATAAGACTTTCTGTTAATATGAGCCAAGGGGCGGTCGGGTAGCCTAGTGGTTAAAGCGTTCGCTCGTCACGCCAAAGACCCGGGTTCGATTCCCGACATGGGTACAATGTTGTGAAGCCCATTTCTGGTGTCCCCCGCCGTGATATTGCTGGAATATTGCTAAAAGCAGCGTAAAACCAAACTCACTCACTCACTCACTAATACGAGCCGAAATGTATAAACACAGAAACTGTTAATCCCTTGAGGATAAACCGAACCACCAGTCATTAAAGAAACAGTTCAGTTTTCATGTTCTTTCTTTTTCTCATCGAAAGATAAATTCATTGTGTCAAAATATTTGACATGCTGCTGGTATTCTGGGAAAGTCGATAACAACGATGATGGCCACAGTCATTATGATTCTCTATCCTCCAATGAGTTTCACATTTTTGGGGCGATGGGTAGCCCAGTGGTTAAGGCGTTTGCTCGGGCGAAGGCCCGGGTTCCATTCCCCAAATGGGTACAATGCCTTTTGGCATTCGCCTTGATATTGCTAGTATATTGCTAACGTGGTGGAGTACATACCTAAATATATCTGACATCGTAAACAACAACGATGAGAACGACGAGGACATGGCCAATGATGAAATTGATAGCAATATTGATAACGCAAAATATCAATGGATATATCATCGTGTTACAGGCTCTCTTGATACCGACAGTCCCGTCTTGTATATTGCCATTGGTTGCACCGTGGTCGTTGTCGTGATTGCTGTCGCCATCCTTGTTGTCGCTGTACAGAAAAAGAGGCAGGCAAACAGACTAGAAGGTAACACAGCCTTTGAGTCAAAATATTTGCCTAAAATAGACTGAACAATAACCTAAACGCACGTGTGTCGGCACAGGCTCGGTACATCCTGCACACGTGCATAGATTATCGACATGTCAATGTATCAGATATCACTTGAAATTATTGATTGAAATGTCTGCAACTCATCGAAACACAGTCATATTGTTTTAGTACCAGTATCTTTATAAAGGGTTGTACCACACACATTCACTCCCAAATATTACAGATCCTCTTTTAACTTTGGCTCTCTATGAACTGGCATGTTACATAACATCTCTCTTAAAACTGGACCACCCTTTGAACTGTGTGTCTCTATGCAAAATCACGTTCTATAAACCATGACTCTTAAAACTGGACCACCCTTTGAACTGTGTGTCTCTGTACAAAATCACGTTCCATAAACCATGACTCTTAAAACTGGACCACCCTTTGAACTGTGTGTCTCTATACAAAATCACGTTCCACAAACCTTGACTCTCTTAAAACTGGACCACCCTTTGAACTGTGTTTCTCTATACAAAATCACTTTCCATAAACCATGACTCTCTTAAAACTGGACCACCCTTTGAACTGTGTTTCTCTATACAATGGCATGCTCTATAAACCACGACTCGCTTAAAAGTGGACCACACTTTGAACTGTGCGTCTCAATACAAAATCACCTTCCATAAACCATGACTCTCTTAAAACTGGACCACACTTTGAACTGTGTATCTCTATACAAAATCACGTTCCATAACCCATGACTCTCTTAAAACTGGACCACCCTTTGAACTGTGTGTCTCTATACAATGGCATGCTCTATAAACAACGACTCGCTTAAAAGTGGACCACACTTTGAACTGTGTATCTCTATACAAAATCACGTTCCATAACCCATGACTCTCTTAAAATTGGACCACCCTTTGAACTGTGTTTCTCTATACAATGGCATGCTCTATAAACCACGACTCGCTTAAAGTGGACCACCCTTTGAACTGTGTATCTCTATACAATATCATGTTCTATAAGCCACGCCTCTCTTAAAACTGGACCACCCTTTGAACTGTGTTTCTCTATACAATGGCATGCTCTATAAACCACGACTCGCTTAAAAGTGGACCACACTTTGAACTGTGTGTCTCAATACAAAATCACCTTCCATAAACCATGACTCTCTTAAAACTGGACCACCCTTTGAACTGTGTGTCTCTATACAATGGCATGCTCTATAAACCACGACTCGCTTAAAAGTGGACCACACTTTGAACTGTGTATCTCTATACAAAATCACGTTCCATAAACCATGACTCTCTTAAAACTGGACCACACTTTGAACTGTGTTTCTCTATACAATGTCACATTCCACAAACCATGACTCTCTTAAAAGTGGACCACACTTTGAACTGTGTTTCTCTATACAATGGCATGCTCTATAAACCACGACTCGCTTAAAGTGGACCACCCTTTGAACTGTGTGTCTCTATACAATATCATGTTCTATAAGCCACGCCTCTCTTAAAACTGGACCACCCTTTGAATTGTGTGTCTCTATACAATGTCATGTTCTATAAACCAGGACACTCTTAAAACTGGACCACCCTTTGAACCGTGTGTCTCTATACAAAATCACGTTCCATAAACCATGTCCCTCTTAAAACTGGACCACCCTTTGAACTGTGTGTCTCTATACAATGTCATGTTCTATAAACCATGACTCTCTTAAAAATGGACCACCCTTTGAACTGTTTGTCTCTATACAAAATCACGTTCCATAAACCATGACTCTCTTAAAATTGGACCACCCTTTGAACTGTGTGTCTCTATACAATATCATGTGCTATAAGCTACGCCTCTTTTAAAACTGGACCACCCTTTGAACTGTGTCTCTATACAATGTCATGTTCTATAAACCAGGACACTCTTAAAACTGGACCACCCTTTGAACTGTGTGTCTCTATACAATATCATGTTCTATAAGCCACGCCTCTCTTAAAACTGGACCACCCTTTGAATTGTGTGTCTCTATACAATGTCATGTTCTATAAACCATGACTCTCTTAAAACTGGACCACCCTTTGAACCGTGTGTCTCTATACAAAATCACGTTCCATAAACCATGTCTCTCTTAAAACTGGACCACCCTTTGAACTGTGTGTCTCTATATAATGACATGTTCTATAAAACATGACTCTCTTAAAACCTGACCACCATTTGAACTGTGTGTCTCTATACAATGTCATGTTCTATAAACCATGACTCTCTTAAAACTGGACCACCCTTTGAACTGTGTGTCTCTATACAATGTCATGTTCTATAAACCATGACTCTCTTAAAACTGGACCACCCTTTGAACTGTGTGTCTCTATACAAAATCACGTTCCATAAACCATGACTCTCTTAAAACTGGACCACCCTTTGAACTGTGTGTCTCTATACAATATCATGTTCCATAAGCAACGACTCTCTTAAAACTGGACCACCCTTTGAACTGTGTGTCTCTATACAATGTCAGGTTCTATAAACCATGACTCTCTTAAAACTGGACCACCCTTTGAACTGTGTTTCTCTATACAATGTCATGTTCTATAAACCACGACTCTCTTAAAACTGGACCACCCTTTGAACCGTGTGTCTCTATACAAAATCACGTTCCACAAACCATGACTCTCTGAAAAACTGGACCACCTTTTGAACTGTGTATCTCTATACAATGTCAGGTTCTATAAACCATGACTCTCTTAAAACTGGACCACCCTTTGAACTGTGTTTCTCTATACAATGTCTTGTTCTATAAACCATGACTCTCTTAAAAGTGGACCATCCTTTGAACTGTGTGTCTCTATACAATGTCATGTTCTATAAACCATGACTCTCTTAAAACTGGACCACCCTTTGAACTGTGTCACTATACAATGTCATGTTCTATAAACCACGACTCTCTTAAAACTGGACCACCCTTTGAACTGTGTTGCTATACAATGTCATGTTCTATAAACCATGACTCTCTTCAAACTGGACCACCCTTTGAACTCTGTTTCTATACAATGTCATGTTCTATAAACCATGACTCTCTTAAAACTGGACCACCCTTTGAACTGTGTTTCTATACAATGTCATGTTCTATAAACCACGACTCGCTTAAAAGTGGACCACCCTTTGAACTGTGTCACTATACAATATCATGTTCTATAAACCACGACTCGCTCAAAACTGGACCACCCTTTGAACTGTGTGTCTCTATACAATGTCATGTTCTATAAACCACGACTCTCTTAAAACTGGACCACCCTTTGAACTGTGTTTCTCTATACAATGTCTTGTTCTATAAACCATGACTCTCTTAAAACTGGACCACCCTTTGAACTGTGTCACTATACAATGTCATGTTCTATAAACCACGACGCTCTTAAAACTGGACCACCCTTTGAACTGTGTGTCTCTATACAATGTCATGTTCTATAAACCATGACTCTCTTAAAACTGGACCACCCTTTGAACCGTGTGTCTCTATACAATGGCATGCTCTATAAACCACGTCCCTCTTAAAACTGGACCACCCTTTGAACTATGTCTTTATACAATGGCATGTTCTATAAACCTTGACTCTCTTAAAACTGGACCACCCTTTGAACTGTGTTTCTCTATACAATATCATGTTCTATAAACCATGACTCTCTTAAAACTGGACCACCCTTTGAACTGTGTGTCTCTATACAATATCATGTTCTATAAACCACGTCTCTCCTACAACTGGAGCACTCTTTTAAAACTGTGATTCTCTAGAAACCCTAATGCCTGTTATTTGTCCATTATCAAGTGTCACCCTTAAAGAGTGTTGCTTTCATCACAGTTTAATTCCTAATAAACTGCGACTTTCTAAAGACGTGAATCTCTTTTAACTGTGACTCGTTATAAACTGTAGTTCTCTGTGAAATGTCATCATCTTTGAACTGTCAATAAATTGAGACACTCTATGAATTGTAACATATGTTTTATTTGGGATAACACTTTCTCAGTAAAGTAGAGATTCTAGTACCTTTTTTTAAAAAAAAAGTACTAGAATCTCTACTTTACTGAGAAAGTGTTATCCCAAATATAACATGTTACATTTGACCACTTTCTAAATGGCATTGTATATTCACTCTATGAATTATCCGCTATCGTCATCAACCTGCAATCAACCATTGTTTACTGTATCTAATTGTCCATTGTTTCTATCTCATCTTCAGGATCAAATAAAACCGTCGCTGAAAGGTAAGCACGTCAACAATTTCAAAAGACAGTACGGTGAAGATAACAACTGTTAAAAAATACTATCATACTTCTTTAAGCATTTCCATCGGTGATGCTGTTCTTTAGAATTCCATAATCATTTTAGTTCAAGGTGTAAGGAAAGATGTTAACAGTGCCGCTCCCTAGTACCCGTAGGCCATTGTACGACCCATACAATGACCAAAGATGAAATAATGGTTCGAAACACGTCAAGTACTGTATATCCTGTTAGTTCCAGGAACATTGGGGGCGGTGGGTAAAGCTGTCACTCGTCACGCTGAAGACTCGGGTTCGATTCCCCACATGGGTACAGTGTGTGAAGCTCATTTCTGATGTCCCCCGCAGGGATATTGCTGAAATATTACTAAAAGCGATGTAAAACCATGCTCACTCACTCCAGAAACATTGTTGGGATTTCGAGTGGTAATAGGTTTCCCCTTCCTCTTGCTTGTTGAAAAATCGAACTATATGCTCAGGAGGCCAGGCTCTGTGAATTGAGATAGCCTGTCATCGCCTTCCTGATCGTGCTATCAACAGTCGTATTTATTGTCGCCGTGATTTGATTGGAATATTACCGCTTGTGGCGTCAACTACAAGCAAGTGCGAGCTCTGAGCTCTACTTATGAGGGTAGAACTGAATATAATGAATTATACCGTTTCCTTTTCAAGCTCATCGGCACCCAATCGACGAGGCAAGATAGGTAAGATAGAACACTTTGTTAAAAGTGTTTAATGTATGATCCATACTTTTATGTACAATGTACATGATTAATACTTTTCTTAATGCAAACAGTCAGGAATTAAAAAATGTGACACAAATTCAAATTGAAAACTTATCTTTCCTATGATCAGTTTGGTAGAACAGCTGCCCTGTATGAAACAATCATTTTCATTCAGTCTTTTGTTTATTCAAGCACTTAAAGGCCACATAACATGTTGCATGTCATTTGTTTGTTTTTATGTTCAGATTTGTTACTGTACAGCACTACGTGGTTTATATATATCTTTCAATGTGATGGGATGCACAAGTATATATATTTTTTACTCTGTGGAGTAGAATGGACAAAGAAGAAAAACATGATATTTGTCCTTGAGAGCCAGTATAGTACAAAACTTACATAATCATTCTGTTCACGGAACTTTACTTCATTGGCCACTCTCGATCATGAGGAACATCTAAATCGTAGTAAAGCAAAAAGAGATTTCTTCATATTCATATCAATAAGATACTACTTATATATATAACAATGTTACAATTTATAAAAAAAAAGTATTAGATAGAAAAAATAGCGGTGAAAATTATATGAATGGATCACTGATAATCCAGATTTTCAGAAGGGCTGTATTCCTGGTAGCAAACCCGGGTACTCTCTCTATGTCAGTCAACAGACTACAGTCCGTTTGACTCCAAATGAGAACGATGAATTGCAAAATAACTCGAAATCCAGAAAAGTGTATGAAACATCAATACGGTACTTGACCATGAATACCCTGTACCCAACAAAATCTGAATTTTGTTCATTTTAAGACCCATGATGGATGAAGTTCTTTAAGAAACTATCATGTAGTTTTGTATAGAAATGTGTGCATGACACGTAGGGGGACAAACCGTGGAAGGAACAGCGCAAGCACGGTCTGCACGTGCTACACAGTGACCGTGTTCATTCAATGACAAGATGCGCTATTTAGCAGATGTTAAACAGTTGATGTTGAATGTGTATGATTTCTTCAGAAGTGAAGCAGAAAGAGCAAAGCCTTTTTATGCAATTAATAAATTCTTGAAACGAGCTTCAAAAGCTCTTGGTATGTCCCCTCAGAAACTGAAAAATGTTGTTAGTCGACGAGATACAAATAGTCAGGCCAAGGAGGTAGGGAACATGTCAAAACCACGCAAGGTTGATAAATTAGACAGTTTTCAGAGGGATCAAGTCAGACGTGCAATTGTTAAAACTGCACTCAGAAAATAAGTACCTGTCCCTAAGAATTTTGAAGAAACACCTTGAAACTGACCATGATTTACGTGTTAGAAAGTACAAAGTATGGCAGCTGTTGCATACATTTGGTTACAAATACAAAAAGATAACTGGAGAAAACAGGGCTGTGTTGTGTGAACGGTCTGACATTGTTCGTCTCCGAAATCATTACCTTCGTACCATCAAGCAGAAACGTGAAGAAGGATATGAGCCCGTCTTCTTAGATGAGACATGGGTAAATGCGTTACACACAGCCAGCAGTCAGTTGGTACCCAGTGGTGACTGTAAGGAGTCTGGTAGAAAGTTACCAACGGGAAAGGGTGAAAGACTCATAGTTCTCCATGCTGGTTCTGCTAGTCAGGGTTTTCTCCCAGACTGTGACCTCGTCTTTAGAGCCAAGGCCAAAGACAACAGGGACTACCACACAGAAATGAACGGCAATGTATTTCTGGAGTGGGTGAAAGATACATTAGTCACTGCTTTGCCTACCAAGTCTCTCACTGTCACGGACAATGCACCGTATCATAGTGTGCAGGATCCAGAAAGCAAGACTCCAACCTCTAATAACCGTAAAGGAGACATGGTTACTTGGCTGCAACGGAGGAACATTACCTTCCCTTCTCGAGCGACGAAACCACAGCTCTATCAAATCATCAAAACTATGAAACCTGACCCCGTGTATAAAGTTGACAGTTACATCAAGGGTAAGGGTCACGTTGTCTTACGACTGCCACCTTATCACTGCGACCTAAACCCAATCGAGTTGGTATGGGGCATCGTCAAGGGTGACGTTGGACGATCGAACACAACGTTCAAATTACGAGACGTTAAACAACTCGTAAAGGAATCCCTTGGTCGGGTAACAGTAGAAACATGGAGGCGTTGTGTGGCCACAGTCGTTGACGAGATAGAGCCACGTTATTGGTCACGAGATGGACTACGGCCAGCAACGGCCCAACCTATAATAGTGGCAGTCGGTTCAGGCACCAGCAGTTCCGACGACGAGATCTATGGCATGAGCGAGTCAGATTGCGACTGAAATTATCATGAGACGGCCCCTCTAACGCTCTGTCATGTTCCCTACCACAGAACGTGCAGTGCATGCGAGCTTGCGCTGTGCCTTCCACGGTTTGTCCCCCCTACGTGTCATGTACACATTTCTATACAAAATTACATGATAGTTTCTTAAAGAACTTCATCCGTCATGGGTCTTAAAATAAACAAAATTCAGATTTTGTTGAGCACAGGGTATTCATGGTCAAGTACCGTATTGATGTTACATACACTTTTCTGGATATCGAGTTATTTTGCAATTCATCGTTCTCATTTGGAGTCAAACGGACTGTAGGAGGTGCCAGACCTAAGGCACCGAGAACAATGGGGAGTCGGACAACTTTGTACTTGGGATGCAAGTGTGACATTTCAAAAGCGAGGTCCGCTTATTTGCCATTTTTTTCCTGAATCTTGTCAATCACATTAGTGTCAAAAGGGACAGAAAATTAAAAAATTCATTACATTATCTACATTTCATATTTACATGTTGATGCAAAATCACACATTGCCGGTTTCAAGTGGGAAGTAACTGGTCCTGAGCAGCAAACAGAAAGCCTTCTGTTTCACTTTTAAGGCCAGACGACTTAAGTAAACTGACTGATCCTCCCTCTTCTACCTTGCCACGTTTCAGATGGTGAATGTTGCATTTGTCGAGTCCAAAATATTATTATTATTATTATTATTATTATTATTAGTTGCTTACTATGTAATCCAAGTAATCATTTCACGTAATTATTCCACCATTTGCTGCAGAAATGGAGGACAATATTCTTTATGAACAAAGTGCAATTGACAAAGCCTCGAACGGCAGTGAAAAAGGTAGGTTCATCATTAGAGAAAGAGCAAACGAAAAAACCTGGCCAAATCTCACGTTCTCGCACTTTTTTGCATTTTTCTCATCACTTTAAATGCGTTTATTCATAATACCGACAGACATAGAGAATATCAAATGGTCGTTACTTAGGTGCACAGCATGCACTGTGTACATTTACAGGTTTTCCGTTACAACATCAGCCCAAAGGTCGAGATCTCCAGAATGTGAGAACGCTCGACTTTCCCTTACTGTACTCCAAACATTTTTGAATGTTTATACACTTTGTGCGGTTGTGTATGTTTATGTATGTTGGTTATATGCTTGTCTGGGTATGTTTTGTATATTCCTGTGTATATGTTTCGTATTTTTGTGTACGAGTTTCACTGTTTGTGTCTGTTCATTTTCATTCATTTTTTTATATTATTTTGTATGTTTCAGTGATGATGGAAAATACCCTGTATGTCAGCGCTGATGATGAGGGTGACAACGCGGTAACAGGTTACACGGCTGTATGATCCGTACGACATGGGGCAAATACAGTTGAACAGAACCATTCTTGTTACGTTTACCATAATTTTCCCCATTCTTCCAGAATAGGTAATCGATGCACAGGGGTCAGATCGAATCCAATAATTATGATTCGTCATAACAATGATCGCCATTATTATTAAAAAGAAGTTAACCGCACACACCCTGGATAATATGGCAAAACAATAACCGTTAACGTTCTTTTTCAAATGTTGCTTTCCTGTTTACAATCTCAATCTGTATTTGTTTTGAAAATCTTTAGGACGCAATGTTCATATCTCTAATAGCTCTTACAAAAGGCATCACACTTCTTTCTTTTTCCGCCGTCTTCTGTAGTGAAGTATACTCAGTTTAATGCTATAATGCCATCACTACTTCTTGCTTTATCCGTCGTCTTCTGTAGGGAAGTGTACTCAGTTTAATGCTATAATGCCATCACTACTTCTTCCTTCACCCACCGTCTTCTGTAGGGAAGAATACTCAGTTTAATGCTATAATGCCATCACTACTTCTTCCTTCATCCACCGTCTTCTGTAGTGAAGAATACTCAGTTTAATGCTATAATGCCATCACTACTTCTTCCTTCACCCACCGTCTTCTGTAGTGAAGAATACTCAGTTTAATGCTATAACGCCATCACTACTTCTTCCTTCACCCACCGTCTTCTGTAGGGAAGTATACTCAGTTTAATGCTATATTGCCATCACTACTTCCTGCTTCATCCGCCGTCTTCTGTAGTGAAGTATACTCAGTTTAATGTTATAATGCCATCACTACTCCTGCTTCATCCACCGTCTTCTGTAGTGAAGAATACACAGTTTAATGCTATAATGCCATCACTACTCCTGCTTCATCCACCGTCTTCTGTAGTGAAGAATACTCACTTTAATGTTATAATGCCATCACTACTTCTTCCTTCATCCACCGTCTTCTGTAGTGAAGAATACTCAGTTTAATGCTATAATGCCATCACTACTTCTTCCTTCATCCACCGTCTTCTGTAGTGAAGAATACTCAGTTTAATGCTATAATGCCATCACTACTTCTTCCTTCACCCACCGTCTTCTGTAGTGAAGAATACTCAGTTTAATGCTATAATGCCATCACTACTTCTTCCTTCATCCACCGTCTTCTGTAGTGAAGAATACTCACTTTAATGTTATAATGCCATCACTACTTCTTCCTTCATCCACCGTCTTCTGTAGTGAAGAATACTCAGTTTAATGCTATAATGCCATCACTACTTCTTCCTTCACCCACCGTCTTCTGTAGGGAAGTATACTCAGTTTAATGCTATAATGCCATCACTACTTCTTCCTTCATCCACCGTCTTCTGTAGTGAAGAATACTCAGTTTAATGCTATAATGCCATCACTACTTCTTCCTTCACCCACCGTCTTCTGTAGTGAAGAATACTCAGTTTAATGCTATAATGCCATCACTACTTCTTCCTTCACCCACCGTCTTCTGTAGGGAAGAATACTCAGTTTAATGCTATAATGCCATCACTACTTCTTCCTTCATCCACCGTCTTCTGTAGTGAAGAATACTCAGTTTAATGCTATAATGCCATCACTACTTCTTCCTTCACCCACCGTCTTCTGTAGTGAAGAATACTCAGTTTAATGCTATAACGCCATCACTACTTCTTCCTTCACCCACCGTCTTCTGTAGGGAAGTATACTCAGTTTAATGCTATATTGCCATCACTACTTCCTGCTTCATCCGCCGTCTTCTGTAGTGAAGTATACTCAGTTTAATGTTATAATGCCATCACTACTCCTGCTTCATCCACCGTCTTCTGTAGTGAAGAATACACAGTTTAATGCTATAATGCCATCACTACTTCTTCCTTCATCCACCGTCTTCTGTAGTGAAGAATACTCAGTTTAATGCTATAATGCCATCACTACTTCTTCCTTCACCCACCGTCTTCTGTAGTGAAGAATACTCAGTTTAATGCTATAATGCCATCACTACTTCTTCCTTCATCCACCGTCTTCTGTAGTGAAGAATACTCACTTTAATGTTATAATGCCATCACTACTTCTTCCTTCATCCACCGTCTTCTGTAGTGAAGAATACTCAGTTTAATGCTATAATGCCATCACTACTTCTTCCTTCACCCACCGTCTTCTGTAGGGAAGTATACTCAGTTTAATGCTATAATGCCATCACTACTTCTTCCTTCATCCACCGTCTTCTGTAGTGAAGTATACTCAGTTTAATGTTATAATGCCATCACTACTCCTGCTTCATCCAACGTCTTCTGTAGTGAAGAATACTCAGTTTAATGCTATAATGCCATCACTACTCCTGCTTCATCCACCGTCTTCTGTAGTGAAGAATACTCACTTTAATGTTATAATGCCATCACTACTTCTTCCTTCATCCACCGTCTTCTGTAGTGAAGAATACTCAGTTTAATGCTATAATGCCATCACTACTTCTTCCTTCACCCACCGTCTTCTGTAGTGAAGAATACTCAGTTTAATGCTATAATGCCATCACTACTTCTTCCTTCACCCACCGTCTTCTGTAGTGAAGAATACTCAGTTTAATGCTATAATGCCATCACTACTTCTTCCTTCATCCACCGTCTTCTGTAGTGAAGAATACTCAGTTTAATGCTATAATGCCATCACTACTTCTTCCTTCACCCACCGTCTTCTGTAGGGAAGGATACTCAGTTTAATGCTGTAATGCCATCACTACTTCCTGCTTCATCCGCCGTCTTCTGTAGTGAAGTATACTCAGTTTAATGCTATAATGCCATCACTACTTCCTGCTTCATCCGCCGTCTTCTGTAGTGAAGTATACTCAGTTTAATGCTATAATGCCATCACTACTTCTTCCTTCATCCACCGTCTTCTGTAGTGAAGAATACTCACTTTAATGTTATAATGCCATTACTACTTCTTCCTTCATCCACCGTCTTCTGTAGTGAAGAATACTCAGTTTAATTCTATAATGTCATCACCACTTCCTGCTTAAAAAATACCAGAAACTCGAGCCGGCATAAGGCAAGAGTTTTTCAACGACTGACCACATATGTCCATTGAAATGCAAAGCTTTTGTGGCTTTTGTAGATTATAAGGAAGCTTTTGCTTCAGTAAATAGGGATGAGTTATGGTTTCTTTTAAAATCTTATGGTCTGAATGCTGAATGCACTGAGAAGTATTTATAAAAGGGTTAAATCGCGTGGAAGAGGAAACGTAAAGGTTATACGTTATTTTATCTTTTCGAATGGTTTACGCCAAGGAGGCATTTTAAGCCCCTTACTCTGATCCTTGTTCATAAGTGAACTGTTAAAGGTTGTTATTTGTAATTGCAAATATGGTATTCAATTATTTCCGGATTTACCAGAAACAGTTTTACTATTATGGGCTGACGACATTAGTTTAGTGTCAGATAGTTCCATTGGGTTACAGTCGCAACTAAATATTCTTGAAACTCTTATTGATAATTATATTTGAAAGAAAACCGAAATTTGTGGTATTTAGACGGGGAGAAAAGGATACTTGGCATTACAAATGAAATAACAACAAATATCTTATATTATTCAGAATTTAGGACTCTGTTAGAACCAGAGAAGTTTCTCTCAATCTTGTCTGAAAGAAACTTTAGAAACATTCTCTTATTAATATTAATATTTGGTTGACAAATCACTAAAAATATGTCAAGTTTGCAATTTTAATATAGAGAACGAATAAAACCTTTGATTTATTTCTTTGATAGGCATTTAGAAGTTGGAGTACTAAGTAAGGATAAGAATGTATGCATGAACAACTTCTTTATAACATATTACATATTATGTAATATAGAAGTTATTCATTCATTACTTATGAAGATCCTAGAAAAGTATATCTACCGGAAAAATTCTTGAAATATCCTAACTTAAATATCTTTACGTCTATCTTGGGCACAAACAATTAAAAAAATTATCACATTACTTATTATTTGCTTGAGAAACACGAGTATCAGTTGTAATGAACTGACAATTTCATTGTGTTTTGTGTTCATGTATTTTTGTATCCATGTATTGTGTCATCTACTTGCTTTGTGTAAGTGGTTTTGTATATGAGCCTGAGGCCTTCATGCAAATAAACTTCTTGTTCTTCCTCATCCTCTGTCTGCTGTAGTGAAGTGTACTCAGTGTTATGTTATAATGCTTTTTCACTGAGATGACAAACATGAGGGATACAAACTCAAGTCATCGTCTTTGGACGCGCAACATTGTGAATTGGATGATGCCATCCTAAGACGCTCCCGTTTGCTATTCAGAGTTGCGTCCCTGAGATTGATACCAGAATCATATTATCGTGAATTCGAAATCCACATTTTGAACAAATATTTATTCTTGGTTTGCCAGCTCTGTACTCTTTCATGGGGCCTCCGATCATAAAATGATAGTTGAAAAGTGTACCATTAAATACACGAAAAGATGTTTTAAATTGTAAAAAAGATTTATACTTCACAACATCAGTGATAACTATCATCAGCTGTCGCATTCAAAGTTATGAAGCACAAACAAAATTGGAAACCATCATATACTCTTCAGAAAAAGAAACGCAAAAGTGATTTTAGATGTATATTTTATACATCATATAAATAATCAACAGATGGTAATCGATTGTTCAAACTTGGCACACATTATTGCCATCGTCGTCCCATGGGAGCAATCAGATGCCCGAATTGTGGTGTGGGGAATGCTCACCTACTCTGCCTGCAGTGCTTGTGCAAGCTGTCGGAGGTTCTGTGGTAGTTGCTGACGTGCTCGCAGTCATTGATCCAGTGCATCCAATAAATGTTCGACAAGGTTTAAATCTCAAGACCTGGAGGGTCATGGCAGGACCTGGATGTTGTGAATCCTGTAAAAGGCTGTTGTCAGTCTTGCCGTGTGAGGTCGGGCGTTGTTTTGTTGGAAAATGACGATCGCTTGTTGCATAATGGCAAGGCGTGTGACCGAAGAATCTAATGCCGCTAAATTCCCCACTACTGTTCTACCAGTGGAGAAGATGTCTGTCCACATCATGACACTTCCACAACGAAATATGTCCACTTTATGTATGCAGTTTCGTGCATAACGTTTGCCACGACGACGCTTGTAAACATGACGTCTACCATCCGCATGGCGAAGCTTAAAATGTGACTCGTCACTAAAGTAAACTTGATTCCATTGCAGTTGTGGCCATACTCTGTGGCATTGACACCTTCAGCGCGTAAACGGTTCCTCACTGTCAGGGCTAATATCCTGTTTTATCCTGGTATTGCCGTAGTAGAGGTAGTATTAGTGCTACCTGGTCGACAGGATCTGGGAAGGTTCCACGGTTCCACGGTCTTCAAATGGTGCTTGGTGCTACGCGGAAAAAACCTGGCTACGGCCAAAGATGATTTTCAGTTTGCAGTTTGCCGATGGAGTTGTTGAGTTGAGCTTCTGCCAGTCGTGGCATGTTTGTTTGTTTGTAGTTTAACGCCGCACTTAGCTATATTCCAGCTGTATGACGGCGGTCTGTAAATAATCGAGTCTGGACCAGACAATCCAGTGATTGACATCATGCGTATCGATCCACGCTATTGGGATGCGATTACATACATCAACCAAGTTAGCGAGCCTGACCACCCGATCTCGTTAGTCGCCTCTTACGGCAAGCATAGTCGCATTGTACGGCAAGCATGGGTTGCTGAAGACCTATTCAACCCCAGACCTTCACGGGCAGTCGTGGCATGATTGTGATGGCAAGCAAATGAAATCCAGACACAAGCATACTGCCTACCATAACTGTTTGATTGGCATTAAGACGTTTGTGCAATTACAAAGGCAGTATTCAATAGTGCGTTAGTAAATTACAATGGCATTATAAAAATATAATAGCAGTGGCGATAATATTCACCTTGCAGCACCAGTGGTCAAGCTTCCAAAAAAGGCCTAGGCTGGATATTAAGGGTGAAAACAATGATCTTCATTCAACCTCTGGTCTTGATGTAATGCGAGAATATAGATGCGAAGGGCATGTACCTGACCAATTTATACAGTCAAAATACCTCATATATCATATGTACACACCTGTTTAAGTACACGAGATAAGCATTTATCACCCCGCTTTTCCAGCATAACAGAAACACGTCTATCCTTCATGGAGTTTAGGTTTATAAATGTCTTTTTATTCTATCTTGAAGTTTGGGTTTGTCAATGTCTTTGTGATCTATCGACAGGTATTTTTCCTGATATCAAAACACTCATAAGTATATAATCATCATTTTTAGCTTAACTTTATACATTTAATGTGGCACCGTGGCAGAAACAGACATATCGATTTGTATCTTGAATTATGTCAATCACTGGGTTGTCTGGTCCAGACTTACTTATTTACAGACCGACGTCATATAGCTGGAATACTGCTGAGTGCGGCGTTAAACAATAAACAAACATACAAAGATGTTCACACAAAATCCGTGCGTATGAAAACATCGATAACATACATGTTGATCCATAACAATGGCTGCCAATAACCTATTGTGACTGTATACCGTATTTCCTCTATAAGACGCCGATTTTCTAATACACCCCGGCTCTTAATAGACGCTATGTCAACTGATCTCGCGAAATTAATAGCTATCCTACGTCTAATAGAGGAAATACAATACGGTTGATATTGTAATGGCATTGTAACATGCATGGTAATACATTGAATGCAAGTTTGGATCCGCAACGTCAGCACAAAGCGGCAGGGTGAAGTGCATATTTATTTTAATGCAATGCTTCGCAAACCTTCCGACCTTGCTTGCTGTAAGCGATATGTTTTATCCAACGGTCTGATCCTAAAGTAGATAAGGTCTGCGAAGCATCGCAAAAAAACATTGCAGTCGAACACTGCGATGTTGTTCATGCAACTGAACATGGGGTGTTACCTGCCCACATTGATCCGTGGACAAGTTGTTAGCTGCCCAAATGGATCTGGGAACAAGTTGTTAGCTGCCCACATGGATCCGTGGACAAGTTGTTAGCTTGCCACTTGGATCCGCGGACAAGTTGTTAGCTGCCCACATGGATCCGGGGACAAGTTGTTAGCTGCCCACATCCGTGGATAAATTGTTAGCTGCCTACATCCCAAGAACAAGTTCTTTTGCTGCCCACATCCGTGGACAAGTTGTTAGCTGCCCACATGGATCCGTGGACAAGTTGTTAGCTGCCCACATCCGTGGACAAGTTGTTAGCTGCCCGCATCCATTGACAAGTTGTTAGCTGCCCACATCCGTGGACAAATTGTTAGCTGCCCACATCCCAAGAACAAGTTGTTTTGCTGCCGACATCCGTGGACAAGTTGTTAGCTGCCCACATGGATCCGTGGACAAGTTGTTAGCTTGCGACATGGATCCGCGGACAAGTTGTTAGCTGCCCACATGGATCCGTGGACAAGTTGTTAGCTTGCGACATGGATCCGCGGACAAGTTGTTAGCTTGCGACATGGATCCGTGGACAAGTTGTTAGCTGCCCACATGGATCCGGGAACAAGTTGTTAGCTGCCCACATGGATCCGTGGACAAGTTGTTAGCTTGCCACATGGATCCGGGGACAAGTTGTTAGCTGCCCACATCCGTGGATAAATTGTTAGCTGCCTACATCCCAAGAACAAGTTCTTTTGCTGCCCACATCCGTGGACAAGTTGTTAGCTGCCCACATGGATCCGCGGACAAGTTGTTAGCTGCCCACATCCGTGAATAATTTGTTAGCTGCCTACATCCCAAGAACAAGTTCTTTTGCTGCCCACATCCGTGGACAAGTTGTTAGCTGCCTACATGGATCCGCGGACAAGTTGTTAGCTGCCCGCATCCATTGACAAGTTGTTAGCTGCCCACATCCGTGGACAAGTTGTTAGCTGCCCACATCCGTGGACAAATTGTTAGCTGCCCGCATCCATTGACAAATTGTTAGCTGCCCACATCCGTGGACAAGTTGTTAGCTGCCCGCATCCATTGACAAGTTGTTAGCTGCCCACATCTGTGGACAAATTGTTAGCTGCCTACATCCCAAGAACAAGTTGTTTTGCTGCCGACATCCGTGGACAAGTTGTTAGCTGCCCACGTGGATCCGTGGACAAGTTGTTAGCTTGCGACATGGATCCGCGGACAAGTTGTTAGCTGCCCACATGGATCCGGGGACAAGTTGTTAGCTGCCCACATCCGTGGATAAATTGTTAGCTGCCTACATCCCAAGAACAAGTTCTTTTGCTGCCCACATCCGTGGACAAGTTGTTAGCTGCCTACATGGATCCGCGGACAAGTTGTTAGCTGCCCACATTCGCGGACAAGTTGTTAGCTGCCCACATCCGTGGACAAATTGTTAGCTGCCCACATCCGCGGACAAGTTGTTAGCTGCCTACATCCGTGGACAAGTTGTTAGCTGCCCGCATCGATTGACAAGTTGTTAGCTGCCCACATCCGTGGACAAATTGTTAGCTGCCTACATCCGTGGACAAGTTGTTAGCTGCCCGCATCCATTGACAAGTTTTAGCTGCCCACATCCGTGGACAAGTTGCTAGCTGCCTACATCCGTGGACAATAATCACAATAATCTTGAACCCGACTTAACACCCCATTTCACATCAGTTCACCTACATGTAGTTGTTCACTGGGATTTTCTTTTGATGCATGGGTGGATCTGTTGTTAGACTCGCAGCAATTCTTGACGACTATGATCTAGATCTCAAATCCTTTGTTCACCCTGATCAGGATCATTGGTTCTACAGCAACACACGTGTGCTCGCATCACTTTCGGATTTCATCACATAATATATTAAATTGACACGCAATGTCTTCAAAGCAACGTCAAAACCATCTAATTCACTGTATGTTCATTACGTGCGAGACTACTGAAATACACACACGCACGCATGCACTCACAAACACACACACACACACACACACACACACACACACACACGGTAGCTCAGAGTGATGACGGAAGACAAAACTCAGGGGTTAAGTTTAAGAAGACTGCAGCCATGTTCATTGTTGATGGGAATAGAGGTCGAAAAGATACAAGTAATGGTAATCACGTGACCGAACGTACACCCGGTGACTCACAAAAAGTCAGGAAGTCGGACACCTATTCTTCATCGTTT